AGCTATAAAGTAATTCCAGCTGTGTTTTCAGATATCTGGAAAGAGGGGAGATACCTAATGAAGTTTTGCTTCAGTCCAACCATTCCAGCTTCCTGAGACACAGCAGCAACTGAACCCAAATTTCAGTTAAAGCGAAAATCATGAAAAACTTGGGGGAAAAGCGCATATGAAGTGCCAGTGCTTGGCTAAGTGTAAAGTAGTACCAAAAAAAGTTTGAAAGCTAAAAATCATCATTTCCTATTAGCCATGAAGTAAAATGGACTCATCAGCTGTCACTGGCTGGGGTGTGTTCATTACCTTCCAGTACCTGCCTTTATGGTTGAACCTTGAATAGTCTCATTGGTAAATGGGATGCTACTTTGTATCCTCAAATACTTGATGCATTTGGGCTGTGTGAAGAGAAACAGGATAATAAAATGGTAGCATTCTTTACTATCAAATTAGGTATTAAATAACCTTTCCTAGTTCTAGACACTTGTGTTTAGCATGAAACGACTTTGTTTTTCATTTAGCATACACCAGGGCGTGTTGCCTTTTGACCTAGGAGTGTGTTGTCTGTCTAATTATCCTTTGTATTGTTTTACTGTTCCTTGCAACTATCCAAACAATTTGGTGTGGCCCTAGCAACCAAACAATACTGTTTAACAAAGATTTCCTTACTGCATTGCTCCCAGATTTCCCACGTAGCAGTAGCTCACATCAGAGCAAACAAACAGGATATTGTTTCAAGTGAATAATATTCACTGTTTTCAAGTGATTTATGAAAGTAGTTTTTTAGTTTTGAACTGTTGCAAGTTGAATGGTTTCTGGTTCCAGATCTCATTTGAAGTTCTGTAGAATGCTTCTTGTTTTGAAGCTTCCAAGCGATGTTTGAGGTGTATATTTTCTCTGGCAGCTAAGAGTAAAGAATGGCTTATGCTTTGATGGTAAAGAATAGCAGAAAAAATTATTTAATCCTGTCCTGCAATGACTTTTTTTTTCCATTAAGCATATTGAAATTCATATAGATTCTTCTTACAATTTTATTGATTGCAAATTCATGAGTAAATTAATCCCACTGAATGTAATTATACCAGATATAATTAATAATGTCATTTGACCTAGCTAAGAAATATGAGAATAGATTTTGGCTTTTCTTTAACAAGCTCTTGTATATTTACGTATTAAACAGTCGAGCTTCCTCTCCATTTTCCCTCCTACATGTTTTTCTGTGTGTATTTAACTAAATTACTGGTTTTACAAAGGAGATAAAACCATGAACATTGTCATATGCAAGACAAGCGTCTTGATGCTAATGTGAATTAGAGTCCTCAGCAAGTTCATGGATGAAAGTAAATACTAATAATTTTTTCTTCCTTTTATGTGCTCTTACATTTTAGCAAAACAAAGGTATTGGTAATACTCTCATGGCAGTGTTTATAATTACTTCAGTTTGACAGTTTTCCCTTGTTTTTTGGGGGTGGTAAGTTAATTGCCACCTGGAGAGTTTGTGCATGTGAACACAGAGATTAGTAACATGAATGGCTGTAGGATAGCCTTGGCTCTGCTTTGCTGCTGAAAGAGTAAAAAGTTAAGCCCTGTCCCTGCACTGACTCTGTGCTTTGTCCACACACACTCTGTGATGTGTGCCTTGGACATAAAATTGTGTCAAAATTAACCTGGGGAAAAAATGAATATGCATGCTGCTTTTCCAGTACAGCTCTTTGCACAGCTGAATCTGTTTTGTTTGCTTGCACAGGAAGGGAGAGAGCTGGCTGGAAGGGATTGCATCCCTTGTTAGTACTGCAGCATTTGCCATCCAAAGGAGGCTGTATGAAACTATAGCCAGGGAATGGGGCTTGCTAATGCTGGTGCATATAATGCTGTCCTGGCTTATGGTCATGACTGTTTCCTTGACTGCATGGTCCTGACCTCTGCCTTGTACTGAAATTTCTGCAGCAGTTACAAGAGCTAGTCTGGTTAAAGTCCAGTTGCTTCTTTTTTTCTTGCCAGCATTAGATTTTTGCCCAGTTTATCCATTTCTAATGGTTTTGGTTGAACCTGAGGAGGGAGTTTACCTGTGTGTAGATCAATGTAGACAGCCCTTCATCCTTAGTGAGGGAAGCTGTTTTATAGCTTTGTAAGTTAACACTCTAAGGTGGTCCCTTTTACTGAGGATTGAATTGCTAACATAAAGTAAAGATAGCACTTTAAAGATGATCAGCTCTCAATGTTTCCTGATTCTTAAGTGACAGGGGATTTTTGAATGTGATCTTTTAAAATCTGAAGACAGAAATGTATTATGTAAACACACTATTGACAGTTGTCTACCTGATTGTCTACATCTAAATATAGTTTGGGGTTAAGGAGCACAGTGGCACCGTGGTCTTTCTTAGTTTTCCCAGAGAGTGAAAAGAGCTGGTTGAGTACCAGCTCCTCACTCTTCAGGAGTAGGAACTGGACCAGAGCTCTGGCATTCGGTCCAGATCATGTGGCAGTTGTGGCCTATCCAGTAAATCTGGAATGAGCTGAAGCTGCTGCTTTGCTAAATTTCTTTTGACAAGACACAAGATATTCAAAAGTAGATTTAAAAACTCTCATTTCTTTCCAGCCTGTTAGTGTTAATATGTCTTTTAAAATAAGGCAGTCCAACTTGTATGTTGACTAGAACAAAGCTTTAGCTCTCTTAAAAACTCTCATATTTAGGATAAAAGCAACTGGATCAGTTAGAAATTTGTGGTATCTGTTGTGGGCCCTTAGCTACTCAAATTTCTATTTTGTTTATCTGATGCAGATTTTGAACAACTTTCATCTCCTTGTTGCAGCATTCTTCTGTTTTGCCTATCCCGTGCTTGGTATTTCTGTTTGTTACCCGCTATGGCTTTGATGGATGCCTTTATTCCCTCTTTTCATCTCTTCTCAAACCTCTGTGCTCTTGTTTTTGTCACATTTTCATCTCTCATTTTCTGGGCTGCCTTTGGAAACATTGACACTTCAGGATGGCAAGAGTATGGATAATGGAGAGCATAGTCAATGTAAAGACATTAAATATTTTTAAGTCCCTGTAATGTTTATGTTTCTGTACTGAAGGACAAGCCAATCATCAGATGTGGGGTGAGAAAGAGTTTTGGGTTGTAATCTTCCTTTTGCAAGCCTGCACTTTGTTCTGCTTCTCAATGCTTTTGTGTACTTAGATGTAGTGAGCTTCTACCATAGGGATCTAGATCATGGCAGTGTCTGTGGTGTCCCATTGTCTCTGGCTGTGTGGGACATGCTCTTCTCTGTCTTTTAGGGCCTCTGTTACTGAGATCAAAGTGCTGGATTGAAATGTTAGAGGATGTTTAGAAATGTTTTATGACATACAGTGTGTGCCTGTTGTTCTGGTGTTACCCTTGGTTCCTGGGAACTCAGTTTTGTGACCTTGTGCAAGTCTTTTCAGCCTCAAAGAAAGGATTCTGCAATTTATGTTTATTTCCTGTTTTATACAACAGGAAAAAATATGCATTGCTCCAGCTAAACAGCAAGTTTGTACAATAATGTAGAGATTAAAAACAAGTCATGTGTAGTACTCACAATCTTATGCAAGGTAACCTTCCTTTAGGGAAGTTGGGGGTATTCAGTTTTCACTCCTACAGAATTTCTCACTTCACTAATGCATTTAATAAATGATAAATTTCAATGGAAGTTGTGGGAGTCTGTTATAGTATGTAAAATGTAACTTTCTGAATTGATAGAAGACATAATGAATGGTCAAGACTTAACTTGAGAAGATGTGATGTACCATACCAACATTTGGTCTCCATATCTGGTCTCATGTTTTTTCATAAATGAGTTGAAAAAATCATTTGAGAAAAAGTTTTGGATAATAAAAGTTTGAACATATAAAAACTGAGAACATGTAAAAAAAAATTCAGGTTCATCAAAATAAACCAAATGTGTCTCCTCACACTTTACTTAAAAAAAGCCTTAGAAAAGCTTACCTAAACACATAACGAAGTGTAGCAGAATAAAACAGATGGGAACCAGGCTCCCTGCATGACTGTTTTATGAAAAAAAAATCTTAATATAAATAGATAATAATTGTTAATGTCAATTCCTAATATAAATTGAAAAATAACATTTGCAGTCATGGAATATACTAGGGAAATAGCAGACCTCCCTTGGTATGTCTGGGTCATCATTAAGAGGTGTCAACAGTTATTTTGATATATAGTGTGCAAGACAAGAATTGTAATTATTTACTCTGATTGTTTTGTGTATTAAACCTCTGTGTGTGAGTTCTGAAACATAATTTTCAGTACTGCAGTTCACATTGCTGGCAGCTTTCACAATAAATAAATGTTTTGGAATGCTTAGGGAGAAAGAAGTAGATGGATAACTATATATAAAGTTTGTATATGAAAATTTTGGTATAAAAGCGCAAGCATTAATTCTTAGAAAATGAAACATATATACAGTGTTATTTGTATTGATTAATAAATATTTCTTACAAGAAACAAGTTTTTAATGGGGGGACTAGAAGATCATTTATCATGACATATCTATAAAGGGTTTGCATTCTTGTTAGGAAAATCAGCTTACTGACAAAAACTGCCAAGGAAGAATTTCTCTTGATGGTATTTGGATGCCAAATAGAAACATGAACTTGATGGATGATCTATAAAGTGGAATCAAGCAATGCTTGTTATGTAGGGGATATAACCCTTTCCATTCAACCTTCTGATTTTTAGTCATACTTGAACTGAAGGTGCTGTATGTTAATCATGGTCATTGTAGAGCATTGGATTGGTAACAGAAGTGACCAAAATTGTAAACCCTTGTGCAACTTAAGAGCAGAAATTCCAACCTAACTAAAACAAATTCTTGTTGTATGTTACAATTAGTTGTTTCCCTCTGTTTTAGAGAACTTACTGTGTGAAAATGTGTGTGTGATGAATGGGAAAATGTAAAGTGACTGGCACCATGTTTAGAAGCTGTGCTTTATAGCTCTCTGTTTTTCTTTTTTTTTTTTTTGCCTATAGCCTCCACACCACTCAGCAGAGTAAATAAACGTAGAGTTCCTCCAAGTGTTGTTTCCACCTGGGAAAAGAGAGGCATCATCATGTCTAACATTACTATTGACCCAGATGTGAAACCGGGCGAGTATGTCATCAAAAGCCTCTTTGCTGAATTTGCTGTTCAAGCTGAAAAGAAAATTGAACTTGTAATGGCTGAGCCTTTGGTGAGTCCTTTTTTTATAGAATCTCTCAAAACGGTCTTTTTTTTTTTCTGAAATAGGCTGATTTATCATATGTATGATTACTGAAGAAAGCACTCCCAGATATCGTTGACTTTTCAAAGAGATTACTTCAGGAATAAATAAGCTTCTGCAAACAGGGTAGCTACCTGATTTGTTTTATTGACTTGTGTCAAAACTGTTACCTAGTAGTTACTGGAAACAAGATCTCTTAGTGTATCCCTAAGGAAATAGGAACAACAAAAAATATTCCTTCATTAATACTGTGAAGTGTATTTCCTGTCAGTGTTTCTTTTACATAATACTTGGGCAATATACTTTCAAGGAAATATGCATTTGGTTTATTTTCTGAAGTAATGATACTAACACCTGGAATAATACAGTATTCTGCATATATTGCAGATTAAGCAACAAGGCAAAATTCCATTGGTGATCGAGACCTTGTGGTCCTGAAATAAATGGTTTTCTTTTAATTTGGAAATTTCTGGGGAAAAAAAAAAAAACAACAAAAAACCCAAAACCACAACAAAAAAAAGCAACTTTTTTTTTAAACCTGGAAATTCACTGGGCAGGTGAGATGCTGTGGCTAGCAGAAGGCCAGCTCAAAGAAAGCTTCTGTTGGCAGCTGCTGCTTGCTGAAATGTTCGTGTGCAGAAAGTGCATATATGAGCATTTGACCCCCAGTTTTGAAATTTCAGAACAAAGTTTTCTTAGGAGGCAGTCCAAAAGAACACGAAAGCAGGACTAAAACTGTTTTGTGGATTATGGAATCATCTTCAACTACAACCATTAGTAGATAAAAGGCTGAGGAAAATTAAACTTTTCTTTATACCTATTCTTTATATATATGTCTGTGTGCACCAGGCAAGTTTACAACTTTAATATAACTTGTTTATTTGTTTTTAAGACATCCAAAAAAATAATGTATTCAGGGGGGTTTATAAGAAAGCACAAGAACTTCATAGCATAAGAGCCACACAAGTGATGAAGGGTACCTGGCTAAAAATGAGAGGAGAGCTGTAGTGGCAGTGATGCTGTGGGTGGAAAGGCTGGTAGCTCCACCATCCATTGCAAAACTTGTCCCTAAACCAGATAAAATAAATCCTCTGTCATCAATCCCAGGTTGTGTCTCACTGCCATGCTGTTGACTGTTAATTAAACAAATGTTTTTAAATCTGTTAATCATACAAAATTGAAACATCTCACCAGATTAAAAATTAGAAACCCCATGAAACTAATTAAATAATTTGCTTTTCACAGAAGAGTGATTCCCATCTCTTTTGCCTTTATGAGGTTTTATGGTGATTGCATGAAGTCTATTTTATTAAAGAGTTTTTACTGATAAGAATATGAAGTCAGTATTTTGTGTGTTTACCATCTGTATAAAATTTTTTTTTAGAATAAAGTAAGAAATTACAAATATTACTAAAGTAGTCCTCTATAAAGGTTTTGAACAGTTTTGTCTGGGTTAAACAAAATGTGTTTTAATGGAATCAAATGTAATTTATATGTATAGTCAGCTTTCCTTATTTTATATTGGTGAGAGAGATGGAGTGTATAGAAAAACAGCAAATTAAGAGAGGTGTCAAAAGCTGTGAAAAAGTGGAACAACCTGAGACTGTATAACATAAAGAGGTAGAAGGGAATCCTTAGGTGTCTCACTAAAAGGAAATACTGAAATATTGAAGCAGCTTTATTTCTGTATGTAGAATTTAAGTACTGAACATTCAGTTCTAGTGTATGAAATTTAAAAAGAAAGATAAAAAGGCTGGAAGAGCACCAGAAAAGCACTGATTGTAATTGGATAAAAGGCTTTAATGGAAGAGTGGAAAGCCCTTTATTATTTTAGTGTGATTTGATTTTGTGGAATGACTTGGCTGCAAACAAAAGTATGAAGAATATATATAGAATTACATAAATCTTTAATGAAGCTTGGCTGTTGGGTGAAGCTGTTTGAGAGAATTTAAAGCCAGTCCAATGAAAATTAGGAGCTGGACAGTTTTTAAAACTTGAACGTGTCAGTAGGGGAGCAAAAATTAATTAAAATATAAACTTTAATAAAAAAGTGCAGATCAAGACAGCATCTGTGGGTGAGGGGTAGTACCATTTTTGCTACATGTATAGATTTTGCTAGATGTATGGATTACATTTAAAAGTAACTGACTTATGATTTCAAAAATTACTGAATGGTTTCTCTGGCTGTGATTTTTACCTAATTTCTTCTTACTAATTTAATTGAGTTCTCTGCTTGCAAAATTGTAATACCTCAGCATTTTCAAAGTTACAGACAGAGCTTATCAGCAAATGCTTAAAATAAATGAATAAAGGAAAGCAGCAAGTATAATGACAGGAAGGAAAATCATCCTTTTAGTGAATAAATAAAATAAAATCACTTCTTTTTTAACCAGCTATGCTAAGACTTTTGCAGCAGTATATAGTTTTAAATGAAAAAAAAGCCCAAGAGTAGTCTTGTAGCTTAAAAAATACTCCTCCTCAGCTGAGAGGGATGACACTGAGGAATGACACCAGCCTTCCCCAAATGTGACGTAAACCATACCAGATAAAAAGATTAGCAATAAACTCAATTATTTTGCATTTTGTCAAGCTGCATGTAAATATGGATGGTTAGAATTTAAGCAGAGAATTTAACATGGTGCCACCTACTAAATTGTAGTTGTCTCACCTTGAAGTCACAACTAGCAAGAGTATTTAAGCCAGTTACCAACACAATTTTATTCTGTTGTGGAAACACTATACACGGCTCTGACTAACACTGTACACTTTTACAAGTCTTGCTTTGTTGCTTTCAAAAGTTTGTCTGAAGTAAAATTTAGCACAATACTCTGCTTGCCCCTGGGGCAAGGGTGCACTGCACAGCCCTTGGGGCTTCAGGAGGCAAGGCAGCATCCCTTGTCTGGTTTCTTCCCTGCAGCTTGGAGCACAGCCAGAAGCACTCTAGTTTGCTGTGCACACCTGAGCCACCCTGCTGAGGTGTGCTAGCCACCAGGGATGGTGCCAGGGAATGCTGGAGAGGGGCCAACGGGTGGTACCTTTTTCCGTGGGTGCAGTTGTTTGCGCAGCACATGCACATCCTGATCCCTGCTGCCTGCTGTATGTTGACATTTCTCCTTTACACAATGGATGCAAACTGCTCTTTGCTTAATGCAATAGTGTTTTGGGTTTTTTCATTTCACTTGTAGAAGATAAATGTAGACCTATTATAGCCATGAAAATAAATCTTAAATTATTAATTCAGTTAGAGTTTCCAGACCTTTATGCTGTTGAATAGATATTTTTAAATCATGTGAGATGACTTGGAGCCATGACAAAGTAGAGGTAGAAGAAGACATTAAAAGAAACTAGATTTTAAAGCCAAATAATTCAAAAGACTTGATAAACCTGTGGTTGGCTTCAAGAGTATTATTTGGTTATGTCTGGTTTGTGTGGTCAGTGTTACATTAACTCTACAGTATATTTACCGTTTAACAGTTAAGATCCTTAGTGCTGAGGAAACAAAATAGAGTTGGTTATGAACTTGTAAGGTCTTCATTCTTTCTGACCTTAAAATCTTAAACATTTGATATACAGACGTATCTAAACTAGTATGGATTATGGGAGGGAAGCTGAACTTTCAGAACTAGTTTGCTCTCTGTTGACGGGGATTTCAACTTCTTTGTGTAAAGACTTACAGATTATTTCACTTCTCTTTGATCTGTCATTTTTTTCTTTTGTGATTTTTGGGTTTGGACATGTGCAATGGGTATAACGAACCAAGGGTTTCTTCACCTGTGTAAGAGTTTTGTAGTATTATGGTGGAAACATGGTTTGTTGGGATGTTGTATCCTAAGGAGACTTAAGGAACCTGACTTTTCCCATCTTCTTACAGGAAAATCACTTTTCCATCTTAAAAGGAAATAGTTTTATAATTTTTGTCATTTAACTTAATTAGTGATGATACAATGTTTGTATAGAATGAAACATTTCTTGTATTTTTGCTTTATAGATAAGTTAGTAATTATTGTGCAATTTACCTGAAAGCATAATACAGATAACACACATTCATCTATTATAGTAGGCATTTCAGTGTAAGAAAAAAGAGGGAAGACTGCTAGCTAAAAGAAAATTTGGCTTTGCAAGTGGTCTCTGGAGATTTTAGTATATCTTCAAAATACCAATTCTCATAACAATGTTTTGAACAGATTTAACATTGCAAATTACATTAATTTAAAATAATCAAGAAAGTGAAACCTTTTCCCCCTTGCTTTTGAGTAGACAGTGAAAGAACATTGACTATTACATCAGTTGATCAAAAACTAAAGCTCTTCAGCATAGTCAATGCATTTTCCTAGAAACCCCCTTCTTAAAATATTTTTTAATTTGAGCATACTGGAAGTGAACATAAATGGTAGTATTTTCATGGATAATTAAGTGGATTTCTTTGGATTATGGAAAGGGAAAACAACTAGGGAATTGGCATCTATATTATTTTAAATTATACTTTCAGAGTAGACAAATGCTTTTTGCCTGGGCAGTGTTGAATTCAAGTTTTCAGAGGCTGTAATAGTTGCCAGATATTGCATGCTTTTTAACACCAAATACAGCTGTACTTACAGGAAAAAATGCTGGAAACTGTGCTGTATTTTCAAGGTTACAATTAGGACAAGAAAAAGCAAGTTGCCCATTCAAACCTTGGATTTGGGACATGCAATATGAATTTTTATCTGCTGAACATACAGGCTCTCTCTTGCAGCCTTGCAAGTGTTAATCGTCAAGCAGTGTTGACTTTCTCAGTTTTTGTCAACAGCCTGACAGCATGGGTGTTGTCTCATACTAAACTTCTGAGCAGTTACTTTGTGCTGAGTTACAACCTGTCGAGAGCTGAACTGCCTATCAGTATTGCTCTCACCTCCTTTTATGTGCCAAACCAGGCAAGTTAAGTACTTGACTTACCTTGCTCTATAAAACTTCCTTGTTTGCTTACTGCAATCTAATGTGAGCTATTAACCCTTTACTCTAGGTACTTTTTAAACTTACCTTGTGAAAGATAACATTTTGAACTCATTTATATTATCAAGTGAAGGATAGTTTAATTTTTTTTTAATAACAGGAAGTGCTCAGCAGATCTTTTTGTATGTTACTGCTTTGCAGTGTGCCCTTAAAGCTGTTACTTTGGTACTTGGGTTGCTGTAAATCATGGACCCTCAGAGCCAGTCCACAGGACTCAGTGTCCTCTCTTCTTTTTCTTTTTTCTTCCCTTTTTTCTTTTTTTTCTTTCTTCTTTTCCTCCACCTTTTTTTCTTTTCTTTTTTTTTTTTTTTTACTTTCCAGAATACCTGAGCAAGGTATAAAAGGTATTTCTTGTAAGTGTATAATTTCGTACTCTACACAGTGACTAGTGAGAAATACTGTTTACTCTTAGAGCTGGTAAATGTTTTGTTTCTGTAATGCTTTAATCCTCACTAAATTATTTTGTCAGGAATATAATTTAATTTTGCTTTTAACAGAGCAGTATGTCATATGCCACTGGTAGCACTAAGTATTGTAGGAAGTAAAATTCTAATTTTTTTTTTTTTGTCCCTTACAGTTATTTCAAGTTAAAGCAAGTGATTATTCACATTCTCCTTTTACTGGAGTAGGTCTTCTAGCTGTGTTTCACTGCAGTTCAGGGAAACAGCAGATTGGAAGTGCATTGAACACTTGTCTCTGCCTTTGTGAAGGCATTTTAAAAATCATTATTGTTAGAATAATTGCTATATATGAACATGAAGACACTTGTTAATTGAGATAGGAATGGCTTTCCCTCCAAGTTACACTTGACACCCACCACCAGCTGGTCCCTGTTTGGCCTCTGACATCTTCTGTTTGTCAGTCTTTAATGTTATTATTGTTTAGCTCCTTAATTTTTGGGAGTTTACTTCATGTCTCCAGAAATATTTCTATCTAAAAAACAGTGCAAATATTTATATTAAAAGTTATTTCTTTGTTCTGTAATGTAACTGGAAAGAAGGAATCTGTCTTTGATAATAGTCACTGACATTGTGAAATGTATGTTTCTTCTTATTTTTGTTTTTGACAGGAAAAGCTCTTGTCCAGATCTCTTCAAAGAGGTGAAGATCTTCAGTTTGATCAGGTAGGAGACATATAATTGAAGGAAACTTTCATTGGATTAAGGTGGGCTTTACTTTTGCAGAATAGTGGTTCCACTGTTGTAATAACTTCGAACATTTGCATGTGAATCTGTGTCAGAAGATTTAGATTCTGAATGTCAGTTAGACTTTATTTTCCATTGTAGAACATGATAGCAAGAAACTACTAGAATAGGTAATTATTTGAAGGTGGCAGTAAAAACTGGTGGAAGAAAGATGCTGAAATACACTACAGGACAAAAAGTCTTAGTTTATTTCTACTATCAATTTTTGTTTGAGTGTTTGGGGTTCTGTTTTTATAAACAGTGTTAATTTTATTTCAGTAAACACAGCTTTTACTGGGTGCTTTTTGGTCCTATTGCAGAAGGTATAGGGTAGATCCAGAGTGTTACTGAAGTGTTACTTTGTCCGTTGCTGAGAATATAGATAACTGCTAGGCAATTCCATTTCACTTCCTCTCAGTGAACTGTGTCTGGAAGGACTCTCTGCTCAATTTATTCCTATTTATTGTATGTATTTCAAATTCTTCGATAGTGTAGGCTTGTTTGTGTCCCATAACCCCTTCCTTGCAGTGCAGAGGCAGTGTTCAGAGGAAGCTCCATTAATTGCCTGTTCCTGTCTTGACTGTTCCTGAATAGCATCTACTATATGTGTCCAGAGAGAGGTTCTAAAACAGGCTGAGGGAAGAGAAATAAAAAATAGAACATGTAACTTTTAAAATGTTATGATGTATAAAGAAATTAGTCTTCCTGAAAAAAAGGTTTTTTAAAAAAAGTTTTGATTGTGTATATATATATATATGTGTGTGTGTGAGAGTTCTTATTTTGTTCTTTTGTTATTTGTAATCTACTTTGAAGTCAAGATCTGAACTTTAATGCAATTGAATAACTGCTTTAGACAGAACTGAATGGCTGGGATTATGAACTTTATTAGGGAATTTTGCACATTGTTTGGCAAAAGGAATTATGATTGTGTGTCTCTGTTCATTGTGTGCTGTATAAAACCCTTATTGAGAACAATTCTCCAGCAGTAGAGAAGATTACAGATTAAACAAGTGATTGGCAAAGTGTGGGAATGAGGAGGATCCAGAAGTCACAGCATCCAGCAGAGAAGCTTAAGAGCTGTTGCTGGGCCAACCTTGTTCACCCAGAGGTCTTTATGGAGCCAGGAATCTGAGTTTAAAAATGGCTTTACCTATAATGTACCAATAATGGGGTCTGAGCTATAAGTGTTGTACTTTGTGAATAAAGAGAGCGTGCTTGGAACACAAGAGGGCTGTGGGACTAAGGTGGTACCTAATTAAGACTTGTTCTCTCAGCTCAGTAAGTGATGAGAAGAGGGATGGAGGAGGAAGGCATGTAGTGTTCTCTGTCTCTCTAATGAAAAGTAAAATAGCATTTAATGGGATTATAAGTTATTTTTGTTAGAAACATAACCAGACCAAGAGAGCTGCTATTAAAACAAGTTTGAAAAATCAATAGCTTTTAATTTTCAAACAGCAGAAATCTTCTGTTTGTCATTTGATATCTTAATTGGAACGATAATATAAATTCAGCTAAAACAGATGAAATTTTGGAAAAGGAGAAGGAAATCTGTAGGTTGATACACTTGTGAACTGTTAAAAATTGTAGCATTTTAGTGCCATTGCTTTCCCTTTATCAGGAAGCTACCAGACATGAGATTTTTTATAGAGCATATATTGCATTTCTTAAAATATTTTTGCTTGTACAGCTTGAAACTGAAATAGCCTGTGTGTTTCTTTTTCTTTTTTTTGCTTGTTGTAGGAAACATACTTGACAATTTCCTACTCTTGTCCTAAGACACCAAAACTTTATGATCACACAGAAGCCTGTGTTGACCTTCTCAGTGACTGAAAGCAGATGTATGTGAGGTCCAGGCTTGTTCATGATTAAGCGCAACTTGAGGAACGTTTTCAGGATTTTGGCTAAAGCTGGAATTTGTGCTTTAGCATCTCACTTAATTTTGCTTCTTTCTTTTTACCTCTCCCTGTGCTGTTGAATATGTTATGTGAAGCAATTAGCAGTAAGTTACAGCCTTTAAGACTTGAGCAGGATTTGCTGTTTCATTCTGAGGAAGTGAAGTATACGTCATGTCTATTGCAGCCCTGTCCTCCTGGGTATTACAGGAACACTTTGTCTGGATTGCTGCTTTCAACCTAGGCATAATGTAAGGCTAAAATAAAAAGAGTTTTCTTGTATAAGAAATAGATCTTCTATATAAAAGATTTTTTTTTAATATAAGATGATTTTGAATTTAGTATCCAGGCAGTGTAGTAATTACTTAAAATGAAACATAGCTGATATTCTGCTTAGAAGATATGCAGTATTAGCAGAGATATCATCTTCCTGGTGATTCCAGTGCCTTTTCATTAGAATACAAAGAATGCAAAACTAGGCAGGAAATAAATAATTATTGTGTAAAACTTTTTATTTTTCAAGAGGAAAATGCTTTATTTATACCAGTAGTTTCTGGGTTTAGCATTTTACCAGTGACATTTTTGAATGTGTGTAATACATGCTTGTTTCTGTGGAAGCCAATATAAATTGCCTAACTACTTTTATGATCATTTATGAATGGTATTAGTATTGATAAACTGTGTAAACCTGCAGGAAAACCTAAGGAAAAGGTTTAGTAAAGCTTAAAATGCAGCTTGCTTCTTTTCCTACTGCTAATAAATACATCAGTTCAGAGCACTATTTAATTCTTGTGACTTGAATAACTGACTAATTAACAAGCTGAAGTAATGTATTCAGAAGATTAAAAGAGGTCCTTCTGAGGTTTGCCTCTGGTTAACTGGTCCCCATCCCTTCCACAAACCTAAAACCCCAAGATGCTTCAAATGAGGAAAAAGAAATAACTCCATTAATATTATATCAGAGCATATAATGGCATAATATTATATTGTTACCTGGAATAGTGAATAATAGATATTAGAGCCTGAGCGTGGCTTCTATTTAAACCTTATTTGAAAGATCCAAGAGGTAAGTAACACATGGCATCAGTGAGCAACATGGTAACTCTCCTATTCCAGCCTCTGTTTAGGGAATGGGCTTGCTCCCTTCTGCCTCCTGGAAGCAAGTTTATAATGGCATTTTGCTATCTTCAGTCATTCTTCTCCTTTCCAAGCTGGGGTACTTATGAGTTCTCTTAAGTTTTTAGTTAAAGGAAGCTTAGATAATTTAAGTTTAATAACATCTTAAAGTCTTCCTTCTATAATGGTTTCTATTGCCACATCTGTTGTACAGATGAGTTTTCTACTTCTACAGATTTTCTGAAAGGAAGCAGAAGATAAGCATATATACTTATATGCTATACTAAAAGTAAATATAGCTTGAGACCCAGACTAGTCAAATGAATTACAGGCAATGTAGAATATCTAAAAGGCTCTTATTTTTGTTTACATAACAACCAAAGAACTAGGTTTTTTTAAAAAGTTATAAAATTATTCAGTTTAGGAGGGTTGGCTCTGTTATTTGTGATGTGAAGGTGTGTATACTTCAGACATACATATGGCAACATTCAGGGACATTCTGAAACCTCTGCTTTTGTTTTCTCAATGATTGTATACATGCTACATGTCTATAAATTTGTCATTTTTTGATCCCTGTGAGCTTTGGAACACTTTACTTAAATTTATTATAATAATTGACTTAGTGTGTAATATTTACAGTAATTGTCCTAGGTGAAAATGAATATAAAGTTGCCACTTTGTTATGTGATATATGGTTTTTAACATTAAAAAACAATTTGAAAAATTTATTAAACTGTAGGATTTTCATTGCTATATCAGGCTAAAGTATTTTTCTTACTCTTTCAGTTGATAAGCTCTATGAGCTCAGTAGCAGAGCACTGTCTCCCCTCCTTACTACGCACCTTGTTTGACTGGTACAGGCGCCAAAATGGAACAGAAGATGAATCTTATGAGTATAGACCTCGGTCAAGCACAAAATCAAAGGGGTAAGAATCTTCCTTGCAGAAGTCTTTTTGTGGCTTTCACATAAGAAAATGTGTACCTTGTACTTCTGTGACAAGTATGTTGTATTTGGATTTGTCCTTACCTAAATTTGTGTAGGAAAAACACAGACATCTTTAAGGTAGTGAGGTAGTGTATTTAACTTGTGTAGATGATATACATGAAGTGACTTAATGGTTTTGGTGTGGATATACAGAAGGAAGTTCGATACTGCTAATTCTAAGCTAGTTTATCTTTTTTTTTTTTTTTTTTTTTTAAATTATTGGCAGGTCCTTTCAGGAGGAGGGGGAAAGATGTCAGTACTGTGCCAAACCCCCAAGTCTTTCCTCCTATCCATTTTATATACATCTGAAACAGTGATTACATGAAAAACAATGCAGTCCTTGTCTCTGCAATATTTGTGTTCAGTCATGTGTCTGATACCTGTGTTTCTTATTTGATTTTAGGGATGACCAACAACGTGAAAGAGATTATCTACTTGAAAGGAGGGACTTAGCTGTAGATTTCATTTTTTGTTTAGTTTTAATAGAGGTTCTAAAACAGGTAAGATCTTCTACTTTGGCAAATTAAGTTTTATATTTTGCTTGTAATGTTGGTTTTGATAATCTCCTTTAAATTTTTATTTTAAAAACTAGAACATCTATGATGAGCATATGCAAGGCTGTAATTATGCTCTCAGTTACATAAAGCCTTTGGCCTCTCCTGCCTTTTCTTTATATGCCTGCATTATCTCAGTTCATATGTCTTGGAAAGCTGCTGCTGTACTGCAAAAAGCAGAACTGTAAAAAAATAGCATCTAATTTATGTTCAATACCCTTTGTCAACTTAAATGTTGTTGAAATACAGGTTGAAATTAATAGATAACAAGGTTAAAATGTCACGTTAAAATTATTCTTATTTGGCTAAGTATGCCAATGCAGATTGTGGAAAATTATATATTGCAAAATTAGCTTGATATATGCCAGCAAAGCATGTGTCCTTGGACACTGGCAGGAGAGATTTCTCCAGGGCATCTCACAGTACTGTTTATTTGCTTTATACATGCATGTATCTTTAGGTGCTACATACATGTAAGTCGTATGTGCATTTCAGATACCTGTTCATCCAGTGCCAGATCCTTTAGTACATGAAGTTCTAAACTTGGCTTTTAAGCACTTTAAACATAAGGAAGGGTAAGTTTCACTTGTGTACTTTAAAATTATTTTTATTACCAGCCTGTGCTTCTTTGTTGTGATTGCCTTCCTTTGCCTCACATGTAACATGTTGGTGATGACACCAGTGTGAATGAACATGAGTCGATGTCTTTCAATTGAAAACACATCTTGAAAGAACACAGCTGTGTTCAATGCAGCACTGAGTTTATTTTGTTTAGAATATACAGAATGATTTGCATCCTCAGACACAGTAAGAAAAGTCTGAGTTTGGATAAATATAGTAAAATTTCTATCCGGAATACATTTCTTTTGAAATAAAAAAATTCAAATACATTACTTTAAATGTCACCCATGCATTTCATGTTTGAATTTAATTGTTTTTATGGTAATAATTTGCCGCTAGGGGACAAATTTTTTGTTTGTAATTGAGAACTTGCTTGGGGTTTAGAAGAACAAAGTTGTTTTTAATGAGTTTTTTTTCCTTTATTGTGTTTCTTTTAAAATTTTTTTTCCTCTTTAGGTATTCAGGAACCAACACTGGGAATGTGCATATTATTGCAGACTTATATGCAGAAGTGACAGGGGTTCTTGCTCAATCAAAGTAAGTTCAGTCTCTGACTCTTTGTGTTTAGGGACAGACCAATGGAAACTTAAAGACTATTTGATATAGTGGAATCTATTCATGTCCCCAGTAGATAATCCTGTAAGGGTATAATGTAGTCAGGTGTAGTGTGTTTTGTCTGTCTGATGTTCCAGCACAAAAAATTTGAACAAATCAAGAAAAAAATCTTTTGTACAATTGCTTTGCAGTCAGCTTGTTAGGGGCATGGAAAGGAGGCCCTGTGCCAGTCAACTGTTGTTTACTTCACTGGTATATTCTAATGTACTGATCATTGTAGGCACTCTTAAATGCCTAGATTTGAAGTACCAGGGTTTCATCTCCCTTACTTTTCTCATATAGTAGCTGCTGTTATTGTTACAGACTAGAGAAATTGCTTCAAAATAATCAACCTCATACAAAAGTAACAAAGAATGCAAATAATTGCTATCTGTATCCCTTGTTCAGGTTTCAAGCTGTTAGGAAGAAGTTTGTCACTGAATTAAAGGAACTGCGGCAGAAAGAACAGAGTCCTCATGTAGTACAGAGTATCATCAGTTTGATTATGGGAATGAAGTTTTTTCGAGTAAAGATGTATCCTGTGGAGGATTTTGAAGCATCATTTCAGTTCATGCAGGTAAATAAATGCTACAGAAAACTGAAATGAGTATAATTTTAGATGCTTAAGTCATGAAGTTACAATGACACTTGCTGTGATCAGTCACCTCCTCTACTTGTGTGCCATCCTTCATCCTTTTTTGTTCCTGATTTTTCAGAGGTGTGAATTACTTGTTTCTCTACATGTGAGTCCCTCTCATCAGGAGAAACCTCTCACAATTGCCTTAGTAGTGTGTCAAACCTCTAATATATGAATTTAAGACTGAATGAAAATGGGCAGCAATCAAATAATCTTCTGTCTTTATAATGGCAGTGTATTAAAGGAAAAGAATTACTTGACACATAATTTTTTAACAGATGAGATGCCAAGACATACTTTTCTTTAAAAATACTTCACTGTAGATTATTTATTGTGTATGGCGTATTTAATTATCTTTAATTTTCTTTGCATCAAATTCCTTTGAAAATAAAAACTGGTGTATAAAAATAAGATACAAATTTCCAATCATTTTAATAGAGGTAAGCATTAAACTTTTTTAAGCTTCAAAATAATCTGAGGGAAAATGTGCATATTTATATTCTTTTGTATTCTGAGTACTCTTTATATTCTGAGTAAAAAGTAAATAGCTATGTGGTATTACAAATGTTCTCCTTTCAGTTCATTGAGGTGTATTGCTGTGCAAATAGGTTTTAAAGTTTCTTATGTTTTGTGAAATTGATACTGCTAAGGAATATAAAACTAACTCAAATACATTGCACATTTTAAATTTAAACAGGCAACAAATGTTAGACTGCTAGTGGTTTTTATGGCGTAGTTACATTTGTAGTCTTTTTTTCTAAATATTTTTCTAATGTTTTCTTACTTAGGAGTGTGCTCAGTACTTCCTGGAAGTAAAAGATAAAGATATAAAACATGCACTTGCTGGTTTGTTTGTGGAAATTCTCATACCTGTAGCTGCTGTAAGTATTTTAATCTCCTCTGCCATACTGTTCCTCCCACTTCCAATTGGGTTCTCATTATTAAAATTCTTCAATTAATCCTGAAAATTTGAAATTTTTATAGATTCAGAAATACATCTGGTAGTGAGGAGGGCTCACAAGGAGACTGAAAAGGGACCTTTTACAAGGGCATGTAGTGATAGAACAAAGGAGAAGGGCTTTAAACTGAAGGAGGGTAGGATTAGATTAGGTTATAGGAAGAATTTCTTTACTCGAAGGGAGGTGAGGCACTGGCACGGGTTGCCCAGAGAAGTTGTGGATGCCCCATCCCTGGAAGTGTTCAATAGCAGGTTGGATGTGACTCTGAGAAACCTGGTCTAGTGAAAGGTGTCCCTGGCCACAGCAGAGGGGGAGTTAGAACTAAATTATTTATAATGTCCCCTCCAACACAAACCATTCTGTGACTGTTAGATAGATTACAAGCACCTTCACAGTCTTAAAGGGAAATAGGTTGGCTTGTGTGTTAGCTAGTTTCTAAAGTTTTTCCAGAACTTTAAAGAATTGTCTGTTTTCTAGATACCTTTATTACCAGAGCATTATGTAATTTTATACATGCTCTAAAACTTTCAAATTTCCTTGGTTTAATATTTGTTTGCTCAAGGGTCTTGTTGACTTTTCTTTATTAGCTGAAACCTCTAAGTTCTTTCTGTAGTAAGCTGTGTAACATTTTTACAGTTTGATAAAGAGAGTGTGAACTCTTATGCAGGAAGGAAGAACGTAGGTTTTGGCTAATTAAATAAAAATAATTTGTAGAGGTGAATGTCCACTGGATTTAATTCTTTAAGTGGAAGAGCAGTCAGTCATCTCCTGTGTGTGTGTGTTTTAAATCAAAAAGTAGAAATTTCACACAGCAACCATGAACAAAGAAAAAAACCTCATTATCATCCCACTGTTGGATGTACTGTGCCTGTAATGCTGCTAGTGAGAATGTTTCCATCAAGACAGGCTCTGTTTCCTCCCAGGCTGCTTTGCTTGGTTTTGTGAAGCTTGTTCAACAGGTCAAGAAGAAATTATGGTGCCTAAGTAGAATTCAAGTTGACTGTTTACCACAAGCTCAGTTAATTTCATCATAGTAGATTGATACTTTCTAGGATTGTTGTCTAAAATGCTAATTCTATTAGCAGATGCCAGGCCACACTGTGTTTGACATGCAGTCCCGAAAAATGGCTGGTTCTGGCTCTGTGTTGCCACATAGACTATAGGGACACAGCCTGCTATAAATGGCAAATTGGGACATGTAGATCTTGTTTTGTAGAATAGGATCTACAGAGTAGCATGCTGGGTGTGTGTCCCATCTGAGCAAGATCATAGGAGAAAAATAATTCTCTCTGAGTTCTTCATCCTCTTTTAAATGGTTTACTTGCCCTGGGGAAATGCTTTTCTTTTCCATGATGTCAGTCTTGTTTTTTTGAGGGGGTTTCTTGGTTTGGTTTTGTTTGTTTGTGCTTGTTTGTTTGTTTGTTTTGCGGGATTTTTGTGTGTTTGTGAGTTTTGTTTGGCTGTTGCTGGTTGCTTGGTTAGGTTTGGTCTTCTTGGTGGTTTGGGGTTTTTCTAATTACTTTTAAATTACAAAGGAGACAATCTTTTCATAAGACATAACTAGGAAGAGATATTTCTAGTAGTAACTATTTATGGGAAGAAGTTTTGATCTTACCCAGGTATGCTTACACTTTTCTAGAGAAGAACAGAAGAATTTCTTCCCTATTAAAGAGTGAGCACATTTTGTCATTTTGAATTCCATGGTCTCTTGGCAGTTGGAGTGGGAGTGCTGAGTGAAACTACTTTAGCATTTAGGTAAATGCAAATATTAGTTTGCAGAAACATAAACGTGGTGAAAATTGCCCTTGAAATAAGGAGGAAGAAGCAGCATTTGGGAGCTGGGACTATCCTCTGGCAAGGGTGGAGGCACGAGCATGGGCTGTGCAGAGCACAGTGCTGCTGTGTGATCCCTTCCTACCAGCACAGCCTGCCTGAATCAGCGCTTCAGACATTGGGGAGGGAGGCTTGATCTTTCCTTCTGACTCACTGAGTCTCTAATCATTTCATACAAATGGAGCTTCTTAAATAGAAACTCAGAGCTCACTCCCAGGCTGAGGTGCAGTTGAGCAGGTTAGTCATTCTCTTGGAAGATGCGAGATGCAAGTTTGAATATTTTTGATGCAGCTGAAGGAATTGAATGTAGATTTTTCTGTATCTTGGATACAGAAAATCACTCAAGTGAGGAAGCTGTTGGGTTTCAGCATTGAGACTTCTTTACTGTCATTCTCTTGCTTAGTCATTCAGGCATTTTAAGAAACCTGACCTGATTTGGACCCTGCAGGTATGGTGAATCACAGTATATTTTATAGCAGGGAAGTTAGGGCTGCTCTGAAAGCCTAAGGTTACATCCCAAAGCAACAATGCAGTGGTGACAACAACTGACTGATTTCTCATGTGGAGCTAGCAGAGTACTAATCAACTTATAGCCTAAGAATAGCCAAAGAGAAATAATTTGGTACATAGGAAGTGATTTAAATCGTAACTACTTTCTCAGTTCTTTTTTTGTGGATCTGTACACATTACAGAGATACATGCTAATTTTGGACTTCTACATCATGAAGGTTTTAGAGTGTTCTTAGCAAGATGGACATGATTTTTCTTTGTATAGTGTTAGTAGATATAATGTTTATGTAACATTAATAACTATAAATAATAAAAATAACAAAAATTATTATATGCTGTAAGGAAATTGTATGTACAGAGGACCTCTTCAAAAAAAGCCATTTCAGTCTCCAGCAGCCCACCCCTCAATTTGATAAGTAAAGCAGAAACAGCTTAAAACAGTAGGTTGAGAATAGTGTTTAAATAGATCATCCAGGGGATCCAGAGAGAAGCCTAAGAGCCTTGCAGAGGTTTCAATAAAAAGGATGGTAGCTGCCTGGATTGTGGAAGGAAACCTATTATATGTGCAAGAACAGAGTGGGTCAGAAGGGTGTAGGGATCCATGTGTGTTCCATTAATTCTGAAAGCTGAGCAAAGATAACTTGAATGATTAGTTGACTGGTAATCCTGTGGATTTTTTCTTAACTTTCCAGTTTTCACTATTAAAACAAAGAAGAAAACAGGAACAGTTTTCTTCTGTGAAGGTTACAGATACTAATTTTTTGAGTAAATGTAAACATGCCTATGAAGATCTTCAGTGTAGTGTTTTTTTTAGTTGGTATCAAATACATTTTCTTCTTTAAGTGTGGAATAGACACTACATTCCTAAAGCAGTTTATTTTAATGGGCTGTTTTGTTGGGGTGGAGATTTTTGTATGTTTGCTTTAACTGTTAATTTTAACCATATGGTTGTAGTGTATGGCATGATTTCTTATGCTTCTGTTTATATTTCGGATAAATATACTCAAATACTTTCCTAATGTGAAATTTAACTTTTGAATGGTTCTGAATTCATAGACATCTTAATGTATATTTAAATTGCTTTCTGTGTAAATTTTTAAGCCCATTAATTTGTGGGGTTTTTTTTTGTTTGTTTGTTTTTTTTAACAGGCTGTTAAAAATGAAGTGAATGTGCCATGTTTGAAAAATTTTGTGGAGATGCTTTATCAGACTACCTTTGAATTGAGTTCAAGAAAGAAGCACTCGCTGGTATTTTAAAGAAATATTTCAACTCCTCCATTTTGCTCAATTAGGCTCTTAAGCTAGTACATTATATGAGGAAAAGCGTATCAAGCCATATTAATTTAAATCTTAACATCTCAGTATAATTAAATTCCCACAGTGCATTTCATCCAATTTTGCTTTGTTTCTTCGTGCAGATATGTGCTCTTATCTCACATGTGAGATTATCTTGAAATCAGTGCTTGGTTTTGATTATTTTAGTGGGTTTTAGCGGAGTTATTTAACCTAATGTCCTTTTAGAAAAAAACTTGCATTCAGGAAGTCTGAATATATTTAAATTAGGGTTAATTAAAAGATGCAAATGTCAGACAAGGTTTTTTCAGTAAAATAGCAGCCTCTTAATAGCCCTGCTCTGCCTGGTTCTCTCATCTCTGCATACACCTTGTTTTTCTTATTCCAATATTTTTTTATTATCTCTTATTTTTGCAGTATTTGGTTATTTTTGATGACTATGGCAGCCATGTTTGAAGTTGATTCACTTCACTTTGCTGAAAATGTAGAGTTAATTTTTTGTGTTTCAGTTAGCACATTCAGTAAATGCAAGTGAATTTAAAATGTTTTATTCCCACTTTTATGTTATGGACAAACTTTACTTTCTAGTATGCTGCACATATAAAGCATATATCATTGTATTGGTTAAACTCCTTATGTAAGAATAACATAAAATTGTTGATATTAGTATTCAAAATGTCATTTTATTTATTAAGTTAGAAATGTTGTATCAAGAGTACTATTTACCTACTCATCCTTCAGTTTTGCTTCATAACAAGAAAAGCTGCAGTCAGATTTGGTACTAATCACCATGATGTGTTAAAAGTATGTGGTACTTAAACAAATCTTATCTTACTAAAGCAAAGCTAAATTATACTTTGCATATTCACAGATCTAAAATATATTATATTGTGGTTCATTCCTCATTAAAAGTAGATCTTGAGTAGAAGTAGCATTTCTAACAACTTAAAGTCTGTCTGAGTTTTTACTGAGTTGATATTTTTCCTGAGTATTCTTGGAGGCAGTTCACCTGCCCAGCATGTAGAACTATATGAATTGAGTCTTGCAGTTGCAGGAAAAGCCTGAGCATTGTATGAAGGGTAAGACTGCTCTCAGCCCTTGTTTGAGATCAGGCCTTGCTGGGGGATGAGCTTCACCTTGGTCCCACTGCCCCAGTCTGTCCCTTGGAGCTCTTACAGCACTCAGGAGTTACCCAGGGCACTGTGCTTGGCACGAGTGTCCCAGGGCAGGGGAGAGGCTGCCATGCAGTGCCAAAACTGTGAGAGTGAGAGGCAGCAACCAACTGTGTCTCATTCTCAATGTACAACACATAGGAGGTCTACAAAGAGCAATTTGATCAATTCTTTTTCCCCCCCTACTCATAGGCTTTGTATCCATTGATCACCTGCCTGTTGTGTGTCAGTCAGAAACAGTTTTTTTTAAATAACTGGCACGTTTTCCTGCAGAACTGTTTGTCACATCTGAAGGTAAGAATCCTTTTTAATTAAGGAACTGTTGCAAATCACTAGCATTTATTACAATATGTTCTCAGCATTCTTGTGCCAAATAAACAATGAATAATATTTGGCTGTTTAAAAGGACACTGAAATATTTTTCTAAAAAGAAATTAAACGTTTCAAGTCTCTGTATAAAGCTTAATAGTATTAAGTTTTTGTGATGCTATATCGTGTTGGAAATAAATGTGGTCCCCTTGGGGATTATCATTTTTATTGAGTAAAATCTGCAGAAGTATCTGCTAATAAGGGCTATTAATGCCAGAGAAAGTACAAACCTTATTTCTTAATGTGAAAATTATATGTGAGAAAATAAGTGACTTGTCTGCTCTTCTAAATAGAATGTATAGGAAGTGCAAACTTTCTATCTCTTGTTCACTTTCTGAAGGAATAGAAAATGAACTGTGAGACCAGAAAAGAGAAAAGATGTTATATCTACAGCCTGTGATACAAATTTTAATAAACCAATTACAGTGTCCCTTTAACTTGTGCCTTCTGTTGATATCATTGTAGCCATCAATTGGTTGGTAAAGACATCAAGATACTTACAAATCAGTTGCTTTTTTTGTAGTTATTGTACATGTTCTTTCCTTAATTATGATTAACATAATTCTTGATTTTGCCTAATGTGTTGATTTTGAAAATGTGAATAAATTCTTTGATCCTCCTGATTTTGGTTAGCTATGAGTGACAGTTATGAAGCTTATTCATAAAATCTGTAAACCAGCATGAAGTCAAAAGGAAACCGGTTTAGCTGCTTGGATTGTTTTGGGTCATTTTGTTCTTACAACATCTTTCACACCTTTCTGTTGCTTGTTGGGTTCTGTATATTTTTCATCTAACATTATTGCAGTTCTTTTGAAATATTTGCCTTGATTTTTGTTTTGTGGTTTATTTTGCTTATGGAGGCTGCTTGTGCTTTTGTTTTTAAAGCTTTAAAAAAAACTCCTTACAATCTAGGAGTTGCCTTTTTCTGGCATAATGTCCATTGCTGGTAATGGATGTATTAAAACTATAAATGCCAGTGAATTTAACTGGTATTTGCTGAGCATGCATTTTATATTTTACTTAGATTTGTTAACCACTAACAGCTTAACATATTTACTGTAAGGCTCTATTCAGCAGAAATTCCACATACGAATTTCTGCAATTCAGAATTTGCAGTGTTATGATGCTATGCCATCAGTGAGTTCCTTAGGATAGTTTTTTGGCTTGGTTTAATTTGGCACACCAAATACTACCAAGTTTTTTGGGTGCCTACCTTGTTCAGAAACTTTGTTGAGCTTAATCTTGAAAAATACACCCCCACTGTCCTGATGTGTCTTACAAATTAATGTGTTCCTTTGTTTCTGAAGCTAATTAAATGCATGCACTCTGTAATAAGTAATCTCATTAATTTATAAATCTGAATTTCACAGCAGTTTAGTCTTTTGGATTTCCCCTTCCTCATTTTATTTCCTGATTTTCTAATGACTAAAATTATTTAATTTGGAGTTATTTAAATATGTAAAATGAAATGAGAAATTCCAAACCCATTGCCTCTAGTGTCCTTGTTATTAATAAAGTAATTTTGAGAGTTACTAGGAGATACTTAGAGCACTAATAGGATTCATCTACCCCCACTGTATTTGTTAAAATTAACGAATTAGGAATTGAAATAATGATAACACACAGAGTCTGTCACAGGATATTCTATGAAGAGTACTGGCATGCTAGCAAGTCACCAAGAGGTAATGTAGGTCATGGATTCATGGTGCTCTCTTTATTCCGTGGTGAGTACCCAGTACAAACTCTTCCTTAGCCATGAACACCACGTGGCATGTTGGTGACTGAAATGAGCCATTTCCCATTTGCCATGCTGTGAAAACTCACACCTTTGCAGTGGCCCCAAAGTACCTCATGCAGTTTGTTCATACCCTGCCTTTTCTTCTGGTGCTTTATTAAATTTGATAATGCTCCTGAGAGTGCTCTGAATCCTAAACCTGGCAGTATTTATGGTCTTTGTAAACTCTCTGTGCTGGGTTTCAATGCACATTGCCTTTGGTTTTCCTCAAAGCAGGCTTAATGTGTGGGGAGACCATCCTAGCCTTGCTGAAAGGAGCAAACCTAGTGGTCTGGACCAATGCAAATAGCACATCAGTGAGTTGTAAGAGTCAGTTGAGACCAGGAGTGTACAAAAGGGTTGGTTTTTTTCTGGTGTGTATATATATAGTTAGCTTTGTCCCACAAATCTGTTGGGATGCTGTTTCAGCACTGAGCCCAGCAGGCTTTTTTTAACACACTGTAGTGTAGGCAAAATTCTGAGTTTGTTCAGCAGACAGTAACACTGGGTCAGTATTGTAAAACACTTTGCTTACTTTTTTTGACTAGTATTTACACAGACTAATTCTAGCAAGTTTGTCAGAAAGTTGATAAATTCTTGGATGAATCTGAGTTGTGGTATCTTTACTACCTCTTCTGGAGGGAAGAAGGAACATTTTAAAAAGCTAGAGAAATGGGAAAGAACAGTGTCTGTCATTCTGCACCACTGTTGGCTGGAAAAAGAGGTTGATGGTTTTTTTTTCTCACAGTTATCTGTAGAGTCTGTTACCACAAAAGCTTAAAAGTTGAAGGAATGTTTTCTGCCACTATAGCAAACCCTTTATTTCTACTGAATAGAGTCCTTGCTAGACAGCTATCTGTTGGTTTTGAGCTTTTTTTCATCTAACATGCATGTGCCTTCCATTCTCATGTTTGTTATGTTTTGCTGTCTCACATTGCTTTATTTAGATGCCATCTAACAACAGTATCAGAAAACAAATAGAAACACTGCAGGTGAGTTAATAATACGTTGTTGTAACTCAGTGAAATGTTGCTTTGTCTCATGTAAAAACTTTTGTTTTGGTTTTTTATGTTGTTTGTTGTATTTTGTGCTTTCCTTCCTTTGTAAAATTGCTGTTAGTACTGTTACAAGCAATAGGACTAAGAATAGCTAATGTTTCAAAGATGTTTTTCTCTTGCCAGGGAGTAAAGGAGAAAGATCAGAAAATTGTCTAATACCAGTTTTTCTTTGGGTGTGAAAGTGTGGCTTTCTGAGATTGATTATTAATATCACAGCTGGTTTCCCTGAACAGCAGTGCATGTTTTCTCTGGAAGTAACTACCTACTCAGATGTATGGGTTTTTCTGTTACTTCATTTCAAAAAGTGTCTTGCATGTGAGCAAACTGAAAACATTTTCACAATAAAAAAATGTGAAACTGATTTGCTGTAACAACTTGCAATGCACTAACATGAAAGACTTTTACACTGTTGGTTTTGCAGGTTTTAAAAGGTAGAAATTGTTTTAGTTCAGAACAGAAGAAAAGTTTAACATCAGTATTAAAAAGTACTTTCTTCAGTAAGTGACTACATTTGACTAACATGGAAAAAATGCTATTTTGTTTCTTGCCATTATTGAGATTTGTTTCATTGACTCATTTTAATGTGTCGTGTAAAACCGCCATAATTTGCTCTTACATTTTTGGTTTTGTAACAGATACTGTTCCTGACAACTTTTTTTCATAGTCTGCTGATACCATAATTTATGTTAAAAAGTTTTAGGATTTTAAACAAAAGTATGTTTAAAAAAAAAACCCAGCCATATAGAGTACCTTAAAATCTGACAGACATCATCTAAAAAAGACTAAAATTCTGCCAGGTTGTTGAATTACATAACCATCTATACCTTCTTCTAGTTGCTCTAATGTTTAAGAGAAAATACTGACATCTTAACACCAGGTGTACATGCAGTAATTCATACCCCAAAAGCAATTTTCTTCTAGCATATTTGTTTAGCTCTTCATTATAGGAAATGATAATGAAAATTTTCAATGCTTAAAATAATAAAAGTACTGCAAAATTTATTTCTTAACTCTTTTTAAAAGGTGAATGCTCCTTTTATATATGCTCCTTTTTTTCCTTCATAACAAGCAAACTTTGTCATGACTACTCAGAAATAGCTCTATTGGATGATGCACCTGCTAACAGATGGAACATTGTTTACACATTAGTAAACTATCTGCTACCTCTACAATTTTTTATTAGATGATTGAAAGCCAGCAATATTTTTTTTGTTTACTTCTGGATCTGTAAATTAAAGTCCCCTGTAGAATATCAGAAATTACAAAATTGAAGCATTACTCATTTCCAGATGCATTTCAGATAGACTTTGTTAACACTTTTAGCAATTAATTCCCCAGCCTGCTTTGACAATCAGTAATTGTTGGCCTGTAAATTAAATACAAGGAGTAATAATATTCTGGGTTTTTTGCTGCTTAAGCTGATTAGAATCAAAGCTATCACAGTCTCACCTCTGGTACAATTACATTTTCTTCCTCCTCACAGTAGCACTGCCGGCAAATTAACTGAATAGTGAGACATTTATCAGTGTGAATATTAACCAAGGACAGGTGTAACTTCTTACTGGATAGATTTTATCCAGATTGCTTCCCTAAATTTACCCACTGCCTAGTTATAGGTGCTAATTCAGTGATGATAGCAGCACACATTGGTGTGTGAAGGGAAGGTAGAACAGCATTATCACTGATGCAAGTTCAGTTAAGTTATTCCCTCTAATATTCTGGTAGTCAGTCTTGTGTGCTACTTGTCAGTCCTACTTTGACATACCACTTCTGCCTCTGTGATTCTGTGATAGGCTTTTAGCCTTTCTTAAAATAAGATGCTTCCAAAACCAGAAGTCTGGACCCACCTGTTTTAAAAACACCAAAATTACTCTGCTTTGTGTATATAGTCTTTTACACAGATGTGGACATGAAGTTATTTTGATCAGCTTATGGGTTCAAGTTGAACTTTCTTACTGCTAGAATTAATATAGAAGGAGCATTGAGGTTGTGAGGGAAAGAATGAGACCATCTCTTTTGAACAGTGTGGTTTTAGTTCCACTTACACCCTTTGTGAATTTGCACTCCATTTGTCCTGGAAGGACAAAGTCATCTGCTCTTCTGACTCACTGGCTTGTGGCACAAAATATGAAATTAATTATGTTCAAGTCATCCTACAGATATGTCTTGAAACAGAGAGACTTCACTAGAAATGGAGAAGGTGTGGTTTTGGGGTTGTGTTTTTGCTTTTTTGTTGATTTTGTTAGTTTGAATTGGGATAAAGCCTAAAAAGTTGATGACTGGGAATCATTTATTATATTCAGAAGTTTATACTTATGGCCAAGTCCAGGAATCTTGCTGAACACTTACAGATTGTAAGTACTCCAAGAATCCCTATTTGGAAAGGAGGTTTCTGGAGCTGGTACAAAGAATGTTAGTTACTGTTTTACACAGTTTAAGAGCTCAGAGAAGTAAAGCTCAACTCATAGTAGTAGCTTTAAGACAAAAGTAATTTTGTATCCAGTACATAATTTGAACTGAATTGTGCTGCTTGATTTTATATTAATTCAAGAAGCGGTAGCATAATTGTTACAATAAAAATTCACTGAAAGTGGGCAAACACTAATACAGCCTGCAGGAAGTGTCTGCGTTGTCTGAAGCCACACCCAGAGATGCATCTTTGTGTGCCTTCCCTGTTTTGCATTCTTTTCTTCTGCACCTGCTATTGTCTGCTGTCACAGGCTGAGTGATGGACTGAGACCTTGTGCCTGATCCAAAGCAGCTACTCCAATGTTTCAGACAAACTATAAATTGGTTTGCTATGAAGTAGGTATTTGTTACCAGTGGCTTTCTGAGAAAAGTTGTTGAAGACAATATACTGTTGGTGTGTTCATCTCAAGAGGAATATCTGCTTTTTAGTTACTTCTCTTCCCTCAGAGATGTGCAAAATGAGCTGGTGTTACTAGTTAAAAATTTAAGATTAGGAAATATGCTATACAGGCTTGTTTTTATGGAAAAATATCACAAACTTGTAGTCAGTATTAAACCCATCTACTTTCATTGTTAAAAAAATTATTTTCACAAGTAAATAAACATTATAATAGGATTTCATCAGCATCTCACAGGCAACAATAACTGTATTTCTAAATTTATTTTACAGAATAAAGATCCCAAAATGTCCCGAGTTGCACTGGAATCTTTGTATAGGTTATTGTGGGTTTATGTTATTAGAATTAAATGTGAAAGCAACACTGTAACTCAAAGGTAAGTTCTTTGTGCAAAGTATTTTAAACTACTGATGATGGAGATTTTATTCCAACCTAGTGATATGAGAATAGAACTTGAAGCCAGCTCAGGGATGGTTTAGTCAAGTAAGCAGGGGACCAAACATTTTGTCTTAATAGAGAAAAACAAAAGCCCTTGAGTACATTGATGGAAAGAAGGAATAGAGTCTAGAATTGCCTTTGCAGTGATAGAAGGCAGAGAGAAGAGCAGGAAATTTATTAAAGTTAAAAGGCAGTCCATACTAAGTATGGACTGGAAATGAAATGGTTTTCTTTATAATTGTGTATAATGAGAATTTTGAATAGTCATTTTCAGATTTTGCCCCCTGACTATTAGTAATTGGTTTAAAACAGGATATTTTTCAGTTCATAGAGAAACCCACGATCCTATTGCCTGTGACAGCTGGGGCTGTGCTTCCTGTGCGTGGTCCTACCTGTATAGGCTTTTGTATTATTTGATAGTAGCCCCACACACATGCACTTCCAGATTTGAACTGTAACATCTGTGCTGTTATAAGGAGCTTTTTTTAAAAGATCTTTTTTATTTCTTTTTGTTTCTAAATTCTTGTAGCCGTCTCATGAGCATTGTATCAGCACTTTTCCCAAAAGGATCGCGCAGCGTGGTCCCACGAGACACGCCTCTGAATATATTTGTGAAGATTATTCAGTTCATTGCTCAGGTAAGAATACATCTAGATAGTGCTGGAATAGTAGGATAACATTATTTGGAAGAAATGTAAGTTTAAGATTCATTTTTGAAATGTTCGTACTGAATTAGTGGTCTCATATCTTGACTAGAATGTCTCCAAAATACGTGTAACAAATGAAAGAACTCTTTCTAGTAGGGGCAAAGCTATTTTTTTTTAAACTTCACTAACTGTTATGTATGAACATTATGATGATTAATATTTACATTTGTATTGCACTGTTGGCAGCTCTGTGTGTATATATGTATATATTTATATATGTTTGTAATATAATTACTATATCCATTATGATATTTTTATAAGGGACAAAGCATTAGAACAGTAATGCCTGCTTATGTTTAGCCTGGAGACTGGCGCAATAGACAGAAATAGGATGCAATGAATGCAGTAGTGTATAGTCAGCATTGCATTATGATTTATATTATTTTAGATACTTCTCTTGTCCTAATATCAAAATGCGGGATACAATCTTAGAAGATGAACTCTCATTAATCTTTAACTTTATACATTAGAGACATATTTTCCTGTCTTAGAAATATCTTGTCTGTGCTTGAGCTTCCAAAACTATTTGCTTTTGGTCGTACAGGGATGAGGCAGCATACACAAATCACTGTTTATATTTTTTTGTATTTATATTGTAGTGTTTTTTATACCTTAGGGCTTCTCGTTATCCCTTTTTTTTTTTTTTTCTATAAGTGCTCATCTAATTTGTAGAAATGTGTTTGATCTGATGATGAATTATCTGGGAAGAGTTTCAGGAGAAATAGTTCAACCATATCAGCATATGATTTGTGCTGAATTGTACTAGATTTAAAAAAAAGTCATAAGAATGAGGAGGAAAAAATAAATATTTTATAAACTTTTTTTTATAATTTTTAAGACATGATACCCAGTATATGTGCAAAGCCAAGAAATTATGCATATTAATGGAAAAGAGATGATCATACAAATCTATTTTCCTTTATAGGAACGTTTGGATTTTGCAATGAAAGAAATAATATTTGATCTTCTTAGTGTTGGAAAATCACCTAAAACCTTCACTATTAATCCAGAGGTAATAAAAGCTCATTACTTGCATGCCATGAGAACAAGGCATTGGGGGATTTTTGTGGGGGGGAAGTGGTTAACTTTGTTTGAGCCAGGATAAAAGCAGATTAATGAGTGTCTGAAGGAGTGTTCTGCTAACACTAAAGCAGTAATTGTTGTTGTGCCCTGTTGCTATTTGATTTTAGGTGAGCAAGCCAGCAGCAGTTCTAGAGTTAAGACTCATTTCAACAACAATTTCAGGAAATATGGGATTTTTGTTACAGTGTAACTGTAAAGCATTTTTTCAGGAAAGTCATACCTAGCTCTTCAAGACGCAGTCTAACAGATGGGATGTTTAGAAATGTCTGTCTTCAGTGTGTTGCTCTAGAGGTTCATATCAAGTCCCTTGAGTACTCAGTACTATAACATATTCTGTATCTTAGCCTGGGCCAAGTCAGTTCACTTGAATCAAAGTGTGGAGTGGCACAGAAAACTTAAGTTCTATTCTTGTTACCTTCATTACTTTAGTATGTAACATTTAAGTAAGGTCTGTCCTACTGGAACCCTATTGCTATCTGTTTAAAAGAGAGGAAAAATGCAGTTTGTGTTTTTTCGCTGTGTTACTTCAATATTGTAATTTTTTCTCTTTCCTTTTTTGTCTCTTTTTTGTTCTTGAAGAGGATGAATATTGGCCTCAGAGTCTTCCTTGTCATAGCAGATAGCTTGCAGCAAAAAGATGGTGAACCACCCATGCCAACAACAGGAGTTGTTCTTCCATCAGGAAATACTCTACGTGTGAAGAAAATTTTTCTTAATAAAACACTGACAGATGAGGAAGCAAAAGTTATAGGTATGTTGTATTGTTTTGTAAGCTGGCATTTCAATATGTATGTATATATTCCCAATTATTCTCAAGCAGTACCTTAGTGTAACTTTGTTTATGTATTTATTTTAATTGTACTTTTGTATAATATCTCATAGATATAGATATAGATATAGATAGATAGATATATTTCATATATGCATGCATTTGTTTTGACACTTAAAGTATGTATTTCATGTCATCTGTACAGTAAGAAATTTGTCCTAAGCTGAATAAGTGGCAGATATTTTAATAAAAATATAAAGGAAGGTGATGGAACTCTTTGACTTTTCAGGAATGTCTATATACTATCCTCAAGTCAGAAAAGCACTGGATAGCATTCTTAGGCATTTGGACAAAGAAGTTGGAAGGCCCATGTGCATGACTAGTGTACAGATGTCCAATAAAGAGCCAGAAGACATGATTACGTATGTACTGAATTGCAGCATTTTCACTGTCTCAGTAGCATCGCATTATTTTTATTCTCTAATGTTTCAGATGCCATCATTAAAGTGTTACAGTTGAGGGTATTTTACTGGTCTATTAAGTAAATGTTAGTTTCATTAATTATTGATAAAAATGTTTGTTACCTCCATAGTTATGGCATGAAATTGAAAATACACTTTTAGTGTACTGAAGTAAATTTTCCTGTTTCTTTGTTGATTATAAACTGCTTTTGTAGGGGTGAGAGAAAACCTAAGATAGATTTGTTCAGAACATGCATTGCTGCTATCCCAAGACTGATTCCAGATGGCATGAGTAGGACTGACCTCATTGAATTGCTTGCAAGGTAAGAGAAAAGGGATTCTGCTCTTAGTGGATGTTCATTTCCAAATGCTGCGTGTGCACGATTGTCAGTGCCCTCAGTATTCAGCGTGAGTCACCACATGCAGACTCTGTCCTTGCTGCTCCTGCCAGCCTTCTGCAGTTGGTCAGGTTTTACTGGCTATAGGAGCAGGAAGTAAATTAATCCTGCAGACCTTGCACTTATTTTTAGAGAGAGTATTTTGAGAAGCAGGAATTTATTGCTGTTGCTTTGTTCTTTTGAACTTGTTTTTTCTTTTTGTTACAGCTGTACTTCTTTTCCTTTATTTTTTTTTCTGTTGCAAATACTTTAAATGTTCATAAAATCATTAATGTTTTACATTACCAAAATTTGAGGCAGGCACTTGGGGGAAGCTTTAGTATTTTTCTCTACTAATCTGCTTTGTTTTTCCATTTATCTGTGATCCAACACTACCCATATTTTTCCATCTCTTATCTCAGTTTAAATTGAATGTACCTTATCAGTACTGATAAATAGTTGAGAAGATTCTTTAAAATTTTTAATGTGAGAATAGTCTGGCGCAGAAATACAGGACAGTTTATAGCTTTGAAATTATAAATGAATTTTCATATAATGTGTTGAATTGCATATATAAAAAGTTAGTAATGACTTAAGATAATAAGATTTTTATAAGAATCTTTCTTCAATGTTTATAGTAATATTAAAGACATGAAATTATTAAGTAATAATATAATACTAGAATAGGTGTTTTCTGTCATAGCAGGCTTAGACAGATTTTTAAGTATATGTACGAAGGATTATTTTGTGAATTTTTTCTCATATCCAAAGTAAATGTCCTTTTACTGCAAAACAAATGTCTTCTTTTCAATTTTAATTTGAAGAAAATAGCCTATACATCTCAGGGGGCTGGTCTGCTGAGCTCAGACGCATGCAAAGGTGCACCTTTGTTAAACACTTGATGGTCTCCTTGAAGGCAGTTTATTTGTATTAAATTTTGTGAAACCTTGTATTATTTTGCTGTAGTAGAAGTGCCTTCTGTTGCTAGCCAGTTTCAGTTTTATTCAGTGTAGAAAATTAATCTCTATGGAGCTCTTCTACATTGTACGGTAAAGAAGGAAGAGTAAACACCAAACTATAAATGATAAAGGCTGGTTAAGAGTATGCTTATCTAGGGTGATGATACCAATATCTTTTCTAAACAGGCTGACAATTCATATGGATGAAGAACTTCGTGCCTTGGCTTTCAATACACTCCAAGCATTAATGCTTGATTTTCCAGATTGGCGGGAAGATGTTCTTTCAGGATTTGTTTATTTTATTGTGCGTGAAGTGACTGACATCCACCCAACGCTTCTTGACAATGCAGTAAAAATGTTAGTGCAGCTCATAAATCAGTGGAAACAAGCAGCCCAAATGCACAATAAAACCCAAGATGCTCAGGTATATCTATATAAGGTCCTTTGATGTGAAAACATACTTGGAATCTACATGCAAACTTAGTAGTGGGCTTTACTGGTTTATTTAAGTAATAAAAATTCAGCTACATTTCTTACAGTGCTTGAAGACTTCTAGATCTCTTATTTTAAATCAACATTTTTTATCAAAATAAAATTACTCTCAAATTATTAAGTATTATGTAAACACTAAATCATGACCATATTTTGCTTACATTGTAGGTCATCATGTGTAACTGGAAATATGTAGGAGTTATTAAACAGTAGAACTAAACCCACCATTTTTGACTAGCCAGTAGAAAGGGTTCAAATAATTTAATACCATCATCTTTTACAAAAGAGTATTGCTTGAGGCTTTCAAATTTTGCTCTCATTGCATCATCTTGTGAGAAAGTGAAATAAAGATGTTCTTGTGATATTTGTTTGGACTAAATTCAGAGAGGTAATAAAAAATGAAGTGGCTAATATTATGTCATTATCATAATGCAAAATTTGACCAGTAGCCAAAAATCTGAATATTTTATGATTAAATCTGTCATTGTCAATAATGGAGCTTTATCCTCATTGTATTTATTTTTTGCTTCATTTGCTTAACTTCTGTGACGTTTTTCTTAGCGTGGTGTATCCAATGGGGCTGCCCATACCCTTCCCCTGGAGAGGACCCTTTATTCCAGTGTATTCCACGTGGTGGAAGGCTTTGCTTTGGTCATCCTTTGCAGCACGAGGCCTGCCACCAGGCGATTAGCTGTCAGTGTCCTCAGAGAAATAAGGGCCTTGTTCACACTCCTAGAAATTTCAAAGGTAAGAGTTGATGACCCATTCTTAGGGTACCTGTTGAAACTGCTTTTATTTTGACATTCTTTGAGCTTGGTATGCTCTGTGTTTTGTAGAGTGATGATGAGTTGGCTATAGATGTAATGGACAGACTAAGTGCTACTATCCTGGAGAGTTTCATACATCTCACTGGGGCTGACCAGGTAAGACCATTTTAGTGTAAAGTTGCTTTAAGATGAGGTCATTCTGTAAAGCTATCCCAAATAAATAGTATGTATTTCAAATGATAGTGTCATGCTATAACAATTCATCACCACAAACAAAAAGGCAAAAATCTGAGGAATGTTGTGAGGTTGATGCCACCATTCTAAACTTTCTGACTGTTAGTGTGTTGTTACCACTACCATATAAACATAGAGCTGCGTCTTTATCTGTTTTTTCTCATCTTACTCACAGACTGCAATTTCTTAAAAGCAAAGGGCACTGCTTTTTTTCTACAGTAATTTAGTGTCATAACAGTCAGTGTGCCCTTTATCCATGATGAGTGCCGTTATAACTGTCAGTGAATAACAACTGAATTCCATACTTATGTATTTATCACTAACTCCTAAGTATCAAGAAAACTTCTGATTTTAGGATTTTAGGAAACAAATTGGAATTCAGTAGTAAGGCTTTTAGAGTACAAATATTTTTTAAGAATTAAATCATTATGCATGAAAGGGTCTTTTTCTAGGATTTGCTATTTCCTAATACCAGTTTGTTCACAAACAACATGTTTCTATAGCTTTTCACATTAAGAGCTTCTGTAAAAAGCCCCATAAATTACTTTTTTCTCTGTTACAGGTGTGCTTTTGATACTGATACTTTATTAGATATATAACAAAAGATACTGTTTAAAATACATGGATATTAAAGATTTCCTCATTGTCTTTTTTATGCACACAGACTACTTTACTGTACTGTCCCAGTTCAATAGATTTACAAACTCTGGCTGACTGGAATTCCTCCCCAATCAGCCACCAGTTTGATGTGGTCAGTCCCTCACATATTTGGATATTTGCACACGTGACTCAAGGCCAAGATCCATGGATTATAAGCCTCTCAAGTTTCATGAAGCAGGAAAATCTTCCAAAACACTGCCCAACAGCTGTAAGCTATGCTTGGACATTTGCTTATACAAGACTTCAGCTTTTGTCTCCACAAGTGGATATCAAGTAAGTTTATTTCTGAAGTAAATACAGTATATTATATTGAGTATTATTTCAAGATTAATCATTGTTGTAGTATCATTATTGTTTCAGTGAGGTAACATAAATTCTTGATATTGTCTGTGGATTTAATTCAGCTTTATATAACAAAAATTTAAAGCAGATTTATCTGCATAAAATATCATCTGCAGCTAACATTAATTAATTGATGCCTGTGGCCATATTTTAGTTCAGCAAATTTGAATATGAATATGCATTATTGATGTACAAGTCTGCTCTGAATAACTTATTCAGAATTTACTATGTTAACAATTTGGGGAGCCATGGCATATGCATAATTGAAAAAATAATTCAGTAGAATAAAACCAAAGTAAAATGTAGTAAGCTTAATTTACTCTACTGAGCTCTTTTCTTTCTTTTTTAATAGCAGCCCTATCAATGCAAAGAAAGTAAATACTACGACAAGCAGTGACTCCTATATTGGGCTCTGGAGAAACTACCTGATTCTTTGCTGCAGTGCAGCATCTTCTTCAAACTCCTCCAATTCTACAGGCTCTGTGAGATGTTCCCCTCCTGAGACGCTGGCGTCTACCCCAGACAGTGGTTATAGCATTGATTCAAGAGTAGGTTCTTTTAATACTTACTGTAAATAAGTCTACATCTTATTGGAAATAGAAACATCAGAGGTGTTCTATGGTACCTATTGTGATTAGAGACTGGTATCATTTGTCTGAAAATATTTTTAGGATACAGATTTTTTTCATTTGTTTAGAATACTGTTTTGGTTTGCTTTTCCCATTCTGTGGTGCATATGTTTTTAAAGCAAATCCAGTCGCATAATGAAGACATTTACTCAGTCTCAAAGTCTTATCTAGCAGTAATAAGAAAATGCTTTGCTTAATGTTAAAGGTGTAGTTCTACTGTCATTAGACTTCTGTAGTTCTGAGCAAATAGCCTCTCACTTCAATAACTGAAACAGGGACCTATTCAGGCATGATGAATCTAGTTCTATTTTCCCAATCGCAGATACTTTTCTGTCTGCCTTGTTTCATATCATCTGCAAATTATGGTTTTTTCTCTCTTTGCTTCTTTTTGTTCCTTTCCTTTTCGTCTTCCTGTAAAAGGAACAACCTGTAAAAGATGTGAAGATAATTCATGGACTATGCAGCAGATTTTTGGCAGAAGCAGCCTGTTCTTGTTTGTTACCAAGATAGTTTCCCTAAGTCTGAGAAACTATAGACTGAAAGCTTTGTTCTCTTTGAGAACCACTTGGGAGTCTAAGGAGTTGGACACCAGAAATCTACTTCTTCCCCAAAGAAGGCAGATACATTAACATGCACAGCGTCTGTATAACATATTGTTGTAATTCATTGTTATCTGACTAGGAAAATTCAGTAATGCAAGAAATAGTTAATACTACTTTACTATTTCAGGAAATCTTTTCCATGTAGATTATCATTTTGAGTCACTGGTCCAGTGTGTATAGACTGTGAAATTACAGCAGATGTTTTCATGTCACCACCTTGTGGTAGCTACTTCATTGTGTTTTGTTCTGGTTTTCTTCTTAGATTATTGGCATTCCATCCCCTTCCTCCCTGTTTAAGCACATAGTTCCAATGATGCGCTCTGAGAGCATGGAAATTACAGAATCTCTTGTCCTGGGACTTGGCAGGACCAACCCAGGAGCTTTTAGGTAACTATTGTATTTAATCTGTTTCTGTTTCTAATTTTATTCTATTCTAACCAATTCTGTAGTTGGTTACAAAGCTGGGGAAATGGAGCTCATTTTTTCTTTCCTTTTTCTTTTTTTTTTCTCCCTTTTAAAAACTTTTAAAAAACTGTGACAACTGATTCTCATTGTCTTTTCTAGCATTTAGAGGCATGATAGAGATGGTTAGAGATTGTAAGAATTTTATGTGGAGGTCATGCCTGCATAAAGAAAAAGACGTTAGTAGAAAGAATAAACAGTTTATTGGTATTTAAAGTTGCACTTATCTGAAAGAACAGATTGTGTGAACTATATAATTTGAAATGTTAATTACAATCAAGTTTGTAGGAGTTGATAAACTCTTCTTACTGGTATTGTCAATTGCTCATTATGAGGATGAATGAAGAGAGAAAACATCTAAGGGCAAGAAAACCTCTTGGGAAGGCCATCAGATGTTCTCTGACAGCAGCCAATCTCTGCTGCTGAGAGAGATTATGAGAGTTATTATGAGAATTATAAAGTTGTACCATGCACAGAAACCAACTCTGCTTCTGTAGAAGGAACCAGGAATTGCTACTACTATTGGTTTTTAATAAGATGATGCTTCTCTTCAGTCACTTGTGTCCCGTACTATCACAGATTAAAAGTCAATATTCATGCCAGGTTCTCAGTTGTTGTATTCTGGTTTATATACCATGATAATCTTATATAATACCTGACTTTATTTGCTACCAGGATTAAAGCAAGACTTTGTGCCATGATCCTGAAGAACTGCTTAACAGCTGTAAAGTCTAGAAAATGCTTTCAGAGATAATTTTACCAGAAATCCTTGATTTCTGAATTAGAAACAACTCATCCAGCAAATAAAAAAAAAAATCTGATCCTTCAGTTTTATCATTTCTGTACTCAGAATGTGGGTTTTTTTCCTATGGCCAGCTTTTTTCTCTGTCCAGTTCATGTGCTCACACCAGATGTTAGCTTAGCCCACCCCTCACCATTGCTGCTCTGCACTGATTTGGTGTTTAGCTTTTGTGGTTTTAGGCACTTTTCCTCCCCACTTGTTATGTTTGCTCAGGAACTTTTTCCATTATAGATTATATATATATGCAATCCGCATAAATTTGTTAGAATAGTGTTTTTGTATTGTATAACTGATTGTATGATCATATGATACCTCTTCTAGGTATCTCTTGATCTCCATGTAAGCTGACCCTTTACTCTATTTTAGCACCAAAAAAGTTTCTTCCAAGTTATTTTCTCTGTTTTCTGTGTTTGAAAGAAAATATATAACAATATCTAACCCGCTTACTTTCTTGTAAATGAGTACACCACAAACATTTGTGCAGCATTCTGATCACCTGGACTCATTCTCTGAAGGAGAAACTTGGCATGAGGTATCAGAGCAGTCAGTAATTTACCGGGAAAACTTGAAGTGGTTTATACTTTTGATATATCTCAGTTAGCACCAAAGGAAGTAGAAGAATGTGTACACTCTAACACATCTGGAGGCAGTAGTGACTATGTTAACAAATATGAAAGTAAACCAATTGTATTTTTACTTAGCATTTTGTCTCCACTCTTCCATACTAATGATCTCTTTTCCCTGCCTCGTTTTTGAAATCATAAGAGAATCTTAGTTTGGCAGAAGTAATAAACTGAGAAGTAATAAAAACTGTGGAGCTTCAGAACACATGGAGAATGTAAGCACAGTGTCAGAACCTGTTTCAGTTTTCAAAGAAATTGGTCTTAGTTCTGTCAGTGTATTGTTACTGGACTTAAAGAAACAATATTAACAACTAAATGCATTATAACAGCTGAAAGGGCATTGTATGATAAGCTGCCAGCATCTTATTTTTTCCTCCCTAATGATAATCTGTTTGCACCATATGGCTTTATTAAACTCTTAATATGAAAATAAATGAAAATTATCTGTGATAGAAATAAGCCATAATATTTGGAGAATGTAAATTTAGGAATAATTGTTTCGGCATTAATTTTATAACCTGCCTTAAATTAGAAAAATATCTTTCTAGGAAACTTCGCTTTTAAAAGCTACAGGTAAGGAAGGAAAACCTGAGGGTGTTTTAACTTCTGTTGTAGCACTAGTTCCTGAGAAGCATCCTTCAGTTGAGATGTTAATTTAATGTTTGTTTTTATCCTTTTAATTATTTTAATTCAGGGAACTAATAGAAGAATTACATCCTATAATTAAGGAAGCACTTGAAAGAAGGCCAGAGGTAATTAAATAATTTCCATTATACTCAGTACAGTTCTGTGTTTTCACAAAGAGGAAGTGTTTGTTATTTTCTTTAATTTGTGCATGTAAAAACAGTCAATGTAACAGATAAAAAGGTGAAATATTCCTTTTTTAAAATGATTGTGAAGTGTTTACATTAGAGGAGCTTAATGTTTGAGCTCTCTTATTCCTGTATCAGAGATTTTGTTTCAAATTACGAAAAAATACTGTAAAGTTTTCCAGATTTCTTTTAATTTCTTTAACATAATCATAGTTTTACACAGTTGTTACTTCATTATATCATCAGTGATGTTCCCACAACTAGTGGTACCTATGACATAGAATGGAGTTTTACTGTCCACCGACTTTGTTGGGATTTGGTGGTGATTGTGGTGGTTTTAGTGAAAAAGGTTGCAAACTCACCTGACTGCTCCAATGAAAATGATGGAAAGGCACAGCACTTCTGTTTCAAAATGTTACTGTTCTGTTGTGTCAGGCTTGCATACAAATCATAGGATCATAGAATATTTTGGGTTGTAAGGGACTTTTAAATGTCACCTGGTCCTCCCACCCTGAAATGACCTGGAGCATTTTCAGCTACATCAGATTTCTCAGAGCCCCATCAACCTGACCTTGAATGTTTCTACTGATGGGGCATCTCTCACCTCTCTGGGCAGCCTGTTCCAGAGTTTCACCACCCTCATCATAAAAAGTGTCTTTTTTATATATAGTCTAAATCTACCGACTTTTAGTTTAAAACTATTGCCCCTTGTTGTATCACAACAGGCCCTGCAAAAACGTTTGTCCCCATCATTCTTACAAGTCCCTTTTAAGCATTGAAAGGTCACAATGAGGTCTCCCTGGACCCTTCTCATCTCCAGGCTGAACAGCCCTAGCTCTCGCAGCTTCTCTTCTCAAGAGAGGTGCTCCAGCCCTCTGATCATTTTTGCAGCCCTCCTCTGGACCCACTCCAATATGCCTATGTCCTTCCTGTGCTTGTGGACCCCAGAAGGCACTGCTTCAGGAGGGGTCTCACCAGAGTGGAGCAAAGAGACAGAATCACCTCTCTCAAAATATGTGGGAAGACTGCCTTTTGCGCTTCATTGTTTTATATATTGCACTTGATGACAAGAGAATGGATCATATATGTAATAGCAAATGTGGTATATCTCAGAGCTGCAACAGGGAAAATGTTTGTTCACTGTCTGGTTTATTAAACTTGTTAGCAATTTTAGTAACTTTTCTTAACAGATTGGCACCTCTGATAACAAATGCCAGTTGTAGTACAGATATAATAATGTTTTTATATTCTACTATGGTTTTCTACTTAGTCTCTGCTTCATTTAATTTTGTGTTTCCTCTGATGGATAGAACATGAAACGGCGCAGGCGTCGAGATATTTTACGAGTACAACTAGTACGAATATTTGAACTGTTGGCAGATGCTGGTGTCATTAGTCACAGGTAAGGGCAGCACGCATGAGAAGTTGTTGTTGTTCATGAATTGTCACTGATAGACTTATGATTCAGTATAACAAGCAAAACTAATCAGGGAGTTTCAGTATACCCCTAAATAAATAGACATGGGTTTATAAAACTCAGAATTTTGCTGACTTTCTAACCCCTCTCACTCCCATGTTCATGTTACTGTGTTCATTGTTTTATTGAAAATGTTACTTTTCCCCATACTTTGAACAGGCAGTATGTCGTGGTCCCTTGTGTTTGTGTGTGCTCAAGCATTGTACCAGTTGTGCAAATCGTAACTATTCTGTGATAATTCAGGAACTTCTGCCTTACTTGGAGTGCTGGTGCTAGTCAGCACATCCTATGCAGAGAAGGCTATTGCTCATTAATGTTGGACTTTTGAAGGATGGAGAATGTTAACTTGGTTATCGAGATTTTTTTCCGCAGTTTACGCTGCTTGTGTAGGGACACTTTGAAAGAAGTTTTGGCATGTATTTTACAAAAGTCCCTAGAAACTTTTTTCCTATGCATGTGGAATTGTGTAAGAGCAAGTAGACTAGCAGATGGTTAGCCCCCTCCTCCCACTCTGTTCAATAATGATACTTAGACATGTATTTGTCAGCCTTAACAATATAAGCAGTGTGAAATTCTCAGTCTTCAAGTGTATTTCAGAATGTTGCCTCAGAAGCATTGCTGAAATGTCTATCAGCATGCTGATATTTTAAGAGTCCAACTATTAAAACTGTTCTTTCCCTTACCTTTTAAGATTCTCACTAGGGCAGGGGGAAGGGACTTTGTGTTTGGGGGTTTTAATGGATATTTTTAACACTTCTTCCCAGTATAAGAACTGGTTCTGTGGAAGGATAAGTGACTTCAAATAATGAGGTTTGATTCTTAGCTTTCACTGGAGCATTTTGTTTTATTGCTGAAGTAGAAGATGGATGAAGAAATTACTTTGAATTAAGTATTTGCAGTGATGATGGTGTAGGGTTTTTTAAAGATAAAACAAGGATGATTTTCAAATGTTATATGTAATTACTGTGTTCTTCTAAATTTTATTTGCTCAGTGCAAGTGGTGGCCTTGATAATGAAACACATTCCCTCAACAACACTTTACTTGAGTATGTTGATCTAACAAGACAACTCCTAGAAGCAGAAAACGAAAAGGATTCTGATACATTGAAAGATATCCGATGCCATTTTAGTGCCTTAGTGGCAAATATCATACAAAATGTTCCAGGTATGTAAAATTGTAACTTTTGATTACTGTTTTTGACATGCAGTATCTTTTAAAAAAACCAAACCCAACCAAACAGAAACTAAACAGAAAGGCACTTATTATCTGAACCTTTAGAATACATTTATTAAAATAATTTGTGACATCAGTTTTGAGTATAACTTTAGCAGTATGAGTTTTAAGAGATTATTGGTACTGCTTGGCAAAGTCTTGTTGATTGTCTATATATTTGAGTTCTGTGTATTAATAAATAGCTTATTCTTGTACACTACTGGCATTAAACAGGACGACAGTAAACCTACATCTAGGCATTATGATGTTAAAATAACAGTGGGTCTTTACATGGATTTTTCCTTTTATATTCATTGTGTGGGTCTGTTTGTGTTACATGCTTTATCTTAAAGAATTACAGGAGGAGTCTGTATAACTGTGGGCTTTTCTTGCAGTGCACCAGAGAAGAAGTGTCTTTCCACAGCAGAGTCTACGCCACAGTCTATTTATGCTGTTCAGTCATTGGGCAGGTCCTTTTAGTATCATGTTTACTCCCCTGGACAGATACAGTGATAGAAACATGCGAATAAACAGACACCAATACTGTGCATTAAAGGTATTTTAACACTTTTATATTTTGGAAATAGATTGTTATGTCAACATGATGCAAATTTAACATTTGGGCATTTAGATGTGGTTTTCACATCCATGTTTTAGTGCCCTTTTATTCCTTCTGCTTACATGTGTATTTATGGCAGTTCAGCTTTTGCCATACTGTAACTATTGTGCTTGCTATTGAAATTGCTTACAATTACTACTGAATGTTCACTTCCTGACTTTAGTTCTCTTTTGCTTAAGTTAAAGGCTTTCATCTAAACGTACATTAGGAATTAAACTGGTTAATGGTGTCTTAACTCTTCAATGTGGCAGCATTTTAGTATTTACCTAATTGAGAAAACTATTATTTAATAATTTCTTGAAGAAAATGTTAAACATTTTTTATTACCTTTGGTCTTTCTCTTTTAATAGGTTAGAATTTAGTTATCTGATGTTTTAATGGACTGAGTAAGATCAATTTCTGTATCTGAGATATTAAATTTTATTTTCAATTGCTTTCAAAAGGCTATGTCTGCTGTACTGTGTTGTGGCCCTGTTGCAGACAATGTTGGGCTTTCATCTGATGGCTATTTATACAAATGGCTGGATAATATTTTGGATTCACAAGATAAAAAGGTAATACAAGCAATGTCAACATCACTTTGCAACTATGAGTGCCTCAAACAGATGTTTTAGTGAGTTTGCAGAGAGATTTGCCTAAGTGCTCTACTTAAGCTTTATGCTGTTTTAGTAGCACAGGGTTTTGCACTGTCCTTTATGTGTATTCACCCTGTTAAGGAAGGTGGTCCCTAATGAGACCAGTAAAACAGAATGCAAGAGGAAAGGACAAGGGATGAAGCACTGTATATTGTTTATAAACTGATCAACCATGTTAAGTTGTAGTAATAAGTCAGGTCTTCCACAAATTTAAAGGAGATGAGTTTTTGAACATGAACTCTTGTGAGACTGTAGAGTTCCTTGGGGTTCTTAGTAAGACCAAACTTTTCATCTAAACAGTAAGACAGACTTTAAAGGTAGGACCTCTATTACCCTATAATGCTAGGACTACATAAAAATACAGCTCCTGTGGGCTACTTTGATTCCAGGAAAAGTGCAAGTCTCCATGTAGATGTATCACTTGTATCCCGCTGGAATTCTTGCATATGTTTAAATGCTTCTTTGTATCTAGTGCTTTCAAGGGCAGTGTTTCAGTGCAAGACATAAAAATGGTAAATAGCTCAAACTAGCCTTGGAACTGAAGGGGGGAAAAAAAGGTAGATCTCTAGTTATTTGTGTTGATAATTTATGACTGTATGCAATTTGAACAGTAAACGGTGATACAATTATGTGCTGCCACTTTAGGCTATGGTGTCATTGGTTTTGAATGGAACAGACTTTATGTTTCCAAAGGTTTCAGCTTTCTTAAATTGTTGTTTTCCTATTTTATGCCATTTTCTAAGTTGGTCTTTTTTTCTACATTTTGAATATATATTTACTCTTCCCTAGGTTCACCAGCTAGGCTGTGAGGCAGTCATGCTGCTCTTGGAACTCAATCCTGACCAGAGTAACCTCATGTACTGGGCCGTTGACCGGTGTTACACAGGTTCCAAGCGGGTAGCAGCTGGCTGCTTTAAAGCCATAGCCAGTGTGTTCCAAAACAGGTACTACAGCATTTTTAAAACTTTAAAACTTCAATTTTTAGTGTGCTTTTATGTAGAACTGTGGGTTTTGCTTCCATAGAAAGGAAAGATCATCACTGTTTGTGTGTGTGTGTTCCTAGAGAACCTTCTCGAAGTGTTATTCTGTCTCTTATCATATTCCTTGTAAATGAAACTTAAATAAATTCAAATCTTAGAAAACCAAATGTAATTTTATTTTTTTCACACTTTTTCACACGTTTTTTCCTAGGGATTACCAGTGTGATACAGTGACCCTCCTGAATCTGATACTATTTAAAGCAGCTGATTCTACTAGGGCTATCTATGAAGTTGCTATGCAACTATTGCAGGTTTGTAAGCTAATTCTGATTATTTTTTCTTTTAAAATAAGACTAGTCCTATACATTTAAAAAAATCTGATTTTGTTTGGTTGTCTTCAGTAATGAAATACAGTGGTTTTTTTCTTCTCTATTTTAGTACATAGTTACACCAGATTCTTACCTGGCACAAATATCCTTTCCTGAAAGGCTATCTGTTTCCATGCACTCAAGACCTGCTTTTTCAAGAAACAACCTAAATCAGGACTCTCTTGATTTGGCCCTGAAACAGAATGATATATGGCCATGTGTTCAAAAGAACCTCAGAGGGAAACAAATTGCTTCCCAAGCCTTTGCTGTCTGCTGGGGTAATAGTCAAAAATCAGTTTTCTGATTTTTGCAAAATTACCAAACATTTTTTCATCTGTCCATGTGGAGAGATGACAGTGATCTTGTTACCCATTTAATTTACTTTTGTATATTCCTTTCTGATATCATTTAGGAGTAAACTTAAGGTAGCATTAGTGTTTAAAAATCTGTGCTGATAATAGCTCAGACCTTAAGTCTTGGAGTTTTTTTCAGACCTTTTTTGGTCAGCTAAATTCAACAGTGAAGTCCTCACTGAAGTCACTCCCTTATTGCTACATCATCCTTATCTTTCTTCTCAAGTGGACACTGCATCTTAAGATCAGCCCAAACTGATTTATAAAGTATCAGAGTGCTCTAGTCTCCTGCTGCATTTCTACCACATCAAAGATTGTATTGTTCCTATCTGTGTCTAATAGATGAGCAAAAATTGGTATTGTTTGGAAATGCAAATGTTAAATAGTATTTCAAATTTCATTATAGATAAATTTGTATTTAAGATGATATTTTTTGGAAGCAGATTTTGGAACTTTATTGCTGGAAACTCATCAAGTGGAATGTATCTTAGCTAGTCTTCTATTAATTTACCATAGGGTTAGCAAATGCTGTAGGTGTATGTAGATCTACATTGATAAGAAACGTTAAATGACAATAGTTACATGAATTTAAGAAGTGATTTTTTTATAAAGATTTCTACAGTAGCTCTATACTTAGCTTCAAATTCTGAACATTAATGTTGTAGATTTTGGAACCAAAGATGTTCCGTTACGCTCACAAACTGGAAGTTCAGCGGATGGATGGGGTTTTGGGACAGCCTTCTCCTTTACCACATTTGTATTCTATGTCATATTATCAACTGTCAGAAGAATTAGCAAGGACTTATCCTGAGCTGACGCTTGCTATCTTCTCAGGTACGATTTTAAAACAAAACAAAAAACTTCATCAAGTTAAAAGCATTGTACAAAATGTGTCATTCTTATTTTTTAATAACTGATTTATATGTAATTCATTAAAATTAGGACAACAACATCATCGTATCAAATAGAGACAAGAAAGCCTGCTAAGTGACAGTTTTTGTTCACTTGTGTTTGAAATATATTCAACATGAAAGAACATGCATCAAAAATACTTTTACTGACTTTCTAATAACCATGAAAAATCACATTATAGAAATAATTTGCAATTGAAAAAAAATCATTCTTTCATTGTTCTGTCTTGTGTGTTATTTACACTAGGTTGCTTAAATACATTATTCTGTAACATTTCTAAATAATTTCACAATAATAACCTGTTATATCAGTTTTAAAAACAAAACCTACTATGACTAATCTAAAGAAGAACAAATTGTGGTTTTTTTCCAAACTTGGTGCATTTTTTATGCAATAGATTTTTTAGTTCCCTCCTTCAATTTGAGGAATATATATCCACACACACTCACACACACACACGCATATATATATGCATACTAATATGATTTTTTCAACATACTGTTTGTCAGCAGTGTCTTCAGTTAGCTCTGCTGAAGACCATTATCATTATGAAATTATGATAAATTATCATTATTTATTACTGATAAATTATCATTATTTATCATTATGAAATGTCACTAGTCAGCTAAACAAAAAAAAAAAGCATCTGTATCAGCATTACCTCATATCCCTATGGTGTGCTGGGCTCATGATTGTTGTTATCACCAAGCCAGTGCTCATTATTGATTTGGAATTCATGTATGTACCTAATTTTTGAATGGCAGAAGTAAGTCAGAGAATCCAAACAGCTCACCCAGCTGGGAGACAGGTGATGCTGCATTATCTGCTGCCATGGATGAACAATATTGAGTTGGTGGACTTGAAACCTTTGCCAACCATTCGTCGGCAAGATGATGATGAAGAAGATTCTCTGAAAGACAGAGAAATTATGGTGAACAGTAGGCGATGGCTGCGAGGAGAAGGCTGGGGATCACCACAGGCTACAGCTATGGTTCTGAACAATCTGATGTACATGACTGCAAAGGTAAAATTAATTACTCATATGCTTGTTTCAGTTTAGATTGTTCTGTTTAGGATGCAGGAAAATACTGTTCAGAGATACTATGTCACCAAGTTTTTAAGAGTTACTGTTCATATTTGTGGAGGTGCTTTGTATGCCCAAACTATACCTCATAATTTTGAGGTATTCCAAGAAATACGTAATATCTAACATTAATGTTATAGTAATTGTTAAGTATAGTGACAATATATAACTACTGTTTTGCAATATAGATGTTTTAGCTGGATAGAGAATACCTAACTGCCTGTATACCTATTATCTCAAAATGGAGTTTTGAAACCTTTCTTGCTACCAGAGGCTGATTGACTCTCCTTCTTCCTATCACAGCTACTTCCAGCAGAGGAGTATTGCTCACATGCAGTGCTCCTGTAAATGGAGAATCCTAGTGATGAGGGATCATGTTTTGAACTGTCAATTAAAAGCTCTTGTCAGTGTGTGGTCCATGGAGTTTTATTCAGTATTGTCAGCATCTGGGAGACTGGGTCTCTTTTAAATTTCATAGAATTCTAAGAGTTGAAAGGGAGCTCAGGAGATCATCAGGACCGACTCCCCTGACAAGGGAGAGTCACCCTGAGCATGTTACACAGGAACTTGTCTAGGTTGGTTTTTTGGTCTTCAGAGAAGGAGGCTTCATGACCTCACTCAGCAGCCGGTTCCAGTGCTCTGCCAATCTCTATGGAAAGAAATTCTTCTCCATGTTTAAGTGGAACTTCTTGTGTGTTAGTGTACGCCGATTGCTCCTCGTCCTGTCGCTGGGCACCGCCAAAAAGAGACTAGCACCATCCCCTTGGCCTTTGGGATAGTAATATGCATTAATGAGACCCCCATCTCAGTCTTCTCTAGACTAAGAAGGCCCAGCTTCCTTAGTCTAATGTATTATATATCAATGAGATATATAGTATGTACACATATCTTTAGATACATTTTTATACAATTATATCTATAAAAGAAAAAGCTATTTCCAGAGTATGTTTTTTAAAATACATGTGAAAGCATCATTGGTGAAAGCATCATTCTGGAACATTAAAAAGGCAACAGTTTCCTGTAAGATTCATGTCTCCTTTTTCTAGAGCCTATTTCACTTGATCAGTATAGATAATGTTCTCTGACGAAGTTTTCAGGACATACATTTATTTTGTTTTCTAGTATGGTGATGAAGTGGCTTGGTCAGAGATAGAAAATGTCTGGACTACTTTGGCAGACAGCTGGCCAAAGAATCTGAAAATAATTTTGCACTTCTTGATCAGTATTTGTGGAGTGAACAGTGAACCCAGCCTTTTGCCTTATGTGAGTATGTGACAGATCTCTCATTGGTGCTTATTGATATTTTAAAAATTAGTATGTCTAGCAGCAAAGATCACCAAATATGTAAGGTAGGATTTATAGTATCAAAATCTCCACCTTGTATTTTATGGCAAGTAATTCTATGAATAAATCAAATTCAGTTCTTCTGTTTGCATTCTTTGGACACCTATGTCAAAATTACAGAATCGATTTGTCAGTCAATTAAATAAATTAATTTGTCATTCATGGAATGAATGTAGGACTGTATGAAGACCATAGACATTTTTAGTGATCAAATAATAAAAAATGTAAAAGAGTTACTGAAATTCTACATATGTCTTAGCATTTTATTTTCTTTTGTCATAAAAAGAAATCTTACGAATTTGATTGCTAAACTTGGATTAATTTTATTAAGAGTACACACTGAACAAATTTTCCCCATGCTATAATTTAATATATTCCTAGAAAGCAGACAGATAATACAGGAAAATAAAGCATCTCTTATACCTTGTAGAGCATCATTCTTTCATAACCAGTATTATACCAAAAAAACCCCAGCAACCCTCCCAAGCACCCTCAAAACCAATTTTATTTTATGTGAAAATGTGTGTGAGAGCAGTGCAGGATAGCATGAAGAAAAATATGATAATGTGCAGGAAAAGAAATAGTATGGAACAGAACTGTGACATATCAAAAAGAAATTGTATCAGAATACATTCATTCCAGTGTTGATCTCAGGTGCTACTAAAACCTTTGTAAGAAAATATTTTGCTTAAATCATTTTCAGAAGACATACTTTCAAACTTTATTGTCAGACAACTAGAACTCAAAAGATTTGCTTTCTTACTGTTGTGATGTATTTCCCATGTGTCCTGCTATTGTCAGCTAGAAAAGCAACTTTGGTTGCTTTTAGAACTAAAGTTTCATCTGTTGTGGCTTGCAGTGCAGGTAGATACTGATTCTAACAAGTTGTGGTATTCAAATCTCTTTTTATTAAAAAAAATATATATATTTATGTATGTGTTTTTTATGGCAGGTAAAGAAAGTAATTGTTTATTTGGGTAGAGACAAAACAATGCAACTACTAGAAGAGCTGGTGAGTGAACTTCAGCTTACAGATCCTGTCAGTTCAGGAGTCACCCATATGGATAATCCACCATATTACCGCATTACATCCAGTTACAAAATCCCCTCTGTCACCTCAGGTAAGCATTTACTGACTTAAGTAATTTAAACTGTTATTGTTCATTATAAACATGCTGCTATCAATCAGTTAATGCTACTGGAGTGCATTTGTAAATATTCAATAGGAATGCAAGGTTCTGTTTCTAGAAATAAGGTTAAAAGTTTGTTTTACAGGTTTTGGTGTACCCAGAGTTCTTCCTGAAGAACATCTGATAAGTTCAGAAGCGATGAGTTTGTCTTAGTATTTGCATCAGACTTTGTCTGTGTTCAGAGACCTTGCACTGTTTACCCTCATTATATGACTTTTATGTCTAGTCAGTAAAACCATGGGGAAAATGTATACAATTTTAAATCCATCTAAGTTGTTCCTGTTACAGACACAAACTGCATCAATTGTTTCAAGAGGATTTAAGTTCACTTACTTAGGAAAATTTATTTAGAAATTATTAGCATTCGATCAATCATTAAAAAACCCCAAAAGTGCTGAAAATACCGAGTGTCTACCTTATGCTTCAATCCAACAACATGCTGGGGAAAAGCAGTCTTGTTTTGGTGGAGTATCCATCTGTCAAATTGAGCTTCAAAAGACATGGATGTGGGGAGGGTATCTAAGCAAGGCCTTAACTTCTGTGCTGCAAATTTGTCAATATTATGAAGTAGCCTGGACCCGTCATATGGTGTTATCTGGATCACCAGGTGAATGCATTGGCACTTGTTCTTGGAAGTGTTTAAAAAATATTTTAAAAATTTTGCGGCTCTTGAACTTAATGTAATTTAGAATAGCAAAGGCTGGAAGGGTGCAAAATTGCTTCCAACTGGGGCTGTCAGTTCAGTGCGATGCTTGCAAATTTTTCCTAAAAGAAAATTGTTAAAAGCTTTACCACAGGCTATTAGGGTTTAATCCTTAATCTGCTTGTGGTTTGAATTAACTGGATAACAAGGTCCAACTACATTTTACAGATTACTATGAGGTGTATAATAGAGGAAAAAGGGAAATAGGTCTCTAGATACTGCTTAAAAACTTTCTACCTTATTTACATTGAAGAATTAAAAGATTCCTGGAATAGATAATTTTTTCTGGTTAGTGTAATTATGGTAGCAGCTCACAGTCCTTTATTGCACGTGAAAGTTGTATGTCTCAGTTTGCATTTGTGCCAATTGCTGTAGAATACACCTCTGAGCAAGGACCAGTAAATAAGGGTGATCTTGTAATGCTTAAGACTACTTTTCAATTTTATTGACCAACCTTTTTCCTTGTCCATAATTCACAGGTACCACTTCTAGCAGCAATACAATGGTGGCTCCCACAGATGGCAACCCTGACAGTAAACATATGAAAGACAGTATTGAAGAGAAGTAAGTATCTCCTCAAAGAGCAGTTATTAGATGAATGACAGGAATTCCTTTTAGGTACTTTAAATACTCCCATCTCAGCAGCTCCAGGTATGTCTTCATTGCAGGGATTCCATTCCATGTAATGTCATGCATGTCAACAGAACTGGAATACTATTTGGGATTAACAGTAGCAGCCTCAGTTGTAGTTGGAACTCCAGGTCAGGCATTGTATTGCTTACAGCTATATTGTCATTGGTGCCTAAAGTAGGTACTATTACACTTGACTATGTGTGTTCACATGAGAACAATTGTACTGAAAGGTGGGGTTGGTGAGACACTGGAACATGTTGCCCAGAAAGGTGGATGCCCCATCTCTGGAAGTGTTCAAGGCCAGGCTGGATAGGGCTCTGAGCAACCTGGTCTAGTGGAAGGTGTTCCTGCCCATGGCAGGGGGGTTGGAACCAGATGATCTTTAAGGTCCCTTCCAATCCAAGTAATTATGTGATTTCATGACTCACAGATTGGTTTATTACCTCACTGGAAGTGAACAGTGCCTATGTGTTGCTAGTTTATTTTCCCTAACTGGGGTATTTGGATGACTGGTATGTGTCAAGATACCTTACAGCTAACTTTAAAACAGATTTCTCCCTCCCTAATTTTTGAGCTATTTAAATGTAACCTTTTGGACAAGATACTTGGCAGATACTGACTGAGGCTGGTGGAAAGCAAACAGTTGATATAGACTTGGTCAGGCTGTGTGCTTGGAGCTCAGCAGTAACTGACTGTGGGCATGCTGTCATTTTGTGTAATTATGGATAGCTAACCTTCAAAAAGGGAGTGGAGACTCTGTAATTAGCATGAGCATACTGTGCACATATACCATTACTGTAGAGTAGCAACTATGTTGTAAGTTCACAAATGAGTTTCTGACAACTTGTTTGAGAGCTTTAATAATTACAGTTCCAATATAATTTCCCAGTTGGACACTTTCTTTCCTTCCCTAGGATAATTATGTCAATATAATTAGAATAGCAAATATATTGGTAGGGCAACCCCAACACTTAAATTAAATTAGGGTGAGCTCTATGATAGTAAATCACAGAAACCTGGAATGTGAGGTGTCATTCAGAATTCAGCCTAGCAAGGCACAGACGAGTAGTTGGCTGCTATGGGGGTCACATATGAATTTCCTTATTTTGTTCAAGAGTGAGAAGAACTTATGTAAAATGGTAACAAATATTTTAATGTGCTTAAATATTCGTGAAAATGATGGAACATAAATATAATTTATAGTGGATAATGTCTTTGAATCCCCTTACCTGGTGTTGCTTAAGAAGGTATGTCTTATGTGGCTGAGGTGCTTTGGCATCATGTTGATTATCCTTGTAAGATGAATTGGTTTTGGTAAAGGAGTTTTACTGAAATACAGTTTTACTGAGAGACCCTGATTAATGTTTGTCACAGAGTGTCAGTTACTAATTCTGCTTTATTTGCACCTACAGCTACACACACCTAGACATCTACAGTGGGTTGAACAGCAACTTAAACCGCCAGCACCACAGACTGGAATCTCGCTACAGCAGCAGCTCTGGAGGATCATATGAAGAGGAAAAAAGTAATATTCTTTATTTTTAAATATTTCTATGAATAGCAGACAGAATTTTCACAAGTTAATACTTCTGAAGGTTGTGGAACATAAAGAAATGAGCATTATCAGTGTTTTTTGCGTAAGCCTATTAAAAAAATCAGGTTTTTTTTTAATCTTCCTCTATCTTATTACTGCTACTGAAGTCTTGCATACATTTGACTGCAATAAAATATTCGAGGAAGAAAATATGCTTTATTCTTTCTGTTTTCCTCTGGAATGAGTTGTGAACATCTTCCTAAATGAAATGGTTTTACTCTATTTCCTTTGACAGTTAGGCACAAGAAACAGAGATGAGCAGGATGAAGATGAGATTTAAAAAAAGGTGATGAAAAAGAAGTTTTTTTTAAAAAAAGAAAATTGCAAGTAATTGTTCTTTTAAATGATAGCATTCCTTGGGTTATTTACAAAAAAAAGGTACTAAACTTTTTTGAAACCATAGCAAAGGAAAATATAGCAGGGAAAAAGGTTCTCTTTATGCACATCTAATTTCCAAGATTGTTCTAAAAATGTGTTTTGGGTCACTTTTGTGATCTGTGTTTGGGTTTTTTTCTGAGATGCAGAAGTATGGAAAGAGGTAAAAATTTCATCTGAAACGCCATTGTGCATTTGGAAAGATTTCCTTAACAGAGGCTTATTAACTGTGTCTACTTTTTTACCAATGCCTAAGAAGAAAATCACCATGGCAGTGCTACAGAAAGCAAAACAGGTCATGTAGTCAGGCAAAAATGAGGATAGTAAATTATTTGTTACATTAGTGGGTTCTGTATGCTTGGTCAGAGGAGTTGTTTGGCTGAAACTCTTGTTTCAGCTAACAGGTTGTTAGTAATTTAAATGACTTTGTACTTCACCCTGCACGGGATAATCAGATATATCTCAAGTTGTGAAAGTGGTCCCACAGACTTAGGTTTCACTCAATTTTTTATTGACCATTGATTTTACTACTGGTTGTTTGGGTATGTTACAGCTCACAGGACAGCATTGCCGTTTCCTTAATTTTCTTGTGTGACTGAGCAACAGGAGGTGAACTTCTGCATGTTGAGCTTTAGATGTCAGTATGGAACTATCCTGTTCATGCTGTATTGAAGCAACAAGAGTCTATTAGGATCCTCTAATTCAGTCTTCAATGACTGATTCTTTGCACACTGTGAAGATTAGAGTGAATATATGGTTCTTACTTCCTCTCTCAAGGAGGTGAAACCTAATGTCCTCTGCAGAGAATGTTGTAAGGGCTGGACATACTAAGGCAGAATCTGCTAAACTTTGGATCAGGTTAGTGGCTTCTGGTGAGCCAGAGTTTATTACTGCATGGATAGGCATTATCCAGAATCACAGCTGCAGTCATTTTTGGATTTGTTTGCTGTTTGTGATAGCAACAGTGAGTATCCTGAGCTAGATGGTATTTCACATGTTCCATCCATAAGGAGTTTGTCGCTTTCAGTGGAGAAGGTGATAACAGGCTGATACATGTGTGAACATCTGAAATTTCTGCAGCTATACTTCCAAACAGAGCTGGTAGAATCACTGAACTTTCAGGCAATTTCCTTGTTTCTTGTCTTGACTGATAGTTCTGAAGTCCAAAACAACTTTTAAACAGAAAAGTATTTTGGGTGTGTTAACAGAGTATACTCTCATACAAAACAGCTGATGTTTTTCTTGCACTTTTGAACTTGCTAAATAAAAAACTAAATGTCTTTCTGTGCTTTCTTGACAAATTTACCTATTTTCTGAGCAGTATCTTTTATCAACCAATGGGATTGAGCTATGCTGTTGTAATAGTGGCAATTTCCGAGTTACCCGTGGATCAGGCCAGCATTATCTGGCAGATAACACTGGTGGGGTTCTGCTGTGAGACCTATAAAGATCTGCTCTTGAGGAATACTTCCTTAGCTTAGAATGAAATGCTCTTCAATATGAGCTCATTTAAATCTTAGGACCCAACCTTAATTAACTCCCTATCTGGCATGAGGTTTGAAATTCAAGGAAATTACATCAGATCACTTTGCCTTTTATCATAAGATTTATGAACCTATTCAAAAACGTCTTACTCTGTTATGTGTGTAACTTCTGTAGAATCGTCCTTATATTAAAAGAAATAACACTTTTTTTCTTTCAAGAAACTGTGTCCAGCTGCTACTGTTTACAGTTGGCTCCCCTTCCCCTCTCCTAGATCTCAACTTTTCAAGAATTTAAAAATATTTCTTCAGAAGACTGTAACATACAGAAATATGCATTGTAAATATATTTCTGGTTTAATTTTATGTTGTGTTAGGTGATTCAATGCCTCTATATTCCAACTGGCGGTTGAAGGTGATGGAGCACAATCAAGGAGAGCCTCTCCCTTTCCCACCTTCTGGAGGTTGCTGGTCGCCGCTGGTGGATTACTTGCCTGAAACTTCTCCTCCGGGCATGTCACTTCACAGGTAGTTGTTTTGGCAATGCCAATGGCAGTTCATTATGTTTTCTTTTGTGTTGCACAAATACAATTTGAAGATAATAGATTTAAGGGCAGTTGATAATAGATTTGTTTTCTGTGGGTTTACTCGAAGGTCTAGCAATTTAAGATTACTCAAACTTTTAATCTGGAGGATTAAATTGTTTCTATTTTTATTATGAGCATTCATCTTTTCCCATATAACACAGCTTTGTGAATGTTTATAGACTGAAGAGTACAAGTTAGAAGCATATTAAGTTCTTTGCAGCTCTTCATGAAGTTCCTGTTGCATTCTTCTAACATACCATTTTTTTGTTTTAGATGCAATATAGCAGTGATTCTTTTGACTGATTTGATAGTTGACCACAGTGTAAAGGTGGAATGGGGAGGATACTTGCATCTTTTGCTTCATGCAATTTTTATAGGTAACTAACTTCTTACAGAAATACTTATAGTAACTTGAGGAATTCTCAGTTGTTCTTTTGATATTTAAATTAATTTTTGCCATTGCATTGAAATCCCATTGATGTGATAATATTTACAGTATTTTTAAAAAATTCAATTAAATGTTTTTCAGCTTAATTAGTATAATTAAGATTTTTTTAGTTGTTTTAAGGCACTTTGTTTAGGAGTCACTTTTACCTCTTGTAGAAGACAGTAAAATTCAATGTTTTCCTTTCTGTTTCTAAGTGTAATAATTTTCATACAGAGCACAAATGAAGTTCTTACTTAAAATTCTTCTTATTTAAAATTACTTTGTACTTTAACCTTGCATGGAATTATCAGATATATTTTAGTCTGATCAACATACAGTTTATTAAACTATATGCTGTTGTTTCTATATTGAAACACTGAAAAAATACTGTTTAGAGAATTCTCTATCTGTCACTTGGTAAAATATAACAGACCAATTTAAATACTGCTATTTTTCAAATAATGTAATTCAGCATGCCCTTGGAATATCATAAAGCCTTGCTATTTTCCATTTGTGTTAGGTTTTGACCACGGTCACCCTGAAGTCTATGAGCATTGTAAACGACTACTTTTGCATCTACTGATAGTGATGGGCTCTGGCAGTAATGTCCAATCTGCTGCTTCTGTCCTACTCAGAAACAGAGAGTTCAATGAGTCCAGGGTGCTTACTGTCAAGCAAATGACCCATTTAGATTACACTTTCACAGGTATGCTTTTGATTTATTACATGTTGCATGTTAAAATGACATGGGAAGTTATCTCTTCTTACAGACATCATTAAGATTTCTGTTGTTTGTAATATCTTCCTGAGGCCTTGGCATTAAAATTTATTTCTTTGGATTTTAAGGAAGTCAATTTAAATAGAGTTTTCATTGGCACTTTGTGGCCATTCACTAAAGTAGGGACCACAGTTGTATGATGAATAGTAGTGGAAATCAAAGAGCGAGCAGTGTGTTTTGGAACTTTATTACAGCAGTTTTAATTATGCCTTTTAAAATAGAAACCAGGAAGCTACATCTCTTACTTGTTTATAACAAGTTAAAATTTCCAAGTTTTGTCAGCTGTGATTGCATTCTTTATTGGCTATCAGAATATTTTTTAGATACTACCTTTAAATATTCCCCTTAACTTTACAATGTTGTAATTATAAAGTATACTTTTTTATGAAGGGAATATTTTGATGGTGAGACTGTATTGTAGTTTCTGTTGAAATAGTTCTTTGTGTTTTTTTTTTTTTAATTTAGTATTTCAAATTATTTCAGAAGGTGGCAGCATATTGCCATACAGTTGTTTGTTCTCTTTTGTTCGCATCAGCAATGGTTTTATTATTTAGCAAAAGTAGTTCTCTGATTTGTGCATTTGGTTTTTTGTAGCAATGAAGAATTAAATTCCACTGTGTATAGTGGAAGGATTATTTTATAGGAATCTGTTCAGCAGAACTTTAATGGTTCATGTGCACAGTGGCATATACAAACCATTCCCTTCCTAATCTTTAAGGGCTTGGATAAAACTGTCTAAACATGACACAATAAAACAAAGATATTTGATAGAAACTAAAACTGGGTCAGCATCAAACATTTCCAGCTGGGGATTAGGATAAGGTGTTTACAGGTAAGCACAACCTAGCACAAGGTTGAACAAGCTAATTTTAAATTTTATTTGAGCTGGCTAAGCTCAAATATCCCAGCCCAAACTCTGTGATTCTATAGTGAAGATTTGTGGTGGGTCAGTGAGTCTTAAGCTTATTTAAATACAAGTGTTATAGTCAAAGGCCCTACCAGTTTTCCTTGGTAGTTTACTTTCCCTCAGCCCTTCATAGATGGATAGAAGGGCAATGTGAGGAGTCACTGCAGTTGTATTGTATTGCCACGTCATTCTTTATGTGGAAAAGAAAAAAATCTTCTAGCCTCAAGATTAAACTGACTTCAGAGAAACTTTGTACAGCCACAGGGGTTTTGCTTAGAGTCCATTCAATAGATAATACTTAGTGTTCACTGATTCAAGTGCTGTGAGTTACTCTGGGACTGGGTTTTCTCAAAAAAATTCTGCTCATTGGTAAGAAATAGTCTTTATAATTTTTTTAATTAAGCTGAGATTCCTCAGAAGCTGATGAGCTCTGATACTATTAGTACAAAATCAAGGATAATACAGGGGTTTTAAAAAGGGATTTAGCAGTTCCCAATTGAAGTTCATATAAGTTACGTGAAGAATTTGCATATGTAAGACTTGTTTATTTCATTGAAATTATTGCATCCATTAATTTATTCTCTTTTAAGTATTCTCATTACATTTACTAAGTTTTTGATATTTTTAGAGGGCTATTTTTATATATTTAATATTAACTGTCAACTTAAAAGTGCATAATCATCTTGTTTCTGTTTCAGCAGGTGTTCATGATTTTATACCTGATTACCAGCCCTCCCCAATGACAGACTCAGGGCTTAGTTCAAGTTCTACCTCTTCTAGCATCAGTTTAGGAAATACAAGTGCTGCCATTTCTCAACTGCAGACCACAATCCTCAATGAGGTTGACATTTCAGTAGAGCAGGATGAAAAAGTGAAAACACTTATAGAATTTATTACCTCAAGGTAAGATTTTAGTTTTTATTTTTGTCAAGATACATATTTTGTGGAAAAATGGCAAACCTCTCACTATTTAGCATCATGTTGTCTTAATTCTGTCTCTGTTTTATCACCAGTAAATGTTTTTGTATTATACACATATGAAAAGCTCTAACTTTCCAACACTTTCAGAGAATTTTGACCATCCTTTCAAGTCCTGTCTGTTTAAAAGTATTTTGCCATGTTTTACTCTGAATTAGGGCAGGAATACATTGAGATGATTAAAGAGTTGCGAGATTTATGTGCAGTTTAGAGATTATTACTTAGTAGTAGAGAGCTGACTATTCAAAAATGATGAATTTGTTGCACAGGACATTGGTAAAATCATCCACATTTGTGCACTTTGTATGGTAGTTTATATTAAGCTTTCAAGATGGTGTTAATACGAAATCCTACCTGTTTCTCTATGCTTTTATTCTTTTGCTTTACTTCAGCCTAAATTTATAATAGCGTGGCATATCTATGGAAAGGAATTGGAAAGAAAGGAAGTTAGGAAGTGCATAATGGTGGTAGTTGTACTGGTTCTTTCTTAGAGAACTATCTATTGTACTCTAGCTGTACCAGAGAACTCTTCCATCTTCTTACTCAGTTATTTCAATTGGAACTGATACACCGCTTTTCACTTTGCCTTAACGTCTTGTATGTTGTATAATATTGGTCAGTTGTCAACACTCTTTCTGATTTGTGCCTGCACAACTACTTGGTTTCTTTTATGTGGTACATAGTAGATTCTTTTGCAATTAACCTTATGGTTTAAATTTCATTTAAATAATATTAAGCAGAAAGGCTGCATTTTATATTCTGTTTACTCTATTTTTATATTTTTTAGGAAAAGAGGCCCACTTTGGAATCATGAAGATGTTTCAGCAAAGAACCCTAATATAAAGAGTGCTGAACAGTTAACTGTGTTTTTAAAGCATGTGGTATCTATATTTAAACAGTCTAGCTCAGGTATGTTAGAAATCAGACAATACATGATTGAGTCTGCAAGACTGCAAACTAAAGAAATACTTTTTAATGGGTGTAAACACACAGGTAATCTATAAAATCACTCTAGGAAATTACTGCTTCTAAATAATAGTTTTCTTGTATATTGCTCACTTCAGTTCATGTTTCTATTATGACAGATTTAAATATTATCTTTTAGGAATAAGGTAAAACATCTTATTAATTTATTGTGAACACTTAATATTCTAATGATCAATATTTTATTGTCTACCAGTCTCTCTAGCATTAAGTATTTGGAATACATGTTTGTATTTCTGTGAAGATTTTTGAGCCTTATACTTCTTGAGAAAAATGCAGAGGATGTGAGAATATTTTAAATTTGGGAATGACTTTGGCGATTTACTCTTCAGTAAATTCAAATTGATTTGTTTTTTTATAAAGCAGTGTTGCTTGAATATTTATTTGCTTTAATAGGAGGATATCAATTGGAACATCGTCTCAGTGAAGTTGCTTTGCAAACTGCTCTTTCGTGCTCCTCTCGGCATTATGCTGGGAGGTCCTTTCAGATTTTCAGGGCTCTGAAGCAGCCTCTCACTCCATCTACACTTTCTGATGTTCTCTCCAGACTAGTAGAAACTGTTGGAGATGCAGGAGAAGAAGCTCAGGTATTTGAAATTTTGCCCCCACTTTATTAGACAGCTAAGTCTGCCTAAATGGTATGCATGCATTATTAGCAAAATTTAAAAGCATTGTTTTATCCATTTTATTTTATTTTTAAGTATTTAAAATATAAAATTAACTGAGGAACAGTTGTGCACATTCTCTTCTACAGCAATAGGCTCTTTCAGAGAGTTTGATATGTCTGTTTCCTGTAGACACCACCTCTTTCATTGTTAGAGAATACTGGGATCAGCCATATAAGAAATTATTTTTGTTTTCTTTTATTAAGAACTTTACCTGATAAAGTGTTAACAATCATTCAACTTAGTGTCATTGTACATCTTAAGACGGAATCTAATCTTTTAATACTGCAAAATTAGTCTGAATGAAATCATCCTTCAATCCATCCTTAAAAACAATACAAACCAGAATTCATTCAGTAAATGCTTATAAATAAATTGAAGTTTTTCCTTGTCTTGAAGCTATATTGCTAAACTGAGCTGTCTCATGAGATTGTGTTCTAATTTAAGCATGAAATAATTTAGTTACTGACACCGATTTTATATTTTTAAATTACTACTCAGTAGATTTTCTGTGATCTTCCTTGTGCATATTGCATAATTTATAATGGCCTGTGGCTTTCCCCAGGGTTTCGTCATAGAGCTGCTTTTGACTTTAGAATCTGCTATTGATACATTGGCTGAAACCATGAAACATTATGATCTGCTTTCTGCCCTTTCTCAGTAAGTTCTTTTATTAGTCAATCTTCATTATGCATTTTGTACATTTGAATTAATAAAAATCTGCATTATAAATGTAATTAAATAATTTCTTGTCATCTTTGCAGAATAATTGTATCCATATAGCAAAATTGCTTGCTCTGGTATGTTTTTATCATTCTGCCACAAGCAAAACTTGTAATAATCTCAAGTTCCTGAAAAGAATATCTTATTGCCTTTCTGATTTACCCCCTTGGGTTCAGTTTAATTTTGTGAAAGAGGTGTTCAAGGAATTCCTTATGACTCAGTTCTGAAATATTGTCAGTTCTTCTTAAACTTCTTGAATTTAAAGGCTCTGCAAATGTTAGTCTGTCTTAGGCCTCAAGTTTGTTGTCCCTACATAAGAAGTGTCTGAGTCATTAGTGTGTCTCATTAGAGTTTGAGGGGTTACCTTGATTACTTTTATCAAACTGGAAAAAAAAATCCCTAAATGTACAGACATATTTGTTTGACTTCCTTGCAAAGTTTTTGAAAACGCTGAGATTTCTAGGAATATGTTCAATTTCTTAGTATCAGAATAGGAAGGTGTTGGGTTTCCTAGGTCAGATACCTCAGACAAATACATGGTAATAATTGTATTCATTAATTTCCCTACTTTTATCACATCTTTAAATAAGTTGGGATGCTGGATCATCACTTGCACATAATCTTTTATATGCTATGGGCTAATTTTTCCATTTTTGCTGTAATTTTTATGGTATTCTGGATTGTAGCAAATAGATTTGGTAGAAAAGATAACAAGATGCTGCAATCTTGTCTTTATACCATAAGGATATTTTAATAATAGATACAGAAATCCTGTATTTACATGTATCATAATACTCTTAGGGTGATGGACCAGAGTATTTACTGCAAGTGTATGTGATTAGTGTAACATCTTTCATCCTTCCCTTTTTCTAATTTCTTTGTTTTTTAAGTATTTTGCATGTAGCAGTATGTAATACTGATTTTTGTTTTAGAACCTCATACCATGATTCTGTGATGGGAAACAAGTATGCAGCTAACAGGAAAAGCACTGGACAGATAAATCTAAGCACAAGTCCCATTAATAGTGGCAGTTGTTTGGGATACTACAGCAATACAAGGAGTAATTCCTTAAGACTGAATTTAATCAGTGAGCGGAGAGGCGACCGGCGACGGAGCAACACACTGGATATAATGGATGGAAGGATAAATCATGGTGGAAGTTTGGCAAGGACTAGAAGCCTTTCCTCCCTGAGAGAGGGAGGGATGTATGATGTGCAGCCCACTACTGACCCTGTCAACTTGATGGCCACCATATTTTGGATTGCAACTTCGTTGCTGGAGTCAGATTATGAGTATGAATACCTTCTGGCTCTCAAGCTACTCAACAAGCTTCTTATTCATATGCCTCTGGATAAATCAGAGAGTCGGGAAAAGATAGAAGAGGTGCAGAATAAACTGAAATGGAATAACTTTCCAGGCCTTCAGCAGCTTTTTCTGAAAGGCTTTACTTCAGCTTCTACACAAGAAATGACAGTTCATCTGCTCAGTAAACTCATCACAATTTCCCGGCATGCTTTGGTGGATCCTTCTCAGTTAGCAGGTATCTTTAATAAATATGTTTTAAAAATACATTTTTTCATCTAATTAAGTGGAGTCAAAAATCAGTAGTAATTGTGCATTTGCCTTAAAGAAACTCTTCCATTAAATGCTTTCTGCACATGTCCATATTACACTGCTGCGTAGTGGGAATATGTTACAGACTATGATTATCTCACAAGCAAGATTGCATGTAAACTTTATGCATTGACTGTTGTTTGCAAGTGAGTTTTAAGAGCTGTGTATTTTTCTCGTGGTCTTGTGCTAACTGGCTCAATTAGCACTATTTACACATTTTTAGAAACAATATGATGTAGTGCCTAAAACTATCCAGTTTCATGGTAGTTTTGCTTAATTGCTCCAGTGAGCAATTTTTATACCTAACACAGACATATCTATATACATTGTTCATACATACATACTTAGGTAAATGTATGTGTATATATAATTTATATATCTGTGTGAAAGTATGTGTCATGCTGTCAGAATTTTAAATACTGGCTAACTTAACATTACACTATGTCATATTAAAAACCTTAAGGGCTCATATGACTCTGTTTATGTCTATGTTTAGGATTTCCCCTAAATATCTTGTGCCTACTTCCTCATCTGATACAACATTTTGATAACCCAACTCAGTTTTGTAAAGAAACAGCTGACAGGATAGCAAAGGTATGTAACATGGTGCTTGGAGAAGTATACAGAAGGATATATATACCAGCGTTGTTTCTGTATTTTTTGGGGTCCCTTATGTAATACTTCTATGTGATTCTAATAGTAATATACATGTAACTATAAGAGGTCATATTTTACAGATGTGATCCAGTCAAGTTTATATAGCTGGACCTTGTATCAATCCCTGAGTGTGTTTGTCAATGAAAAAATACATTTAGTTTATTCTGTAAAATTTAGATTTCAAGAACAAATTTCTTACCAATTATATAAATTACTTTTTCTTACTTGTCTGATTTTTCTACTCGTAATTTTGAATGTCAACCTAATACAATTTTAAACATGCTTCTTAATTTTCTTATGGGAAGGAAGTGATCTTACTGGTAGAGGAGAAAAGGTTGTATGTTCTTTCTGTTACTGGTACACAGTAAAATACACCTTGACATGTTTCTGAAGTGTAGTGGCTGTTATAGCAGTAGGTGGTGCACACCAGCTGTTCTCAGCCAGGATGGTGTCACACTGACCTGACAGAGTCTTTCTTTTAAGGAATAATGTGGAAAAGGGACTAGGAAAGAGCTGTCTGGTACAGGAGATGCAGGCATACACCTCTGGCTGCTCAGGCTGTGACATGTGAATCACTAAACCACTGAAGCTGTGCACAGTCTGACTCAAGGAGTATGTGCCTGATGCAAGTGCAGAAATCACTGCTGCCTTTAAATACTTGTATTACTCTAGTGAGGGATGCTGGTTGATCATACCAAATGTATGATGAATAAATAAACTTGGAACATGGATGCCACAGTACCAAAATTCAACAGAAACTGTAGGTCATGCATGTGCGATTGGTTTGATTTCACTTAATAGAAAATAACTGAAGTGAAATCTTGGAAATGAAATCTTGGAGTGAAATCTGGGAGAAGTGTGTACTCAGAAATGCTTGGATTTAAAAAAATATTTCTAATATAATTAAATATGGTTTTGCTTTTCAGGTTTGTGCAGAGGAGAAGTCACCAACTCTTGCCAATCTGGCTCATATGATGAGTTTATACAGTACACACAGTTATTCCAGAGACTGTTCTAACTGGATTAATGTAGTGTGTAGATACTTGCATGACTCTTTCTCAGATGCCACATTTAACCTCATAACTTATCTTGCAGAGGTAAATTTTTACTAGAAGTATCTCATGTTGACAATTCATTGCCAGTTCCTAATTTCTCATTATTCTGAATGTCAAGGGGAATAAAGCATATGTTCTCTAATAGGAAAATATTACTAAAATGTTCTAGGATGTAGAAAAGGGAGGACTGCTGCCATTTTGGAGTGCAGTAATTTATATATACCTTGAAATTATAATACCTCTAATGACAGATCTCCTTTTGTGAGAATGCTGTTTGGCAGTAGGTGTTTATACTACATAAATATACACTTACCTTTAGCAAAATAAGCTTAATGCAAATTTTAAGAGACCTTCTTTAGCCAGGTACACGTCTTTATCACAACCTTAAATATTAATTGCAAAGCTAATTTGTAATAAAAAAGTAAGTAGTGCATAATGTAAAAGAAGATAATTTAAATTATAGAAATCAGTATATTATTCTGCTGGCCGTTCATACAGGAAACCTGTTAAGTAATTTTTATGAAAATCTTGTAGAGCTTGTACTTGAAGTGTATAATTTCAAACTGATAGAGGCATTTTAAAAAAAATTGTTAATTCTTACAAACTACTTTATATGTACATTTTTTGTTTGTAAAACTGCGTTTACCAACCTTCTTTAAGGTGTTGCTATAATTGTTTCATACAGTTTTAAGATTTTGAATTAGTATGAACATTTTTATTTAGTGAAAAGTGTTTTACTATTAGGTGCTTTCTGATCTGTGCTAAGAATACATCTGTATTTGTATTCTGTACATCAAAATTCAGGGGAGAAATGAATTAGGACGAAATCCATTGTGCTGTTGCATTACTGTTTTTTAGTGCTGAAGCAAAAGTTTGAAAACCAGGAAATGGTACATTTAAGTTTCTTGAAGAGAAAAATAAATGTGTGTAGAAGTTAGCTGTATTTTAATCTCTGCTTTCACCTTTTGCTACCATTAAAGGCCCTAATTAAATTTTGTATTTTAAAAACCATCTTTTAGCTGTTAGAGAAAGGCTTATCCAGTATGCAACAGTCCTTGCTGCAGATCATTTACAGTCTTCTGAGTCATATTGACCTATCCACAGCTCCAGTGAAGCAGTTTAATTTGGAAATCATAAAAGTTATTGGTAAATATGTTCAGGTACGTACTCTTGAAGAACAGTAAAAGCCTGTCTGCTCATTATCAAATTGGTATCAAAATTACACTTGAATTTTGGGGGGAATTTATTTCAGATATAAAAACAGTTGCTTGTAGTCAGATTCCATAGGGTTTTTCTATGTACTTAATGCACTAGATGCTTTTGTATTTGTCCAATGTGATTTGCATCTGGTGGAACACATTATCTAGGTGCATCTATTTACAGATGTAGGCAACTTGTCATACGTAGTTAGAGAAGATGATCCTTCAATTATTTAAATACAAGGAAATGTTTACTGCTAAGCTGGACAAACATTTTATTTGTGTTATGTTTTAAAAAGAAAATTTTACGCTCAAATGAATATTTAAATCACTCTCAGTAATATATCTGTGAGGAACTTTAAGGTGCACCTTAACAAAATTGAGTACATCTTTTATTAAAGAAAGTCCCCAAAAGATGAACCGTAGTGTTTTGCCCAAGGAAATTTCAGCCTTTGTACTTGAAACACAAATTTACTGAAAATCTATTTCACAGAAGAAAGTCTAGCATCTTACTGAAAGATTTCATAAAAATGCCTGCCTGGAGCATAAAACCATTTCAGTGCACAACATTCTCTTCTTTTTTTTTGAATTCCATTATTGTTGAATGTATTTCAGTCAAATGGTTTAATCATAATTAACCAGGAAAGTCGTGTTCCCTGGATGTTTTGTTATTGATGGATATGTACTTTAGATATTGTGCTCCTGTCAGAGTGCATTAGGCAAAATTAAATGATTAGCAGTAGCTGTAGTTTTTATGGCCTAGTGGCTTCTTGCTTCACCTCTAACCCCTCTCTGAGCTTTCTATGCAAGCCCACACTACTGTGGAATGTAATCTTAATTAGATGTAAGCTACCAAAAGATAGTACTAGCAAAAAAATATTCCAGAAAAGTCTTAACATATTTTTTATAAAATAAAATGTATTACTATAAAAGACAAAAGAAAAGATCATAAATTATCATGTCTTGTTCAAATTTTCTACTAACTTTTGGGTCTTTTCTGCAATGACAATGGCTGTAAATAAATCTAAGTTGCTACAGGATAGTCACAGTTTGAGACTCCTTTTTTTATGCTTATGATGCACAGAAATTGAGGAGATTATTGAAGACTCTCATTGTCTACAAAGAAGCATAAAGCATATGCTACTTAGAGAATTAGAAGGAGTGTTTACTTTTTTAAAATGCAATTGAAACATTTTGACAAGCATTAAAAAAAAAAAGCAGACATGCTGATTTCAAAAAGTGCAAGATTTAAGTTTCAGGCAGAATTCTTGCATTTCTAGGAGTGTAAATCTTAATCTAGGAGTGTATATCTTAATCTTTGCACAAAGCTGCTTTTATTTTATGTCTCTTCTTCTGATTCTTTTCACAGTATGTGTAATTGAAACTGAATTATTTACATTGTTTTAATCATCATTTTAGGGAAAGTCCACTTAACTCTGGTTCTGCCTCTTATATTCTCATACTTTTTCTGTAGCATTTTTTAAAGCACTCCATTGGCTCAAAACTTTGTAAATGTTTTCACTTCTTTGTTAAAAATTTTTGTATTTCCTCATGTATTTCAGGGAATAGTTTTGCTTGTTTCAAATTCCATTTACTCTCCCTGTTAACTGTAAAATAATTAAAGATGGCCAGAGGTGGAATTGTTAGTTTGAGTACTATCAGTTACTGCAGTTAAGTGATAGTTAAATACTTTCTGTCTCCTGGGTCACAAAGGGCAGATGCTTCAGACAATGGTAAAAAACACGGTGTAACTACAGGGATGGGGGGACGTGGACCATGGTCTGGTTGTGGCTGGCCCAGTGAGCTGGAGCTACTGAGCCTGTTTGGTTGGACCATGCTCCATGGGATGGCCTGGTACCTTGCCACTGCTTTGCTGGCACTTCAGGGTCTGAAATTTCCCACTTGTACTAGCCTCTTCACCCATGGGTAATAGATCAGAGGTTTTGGGTTGGGGATTCTTACAAAATGTATATAAAAATTGTGGTCTTGGTTGAAGGGATTGTTGTGTGATTTGTGTATGTTCTCTTCAGAGTCCATACTGGAAGGAAGCCCTTAATATTTTGAAACTGGTGGTGTCTCGGTCAGCAAGCCTTGTTGTGCCTAATGATATTCCAAAGTCTTATGGAGGTGACATAGGGTCTCCGGAAATCTCTTTCACGAAAATTTTTAATAATGTCTCCAAGGAGCTACCTGGGAAGACCCTAGATTTTCATTTTGATATATCAGAGGTAATTATTATATTTAGATAACAATGCACTTACGCTGTTACAAACTCTGGTGTTATTTTTTGTTAGCCTTCTACGTTTATGTGTTTTTGAATAGGTACAGTTTTTAAGAATGGCAGAGATTGAAGTTTTACATACCTGTAAATGAGAGTTATACTGGAAGATAAATTTCAAATTCTTTTATGATGTTCATTTGCCTTTTTCTTCTTTTGAATATCTGGAGAGTTAATTACTAAAAGTCTATTAGATTATTCTCAAGGGTATCTCATCTGTGTCAGAGAGAAGACAATGCAGTTGGCTGCTGCTTGCAGCTATCAAGCTTTCAACAAATGAAGGCTGTGCATTCAAGAGCTGAGAGGATTAAAACACTGTACTGCAGTTTTGGAATGACTTTGGAAGGGAGAGGACATTCAGAGGATGGGATTGGATACAAAATGTAGAAAATTCAATGTAAGAGAACTGGAGGAAAACCTCCCGTGGTTAAAAATATGACCCCTACTACCAATGATACTCATTCTACATCTGAAAAGGGGAGCATGGCCAAGTGACTGCAGTGTAATGTAGAGACATGAAAATTGTAGAAACTTTAGAAGTGATTGCAAGAGCTCCTGGTTGAAGCTAACCCAGGATAATGATAATAGATATAGATGTCTTAGGAACAGTACTTAAATTTGTAAGTGCATTCACTACTGAAGTTTCAGGGCATACAGATAATTGAGAGATAAGATAAATTCGCACGGAGTTCATTGGGTTAACATTTGCTGTCAAAAGAATTTAATTTGATCATTGTTTTTTCAGAAGTGTGTGCGTGTTTGTGAAGTTGCTGGTCTGCAAAAACAGTTTTTTTGTTTCAGGAAATGATTCTACAGAGAAGCTTTGCATCTTTTAAACTTAGAGCACATTTGGTTTTAAAGTGTGTCTAAAAATATAATTGGATTGTCACCATAAAATGTGCATAATTCAAATCCACACAAGTGGGCAGAATGGCAACTTGCTGCGTAGGGCACAAGTATTCAGCTTTGTATTTCCCAGTGAACCAAGGCTCAGTGGATTAGACATGGGCTTTACAGAATTGTTACAAATAGACCAATCCTCCTACAATTCATATAATGCTACATTTTAAAGTCAAATATGTGGTCTTTATTAATATAGATTTGAATTTTAAGAAAGTGTTTGTTGTCTTTGCTAGACACCAATTATTGGGAATAAATATGGTGATCAACACAGTGCAGCTGGTAGAAATGGGAAGCCAAAAGTCATTGCTGTGACCCGGAGCACTTCTTCAACTTCATCAGGCTCCAATTCAAATGCACTGGTTCCTGTTAGCTGGAAGAGACCACAGCCATCTCAGGTACATTGTGCCTCAGACACTTCATGCATATATTAGAGAGAGTGTTTGTGAATGTATTAAAGAAATGTATTGAAGTGTTATTTGAAGTCTGTATTATGTCGTAGCAAAACAGTAAACTAATATGGCATAAACTAGAAGCTGATACTGGTGAAAAGTAAAAAATTTTAAGATTCTTTTTAGAGGATGGCAGTATGCAATATGGCTAGTTGAAAACGCAAATGTTTTCTATTTTTACCTGGATCTCCAGCAGCTGCCGTGCTATGTGATTTTCTTTGGTGTATTTTTCAGAGAAGGACTCGGGAGAAGTTAATGAATGTGCTTTCTCTGTGTGGTCCAGATTCTGGTCTTCCCAAGAATCCTTCGGTAAGTGGCGATGGTGGTTTCTTTTGGTTTTTTTAACTCAATTAGCAGAATGCTATTGCATTTTTAGTTGTTGATGAAGTTATAAACAATGGATTTGGACAAGCTAGTTTCGGTTCAACAGTTCACAAATCCAATTGAAAAATAAAAAGAAGAATTGGAAGTAATGGATTATTATTAGTCCTCAAGGACTCCAGTGGGCATGGTTGTCTTGGCTAGAAAATAGAATTGAACTAGGTCTCCCCTGTTCTGACTGAATCTCTACCTAGTCCATTACAGATGCTTTTGAGTGAAGAGATAGCAGTAGCTGAGGACTGCAAGGGTGTTGATGCTGTATTGAAAATAATATAGAATCAATTGAAAATAACCAGTCGGTCAAGTATCTTGAAGCATGGTTATTTATAGAAACAATAGTCTTAACTGTTGAGTAAAAATAGGTTGATAGTTTTACTTCTGTATAAAGAACCTCACTGGCATACTATGCTTGATGATGGTGATGACATTTAAAACAAAGCGGATAGCCTACCTTGGTTATCATCTAGAACATATTTTTTTATTGTGGCATAAAAGTTCTTACCTGGGGAAAATATTGGTGGGAGAAGGAGCTTGAATCTAGTAGAAGAAGCTGAAATAAAAATAGATGCCTGAAAGCTGGAACTGGAGATATTAAAAAACAGCGTATAGAAATAAACAGAATATTGTCATTTGTGAAGGTTGTGAAGGCCACTCTAGCTCAGTATTGGATCCCTTTTAAAGGTGTACAGTCCTTCCACAGAAGTTTGTAGGTGAAAACAGTATCGTCTCTGTTGTGTGGCTGTGGTTATTATGATAGTTTCTTTTGTTCTTAAATTTGATTGATACTGTGGTTATGAAAATGAAGTTTGGGTGATATGTTTTTCCTCCCTATTTATGTCTTTGTAACTTAGTTACATTAAGGAGAGAATGATAAAGATGTAGTTAGATGTAGTTAAAGATACAGTTTAAAATACAACCAGTCTTGAAGCAAAGTGTTGTCAGTATAGGGGTAGACATGCTGCCTGCCACTAATTCATTAAATGTCAGGGAGCAGGATAGCTGACTTCTGGAGTTACAGAAGTTGGAAGTTCTTACTTCTGTTTTTATGTATATGTACAGGTTGTGTTTTCTTCTAATGAAGACTTGGAAGTTGGAGATCAACAAACTAGTCTAATTTCAGCAACAGAAGAAGTGATTCAAGAGGAGGAAGTGGCTGTAGAAGACAATACCAGTGAACAACAGTTTGGAGTTTTTAAAGACTTTGACTTTTTAGATGTTGAATTGGAAGATGCAGAGGTGAGACCTTGGGGTGTCTTCTGTGTATTTCCATTTGAGAGCATTTTGAAAATAAGGTTGTGTTGGTGCAATTCTAAGGAATTGGCAGCCCTACTAGCTAATCCAATTCAGAAGAATTTATGACATGATGGAGCTTAGATAGAAAACTTTGCAGGGCCAAGTTATTGCAAATTGTTGGCTGGTTTTGGAGGGAAGAGTTGAGGTTTTTTTGGAGGGATTTAAGTGACTTTATCTGAAAGTTAAGTGATATGGCAGTGTAAGCCAATGTCAGCATAAGCACCGGTACCATGCAGGAGAAAACTTAATAATGGAACAGCGTGTTAAGAAAATGGCATAATCATTGTTTCTGATAAATTTCTGGATTTTAAGAACTTGATAAAAGGCTTTCAAAGTAACAAACTGTATTATATACTATCTCATTATATACTATTGACTTGCTCTCTATAATTGCTTGCTTTGACTTTTACATTATATCTGGTATATTGAAGTTCTTGTATTTCCTCTACTTCTCCTTCTGTCAAAAAGAGAGAGGGAAGGTAAAACAAAATTAGGTATTGAGAATTAGTGACGATTTTGTTAACAACTATTACTTGTTTCAGATCAATAATATGCTTCAGACCAGAATTTGCTGAAGCTTAAAATTATGACTGTAAAAGGACTGGGAAAGAAAAAGTCCACAAGCTACTAAGAATATCTAAACACTCATTGTTCTCTTGATTTATCTAAACCTTTTTACAGGGTCTCCCCCCTAATTCTTTAGTATTATCTCACTTTCCTCCTGCTTCCTGTGTATTGCTTAACTTCAGCCAGTATTTGCACCTTCTAGGAAAGGTACAAGCTCATTGTGGGCTATTGCATAGATGTAACCACACACTATTCAGACACCATTTCTTATATTGAATACAAGTAGTCAAACAGTTCAGAATTAAGTCTCAGTAGCATTAAACCATTATTTTAACACTAGACAGGACTTGGTAGATAGGAAGGCAAAAGCTGAAAACTTCACCAAATGAAGTTAACCTTTAACTTAATTTTCTGTGCTATTTTAATAGCAGATCATAATTAAGAAAAGACAGTTAATTTTTTATTACTTGCCTGAATGCAACACGTAGTGCTGTACTAGAGAAAAAAAAAAGACCACAGATAGTACAGATTTAGGGTGTTACATATAAACAGTGCACTTGGTAAAAGAGCTCTGGCTTATTTTTTCACCAAAAGTATAGAATGTTCTTTATTGCTAATAATTAAATGTCAACAAGTATGAACTGGGGCTTTTACATTAACATCTGTGTAATATCCAGATTAAACTTAAGTGCTTCAGCCCATAGTAGTAGTACTTTGTTGTACTTGAAATTATTTTGCTGTGCCATAACTTTTCATCCTATTTCGAGGAAAAGAAATCACCAAGAGAAAGAGATTATAAAATATTTACTTTGTGTATTTAATGAGTCATGGTAATTTCTTAAGTCACCACAAGAGGTACTCTGTTAAGGCAGTTTTGGAACTGTGTTTAGGTCTAGACGTAGTGTTATAGTAACTGTAGGCCAGTGAAGTGAACTTCACCAGGTTTTCCATATCAATTAGCTGAATTGTTGAAGGTTGATGAAGTGCTTGAGAAAATCAAAGATCATTATTGTACTTGTAAATTAAAATAACAGTGTTTTTAAGATATGAATGTCATTTAGTGTTATGGATATTTGAAACCCAAATATCCCAGCTTGAAAATGCACAAAAAGAATGGATCCAGCTATTTATATTTAGGGTGCACTTCATAAAACTGACACCAAGTAGCTGGTAAAACAGTTAGTGACAACATCATCTTTTCTACACCCTGTATATAATTATTGTTGGTAGTGTTTTGTCAGTTGGATGTGATCAGTATAGAGTCATGTGTGTTAGTTAAAGAACTTCATCAATGTTTGTTGGAACAGTTGCTTTACATGTTATGCTAGAGAAAATGTATCATGAGCATGCTGATTTTAGTGTTTTGTCGTCAGTTTGTTGTTTTTTTTTTTTACCTCATTAGAAAGAGACATTATTTTAAATACTAGCTTTTTGACTAAAGCTTTTTTCCAGAGCTTGAATCAGTCTTTTACTGTTGGCAAATCCTATGTAATAAAACATTTTTCCCTGGCTCTAGAGTATCTTTAAGTGTTTGTCCTCGTTCTTTCTAATTATATGTGTTTTCCTTTTTGCTAACCAGGAGCTGCAGGTAAGTTGCAGCCTGGTGCCCTGGCTTGTTCATCTGTTGTTGTCTGTGATGTGTTTGTACTTTCTAGTCAGATTATAAAATCAATACTGATGTAGTTCTAGATTACATATTGAGTTACTTTCCAAGAAGATATTAAAAATAGTTCTACTTCCTTTGCCATATATTTTATTTACAAGCATTTAACAAGGTACTTAAAATTTTAATAAAACTAAAGGGCTGATTGAAACTCTGTTCATGATGCATTCAGTACTCATGTTTTCTCTGTCTCATTTGTGTATTAACTTAGTGATGTTGAAACTCGTACATACCAGATGTGTGCAAACTTTTCTATTACAGGGCGAAAGCATGGACAACTTCAACTGGGGCGTTCGCAGGCGCTCTCTTGACAGCATTGACAAAGGAGACACGCCGTCCCTTCAGGAATGCCAGTACTCTGGTAGCACACCCAGCCTGAACTTGACCAACCAGGAGGATACTGATGAGTCTTCAGAAGAAGAAGCAGCACTGACTGCAAGTCAGATACTGTCTCGTTCACAGATGGTAGGTTATTTTTCTGTGGAAGAAATCTGAGAACTTAAACTTTCCCTAGCACATTTAATGGATAAGTGTGGCTCACACTTTCAGCCTAAGTGACGTAGTAAGGAACTAAGTTAATGTGGCTAAGCTTCTTCTTTATAATAGCATCAATGAAGGAAAAAAGTTACTTTACCACATTGGTGGTACATAATTTATAATTTTAGATTTGTAATTTTAGTATAATATTAATTTTCAGTGTTTTTACACTTATATTTTTAAAAATATAAACACAAATTTGCATCTATTATATATAAAGTGCATATCTTTGTGGATTTCTAGATGGAAAAAAAGTCCCAAATGCTACATAAGATCAAGAGTATTAAATTGTCATATGGGGGTCTAGGTTGTGTTTAAGCACAGAAATTGAAAAACTAATTATGGATTTTGAAGCCTGTGTACATATAACTTGGGAAAATCAAGAATGCTGGCCATTCAAAAGTCTCTCTGCTTTACATAAATGAAATTAGGAAAAAGTTGACTTGATGGGGACCAGCTTGATGTGTATGTTGCTTTTCAGACTTTAGGCAAAGCTTGTATTAATGTTGTTCCCAACAAAATGCTCTTTTCAATGGTTTCAGTCCAGCAAAAAGAACTAAAAAAAGAAAGAAAATAATTTTCCTTAAAGGAAAAGCTTCTTTTCAAAGTGAAATGTTACAGAAATGCATGTGATGTTTTGTAATAGTTCTAGTGTAAAGCTGTGAAATTCATCATAGGTGAATAAATTCCAATAGCTAACAACACTGAAACAACCTATTTCAAAACTAATGCAATTCTTTACCTGCAGCTTGTGTTTCCTCTGAAAAATTTTGTTTCTTTCTTTTCTGTCTTAGTTAATCAGTGATTCTGCCATAGATGAAACAGTGTCAGATCATGCTGGTTTATCACTTCAGTCTCAAGATTCCACAAGCAGTGTGGGAACAGAAGAGGTGCTTCAAATCAGAACTGAGACCCCAAGTTTGGAGGCTTCTTCTCTAGATAACTCTAGCAACCAGCTGCCTGAGGTGGGGAGAAATGTGGGCTGGTGCATGACTGATTTGAGCTCCTTCTAGTTTTAGTAGCAACTTCGGCTTTCTTTTCAACTGAATTTTCATCTGTTACACTGATTAGTTGATTTGCTTTAATATTTCTAACCTGTTGGCATGTTCTTACAAAATGTTTCTTCAGCGTGGAGACTTCTTGGATGGACTGAGGGAACTTACCACAGGTTAAAAATATTCTTGAAGGGCTGATCATGATCATTTCATGGTGCAGAATGAAACAGGCTAATATTCAGAATGCTTTTACTTGATATGGTTGAAATCCTTCTTGAGCGACATTTTCTTTCCAATGCTTTTTTATTTCCCTCTCCCTACCCCCCCCCCCTCCCTTTTTGGTTTCTTTTTTGCTTTCTTTGGGTTGTGATTGGTGCTATATGGGAATAAAACCTCAGGCCAGCTGTGTTAGCAGTTGGTTCCATTAAATGATCCTTTAGTAAGGACTACAGATGCTAGTGGTATACTTTTTTGGAAAGGCCCATGTGGACTGAGACAGATTTCAAGCTAATGGCCGCCTGCAAATCTGTGAGTACTTCAGTTTATTGTGTTTTCAAACGTTTGAATAATTTAAAATTTAAAAAGACACCCCTAATTTTAGACAAACTGTCATCTGCTACAACTTTTCTCCAATTGGCTTGGTTTAGGTGGACTTTTTATCTCATCATTTAAAATTATTTATTCTACTATCAATCTTATTTTTATTTGCATAATGTTAGCTAAGATGGGAAATCCCATCTTTAACTATGCATGCAGTTTTATTGAGTATTCCAGAAAATTAGGCCATTCCTATGTGTATTTGACTAACCAGTGACTATACTGTTGACACTTAAGAATGAGTCTTGAGCCAACCTGGTTTAAACAATCTACTGACTAGTTCAAGTTTCTAAAAGCTCTACTTTACCTGCTTGCTACTAGAAAAATTGCTCTTATTAGCAGGCAGACCATATATGTACCTAATATTTAATGAAGAAAACTGTAACAAAAGAGTCTAATAAGGGGAGAGTGGCTGATTTCCTGTGATAAAATCCTCACCTTTTACAGTTATAATATTGTGACACTCATAAAAGTGCTTCCCTCACATTTTTCCTATTATCCCGTTATGTTTATCTATATGCTTTTTTAAAAAAGTGTTTCATTACACTGATGTTGATAAATTGTCTCAGCTATTGCAGAGCACCTGTGCTTACATTGTCAAACAAATTGTTATCACTTCCTGTGCTCATCTCCAACACTCATTTTTGATCCAAAATAATGTTCAGGAAGCACACCTAATCTGGGTGAACTTTTTGCACACAGAATAGATGCTTTATGTTAAGATTTCAGGGGCAAGAAGCAATATATAAGCTAGAATTTTGTAGAATGAAATTCACCACAAAAAACTTGTCTTCTCTGTTGTTGGTGTGTGGTACATCCTCAGCTGTAACTAATTTTTACATTTTCATAGTTCTATCTGAGACTGCCCTTAGAATTCATTGTTCTCTGCAGCTCCCTTTACAAAATCACTATATACTGCTATAATACAGGTGAAAATATCCATGCAAAAAAGCACCATTGTAATTTAAAAATACTGAAAACATTTAAACTGGGCTGTAAAGTAATTCTATGACTAGGCAGCATTCAGAACAAATTGCTGTATATTAAAAAAAATACTGTAGGTGCATACAAATGCATTTACTAGATATGATGTGTTCCAGGTTCATTCTGTGCTTATTAGAATATGAGATTTGGACAAATACATAGGTTTCTTCAAGCACAATTCAAACACTCAAAGTTATTATTCTACAAGACTTAGCTATCTGGTTGGATTTTGTTGCTCAAAAAGTGAGCTGGCCTTATGCCTCTTACCAGAATGAGATGAAAATGTGCACACTATTGTCTCATCTTGAAATATTTATGAAGCCAGTAAAACTGATTGTTATGAATACTTACACTGTACAACTTGTAGCATAGGGCAGTTGTTTTTCCCTGTGCTCATGTACTTTATATATAAAGTATATATAAAGTATATATTCTCCGTCAGCAGAAGTATGGCATTGTATGCCAACTTTCAGTTATCATAATGTTTTTGATATAAATAAGTATAAATCAAAGTTATCTAAGACAATATGGGAAAAATTGAAGCGATTATTCATAAACAGGAGTGTGCTGGTTAGATGAGTTGAGTTCCTTGTTTGTCTCATAAGGATGCTGTATTGAAATTAATTGTGTACTTAAATGTACTGGCTGATCCCCAGAAAATGCAAAAAAGATATTTCACATTCCAGTTAAGAATTTACTGTCTATCTGAAAATAATTTTGTTCATTTGTTCAAAATAAGTTTTACAAACTAATGCATATGAAAGTTTCTGACTAAGATGGTTCTCTATTTTGCTCACTTGCACTGTAGATTTGTGAGGGAGTGGTTTAGTAGAAGTAATTTTCCTAAGGTTCTATGTCATTGGTAACCATATAAACTATATAATCACCTTTTTAAGATACTTAAGGAATATTCATGCTGGTAGTAATTTCCAGTGACACACTGAAAATTAAATCACTGTGAAGACTTAAACTCTGCAGTAAATTTATTAACTAACAATAAGCATATTTTGAAAAATTGCATCGCTCATATGTATATTTACCAGCCATGATCAATGTAACTCTGTATCCTCTGTTAACATCTGTAACAGAAATGGACCATTGGTTCAACCCAGAGTTTTTTGTTGAGGTTTTGTAAAAGTGTCCTGCATTCCCATGTGCCTCAGCTGCTCAGCAGGACAGAATGACTGTTCTGTGAAAAAAAAAAAAAAAAAAAAAAAAAATCCAGATTTTACTTTAACAAAAGAGGCATAAGAAGTGCAGTCACTAGCTGTGTCAAATGGCAGCAGTGTCACATTGAGGAGTACCATAGTCAAAGTGAGATTTGGTAAGGATCACTGTGAAAGAAAATTACATGGTTCCGTTGAAAGCTGAATTATCTTTTCTAGTATGTATACAGTCATTTAATCTGTCAGAGGTTCTGTTTCAACTGCTGAAAACCATGAAATGATGTGTATGCTTAGAGGCTGTCCAAAGGGTTTTTGACCAGTTTTGGATATGCCAGTAGAGAAAGACCAGCATACTAAGAATGAAAATATGTGGTAATTTGTGTCTTTAGGAATTTTGTGTCTTTAGAAAATAGTGTTATTTTTATTCCCCAGAGAAATCCAATATAAATGTTTCAAATTAATTCATCATAAATTAATTAATCATAAATTAACTGAATCTTAATTCATCTATCTGTTCAATATAGTGATGTTAATGAATATAATAATGCTAATGGAGGAAGGGAGAAAGGGTTGTTTTAATATTACCTACCTGAGTTTAATTATCCTCTCTCTGTAATTGCCTGTTAATGAAAGCCTACATTCAGAGATTCGGGATAAAACCATTAGAGATGCCCATATTAGTAGTAATGACAAAATAATAAAAACAGTGGAATGTCTCTTTTCCACTGTTTATCTATTACACTGTTGCTAAGTAGTTATGCTTTAGAAATTTGTTAAAATGGGGAATGGAAAGGAGAAGAAGTATTCTGGTACTTGTTCTAGATTCCAAAGGAAAGCATGAGGCAGTCATTTTAATTCTTACCTAGAGAAGCAAAACATTAAAGTCTTGGGTTTGTTTGATCTCACTAAGTTTGAGACTGTTTGCATATTTGCATATTTTTCTGTCAGTATTCTCTAACAGTTTTAATTAAATGTATTTGAGAAATAGTATTTGCTCTACGTAAGTCACATTCTAGGATATTAATGTTTACCAGAAGTTATAAACATTACAAATAGACTGCCTGTCTTTGCCCAGGTAAAACTGTGTGAACGAGACAAAGACCTGAATAGTTAAAGTAAATATTTGTAAATAATCTTTTATAACTGTTAGTTTACCATAATAAAAACTGGTAAGAATACAGAGGCCCTGACAGTAGTACTAATGAGAGGATGTGTGATCCACAGGAAGGCAGTTCAGCAGTGAGGGATGAACAGGTTAGCACTGCTAGTGAAGACACTGGCTCGTACCTACTACATGAGCAGCAAGACTGTCTGGTCTGTCACGAATCTCTGGAGCTGGAAGAGACCCCAGAACTGGTAGAGGCAGCAGCTCCTGAAAGCTATTCTGAATCTGTCTGTGAAGAGGATGTCACTCTTGCTTTGAAAGAGCTAGATGAGAGATGTGAAGAAGAAGAAGCTGACTTCTCTGGTTTGTCTAGGTAAGATTAATACTGGTTGTAAGTAACAGAAGTTACACGTTATCAGTGCATTATCAAACAGGCTTTTCTATGCTATGGAGATTTCCATTAATTCCATAATACAAAAATCTAAAACAATAGTTTGCATATCTCAAATAATGGTTGATCAGCTTTGCCTGTTACAGCAACTAAACTCAATATTTTTTTCAGTAATTGTTTCTGGTACAAGGAAGACAGTTCTGCGGGAAAATATGAGAATTCGCAAATAAAAGAAATTGGCACTTTTCTTCCATCAGTAGGACAGAAATGTAAAAAATCAGCTGCAAACAGTACAACAGAGAAAAGTTCTTGAACTGCTCTGACTTACAGTGGCACCCAAAGACAGGAAAAAAACAGGGAAAAAAAGTTTAATTTTTTTTTTCCTAATCAAAGCTCCTGTAGAAGTCAGGTCAGTTTGTCTTTGAATCTGCTCAAAGGTTATTGTTAAGGTTTATAAATCTCCTGTATATTTCTAAGACATTTTAAAGTAAAATAATATTTTTTTCATTTTATATGGAGAACAGAAATTACTATTGAGAGGAAAAGTTAAAGTTAGTCCTAGCTGGGTTTTTTCATATTTAAAGTGAAACTCTTAAGTCCCCTGGAAGTAACAGTCTAAGAAGGAAGGAAAATAAACAAGAAACCCCAAGCAAACAAATAAAACCTACAAACCAAACCAAACCAAAACAAATCCAAATTGATCATAGGCTTTCATATTTAAAATTTGTTCAGAAGTTTAGATTGAATAATAGAGAGTCTTGGTATATATAAGAACACAGGCTTGACATTTATTCTTTCAGAGAAATCTCTTAAGGAGGCTTTTTTAGAAAAGAGCACAACAGGAGATACAAAAGAAGCTGGTTGAGGTTTTACTGGGAGAGACAGAGAAACTTGACTCTTGTGATCCCATACATCACCTACTGCATATGCCTTGTGAGACTTCAAGGCTGGTACCAGTTAAGAGCAGTTTAATTCTTCATTTGCAACTGAACAATCCCTCAAGGTTTTATTTTATTTACACTAAGCAAATGAAAAACCCCATAGCTCTGAAGAGTGACAGAGGCGATAGCATTGGTACACTAGTGGAGAAATATCTGAAAATCTTTTTTGCAGCTTTGCTTACAGATGATAATCAAATGGGATTTGTCTTAGCTTTTGAGCTTTGTGATACTAAAATGAAGGTATCTAAAACCAGCACCCATACTTCTTGTTTAAGACATGTTTAAGTCTTGTTTAAGGTGTACTTAGTGCTGCTGTGGATGAGGCAGTTGTCATAGAGAAACACTGTATGTGATTTAAAAGATTATTTTAATGAACTGTCTGTATACCTGGAATCCTCCTACACATATTTGCGCTGCCTGCATACAGTTATACAGGAAGAAATGTCAAAATGTATCATCCCTTGTAATACAGAATATTTTAGATTAATCATTATTTTAATGATTGGAAGTAGTAGCATTAATTAATGTATTGTTTGATATTTTTATTGGATGTTTGTTGCCTAATGGACAGTATAACAGCAGACTGTTCTGTGAACAAAGGCCCATTAAACTGATTGCCCATAAAATGAAAGTGTTTTGATTTATCTCCATTTGCTTATGTTACTTTAGACAGTTATAAAGCACTATTACATTACTAAATGAGCTCTTGTGCTACCCTACGAAGACTAAAACTTGTTGCAGATATTGGTGGACCATCTGTTCAGATCAATAAAAATTTGAACAATGGGATGTTAATAACTTTTTTCTTGCCCCAGAAAAAAATGCCTGTTTCTAAGTGGCGTCCATATATAGTGCTATATATACCTATATATAATCTCCAGATAGTTATTTGTAGTTCTGTGTAGAACTGACATGTGGTAGTAAATTTTGGAGAGTATAAGCAATTTTTAATATATTACAGCAAAAGTTTTTGATTGTTTACTCTTTTCTTGGTTCATAGATACTTAGTTGATCTGTTATTTATTTTACAAAATGCTGTTCTGTATGCAAAATTCTTATTTTTTTCCTTCTTGCCAAAATGAAGATGTTCTTGTCCCTAAAAAGTGTGCTGAGGAGGTAATTTCTGTTATTTATTGTTTGTAGCCAAGATGAAGAAGAACAGGATGGTTTCCCAGAAGTGCAGACTTCCCCTCCTCCTTCTCCATTTCTTTCTGCCATATTGGCAGCTTTCCAGCCAGTGGCGTACGATGATGAAGAGCAAGCCTGGCGCTGCCACGTCAATCAGATGCTGTCAGACACAGATGGATCTTGTGCTGTCTATACATTTCATGTCTTCTCAAGATTGTTTCAGGTCAGTGAATTCTCTGTGTATGATTGCTCATCTGAAATCCTTTCCTCCTACTTCTAAAACTGTTCTTCCCCTTGAAACTACAAAAGCCACAAGATTATGGTAGCAAGAAGCTTTAGAAAACAAACCAAAAGCAGACCAGAAAAACGTTCTGCTGAAGTAATGTTACACTGTCATACTCTATTTTTCCATAGGATATCTGCTGTATTCATTTCCTAGGAATGAACCTGCTCAGGAAATAAACAAAAATTGAGGAAAAACTCAAAAAAATCAGTTCAGTGTTTCTTGTAAGATCTTAGTCCAGGCTGTGTCCCTTCTTTCTTATTCTGAACATCACCCAGGTTCTGTGATGATTACAGATTAATGTCTTTCTCCTGGTTTCTTTGTGGGAGTCATGATTATGGGATCACAGCATGACAAACATTACTGAATTTATCTTGCATCTGTCTTGAGAGAAAAAGGTTTCTTTCTGCAGAGAAGTAGTTGAAACACCAGGAGATCCACTGGAGCTGGATGTTTCAAATGCCTCTCTTTAAGTGTATTTACCTCATAGATCTGCTATCCAACACAAAACATATACGGCTTAATTTTTCTGGCTCCCTTCTCCCTATATGTAGGGGACGAGATTTTACATTTTAAAAGTAATGCTTATTTGCAAATTCCTAGGGGTAGAATAAGTATAATTAATTCATTTTCTGTACAGGCAATGTGCCAAATGAGCTAAGAGAATATTCAGGGCAAGGCTTTATGGCTTCAGCCCTTTCTTGTTATCTCTAATATTAATTTTGTTTGCTGTTTGGCATATCATAATAAATTTCTCAGTGAAAGACCCACACTAGCACATATTTAATCCCATGTATGGGCAGTAACTTAGATGTGAATAATTCATATTCTGCCTTTCCTATGGAATAATTTGTTTGCACATCTATACCCTGTCACACTACAACATGAAATAACTTGCGCACTCACTCTAAGATGCAAAAGAACAAAAGGAACAAATTTTATTTCTGACCGTGCAATATATAGAATTCTAAAAGTGATAGTGGATTGGAGGATGAAATTGTCACCTCCCCAACCACACTGGTCAAACCAACAGTCCATCAATTCTCTCTTCCCACAAAGAAGAATGCAAAACAATCATTATTTACGTGAACAGTGTATGAGAAACTCCAGTAGAAATATGTAAACATGAGAAGGCATAGAAAACTTCTCTTAAAAGACCATTAAAACTTTTAGAAGAACAGGGCTACAATGTCCATTATCCATTTTATTTTAACTAATTTCATGGCCACAGTGCCATGAAATTTCTATTACAGGTTGTAGATTTTTGTCTTTTTGCTTCATCTAGACATCAGGGATTTGGCTTGTCTGTATTATACCAAAGCTTAGCTACAGTTGGTTTCCACACATTCATTAATTTCCTGGAAGTGGTAAAATGAGAGCTCATATTCTCTTGTGTTCATTAACAAGAGAGCTAAGGAAGAAGGATGAAACTTACCTTAACAGCTGGAAAGTTGGATACTTTGCAAAATAGCAAAGTGTTCAAGCATGGGCAAAATATGTTCCTGAGAAGTTGATACTGGGTACAGAGGAGGGTTAACATGATCAAGTGATACTTGGGAGGCCTTGTTTGACTGGATCTTTCCATTTTGCCTTTTGACTCCTTCCTCCTGTGCTTAAGTTTGCAGCTGTCTGTATAATCTTTATATAGTTTTATTCTACATGCAACTTCCAGGATTAATGAAACAGTACATAGCAGAGTGCAGTGTTACATTTGGCTAAGCTGACAGTCTGCATAATCAAACATGATAAACTCAGGACTGATTTTTGAAGAAGGTAGAAACCTTGCAGGTGGCAGTTTTGGACACAGATTGTGCTACGTAGGTAGCATACTGACTCATAAAACACTATATTTCTGCAACACAAACACTTGAAAACAAATTGAACTATCTGTACTGTGTAAAGGCAAATAGTCATCTACCTATACTGAGGCTAGAGGCCTAGATATGAAAGGAGTACTTGTCTCTATACACACTGGCTGGTTTTATTGATTAATTGAATTTTCCAGAGCTGATTTTACATAACTATTGAGAGAAAATTGTATATTAGTTTTTCATTTAATGAAAAAATATAATGTGATGGAAACTTTTCAGGGTAGAAATTTGCTCTGAAATTCTTACCTAAAAAGCCAGAAGAGTAGAAAAACACAACATAAGATAAATGTTTTTCTGATTTGACTTCTAGACCATACAAAGAAAGTTTGTATCTATAACAAATGATTCAGTCAGCTTTCTTGGTGAAAGTCTACAGCGCATTGGAACAAAGTTTAAGAGTTCTCTGGAAGTGATGATGTTGTGTTCAGAGTGTCCGACCGTCTTTGTGGATGCAGAAACGGTAAGAATCTCAAACTTGCACATTAAGAATCTCAATCTTGCATGTTGGAATATCTGTCTACTCAAACATTTCATGTAACATATGAAATGATGTTTTAATATGTGGAAAAAAGGAACTCTTTGAAATCAGAAGGGAATTAAAAATCTTAAGTTGCCACTATGTGTCATAAACACTGGAGACCACCAGTGAGAAATGCGTTTCTTAAAAAATAGGCTCCAGCTGTAACACTGAACAGTATGGAAACTTACTGATAGTAGGTATCACTTTAATTCCCTTACTACTCTTTACCTTTCCTGCCTTTTCATATTTATTCTATGTTTTCTGCATAAGTAAGAAAAAGGAAAACTACTTATCTAGCAGCAACTTTGCCTTTTTGTGTTATATTGTTTCATGTATATATTCAGTCATGCATGAGAACAACATTCTTGCTGCAAATATACAAGGAGACTTTGAATTATTTGTTGTCATGTAAGTTGAAATCCTGATTATAATAGATACTAATCCAAGAAGTCAGCTCAATGTTTAGCAGCAGTCAAACAAAACTCTGTGCTAGAATTATCAAGAAGAGAGACAGTGAAGCAGGAAATATCACTGAGTTAATGTACATATTTCCTGTATACCTACATCCTTAATGCTGGGGATAGTTTTGGTCCCTTGCTCTCAGAGCAAAGGTAGTAGCACTGGAAAAAAATTAAAGATAGATCACAAGAATGATGAAACATGTACATGTAAGATATGAGTATGTAGGCTAGGATTTTTAGCCCTTTAGAAGATAAATCTGTCCATTGATGTCTTATCAGGATACGATAGAAATTATTTGCTTTTCATCTTAATTGATTTTAAGGGTGATCAAATTAAGCTACCAGTGACTTTCAAAACATACAGAGCCAATGTCCTTCATGTGATACATAATCAAACTCTGAAATACTGTCACTTCAATTGCTGTCTGTTCATGTTTTCAAAAAGACACTAAAGAAATTCATTGAAGAAGTAGCCCTGGACAGAGCCTTCAAATATGCAGAACAGCTTGTTGTCAGAGGCTAAGAAAGCACTCTGGGGCAGGTGGATCACCACATTTGCCCTTCCTTAAACAACTGCCATTAGACATTGTCAGCTGCACGGCTGAGGTCGATGGATCTTTGGCCTTGATGACCAGTGTGAGACACTTCTTCTGACCTGCTTTTTTCCCTTTGGTACTAAGGGGCAACTCTTTCTTAAGGTCTCACTTAAGAATATGAGAATGAAAAAAGCATGATACAGATAGTGCATTTCAAGGAAACCGCCTGCAATGTTTTTTGGGTTTACTTATGCCACTTTAAAGCAGTAAAAATTTATTTTAAAAAATTCTTTAAGATAAGAAGCCTTAAGAAGAGTTACACTAGTGTCTAACTAAAACACCGTGTGTATTCTAAAATAAAAACCAAATCTATATAAAGACAAACATTAAAAGTATATAAATAAATATAGCACACAAATATTTGCATGTATACATGGACATACACACATTAGGGTTGTTACATTGACAAATACTGTATAAATAAATCTTTCCAAATAATTAGAATAAAATGAACCTGCTTTTCAGATTAATTCTCACTGATAAAAGTACAGAGCTCTTATTGTGTGCAAGGACTGACCAGTGTGAGGGAGGAAACATCATGTTAGAGATGTTTATTACAGGAAGTGTCAGTAGAAGGACTAATTAAAAAAACTAAGTGAAAATAAAATACAGAGAGAAATGGTGTGGAAGAAAGCTGAAGTAGCAGTCCCTGAAGGAGAAAGAGATTCTGAAACCATGGTAAAAGAGGCAGCCATTAATAGTAGAAAATTTTTTTAATATCCTAGTGGCTCCTGCTTTGGCAAAGTCCTGTTTATTACGACTGCAGAAGCTTTTCTGGTAGCATGGTTTGTATATTGAGAAGGGCAAGTAACCCTCAGTGGATACTCCTTAGGTTGCTACAGGAGCAATCCAGCAGCATTACCTTTCCTTCCTTCTACAGGCTGTTCTATTTACACTAGTGGTATGTGTGTACCAAATAGTATTCTTAATTATGAAAGATCTAAAAATTGCTTTGAAATCTCTCTTTCACGTGTTAACTAGGTACTGCTATTCTTATTTTGGAATTAAAACTGTGGTTCACTGATTTAAATGGTAGAGCTACATGTGTTAATTCACTTACTCAAAGGTGTCACAAATTACATGCCCAACTAATTCTAATTTGTTTTTCCAAATGTCAATGTGGGATTCTCTATTATGTAATTTAGATATTAGACTGTATGCATTATAGTCAGATGTTACATGACTACAGAGTTAGATTGCTTTTATCTTCCAGCTGCTGTCTTGTGGCCTGCTAGAAACACTGAAGTTCAGTGTTTTAGAGCTCCAGGAACACTTGGATACTTATAACGTCAAAAGAGAGGCAGCAGAACAGGTGAGTCTCTTATATCTCAAAACAAAAATATTAGAACTTACTCATCAAAAAAATATTGCAGGTCCTTATTTCTCATCAAAGTCATCTAAAGGAAAAGTGTGGATAAACACTTCTGAAATAAAATCCTGTTTCCTTTTCTTACTATAATTCTATGTGTATAACCTGAACCTGAAGGGTTTTTTCTTATGTGTGATTAATTTTTGTTGCACCTATTTCTGAAGCTGATTTTTAATATATAACACTGCACAAATCCACCAACAGTAGGAAAAGCACATTCCTAATTTAAAAAGATTCAAGTATTTCTAACATGAATATCAATAAATAATGGGGGTTTAAATTTATGTTCTGCTTATTAGACTAGGGATTCACCTCCAGATTAAGACATTTACAAATAACTATCTTTCTAGAATTCTGAGTGCATTAACACCCATAGTATTTAAGGATCAAGTCAATATATTAAAAGGAATCAAGAAATCAATGCATTTATCCTAATACATATACTGACTTGTTTAGCTGAATAATTCTTTAGACTTTTTGGTGACTGAATCTCCACTGACAAGTAATAGGGGTTATACAGCTATGTCACACAGAGACACAAATTTAGGGCCCGTCTTACAGCTGGATCTCATTGAGGATGATGTCTATGTGTTGCTTAGAATAATGCAGTTCATTTTCAAGGTATATATTAGTGGTTATATCCTTTTCCCAAAGAAATGCAGTTTAGAAGAAAGTGAGAAAATTTCTGTAGCAAGGGTCTGTATATTTGGTTTTGTGAACCTATGTGCGAAGTTCAGAAAGTAAGATACTAACTTCAGAAAACTGTCACAGATGAGATTTGTATTTCAAGAGCCGAAAGAAAACATGAATCTACAAATTGAACATGCTGAATTTTATTGATCTCAGCAGCCTGTGAGGCTGTGACAATGGCATTATAGGCAAGTCTGAGTGATGCAAAACAGAACCAGGATTCAAGCCATGATGCTTTGGCAGATATTTTGCAGCACAAGTGGCTCCATGTTTCTTGATCATGCTGAGTTTATTAGGAAATTATGGCCTTTGCCTTGCAAAGATTGCTGACAACCCATCTGTTGAATAGACCAGACATGCACTTTTTTGTGGAAAGGATCTCAAAAGAAATGTGGTTTCCTTGAAACCTATGCTAAAGTATGCCACAGAGCACTGTTAATGTAGATAAACTCTTGTCAGGATCCAGGCCCGCATTTCTGCTGGAGTTGCTGCATTTATTTGCCCTTCTCTGTGGTAATAACAATTTATTTGATCTAATATAATAAGCTACATTTTGCCATGTAGGCTTAATCAGAAACAAGTGCTCATCTAATGACTAAGATAATTTTACTCAATGTAATATTTCATGTCTGGCAATCTTTAATGCATAATGCTCTCAGCACTCCTATGAGGGCACAATGCATTTCATTCCTCCTTTTAGAGAGCAGCCCTGAGGCACAGAGGGTGTAACTGATTTCCCCATGGTCAGACAGGAGGATTTGTGACAAAGTAAAAAGGGACCCGTGTGTGTGTGTGTGTGTGTGTGTGTGTGTGTGTGTGTGTGTGTGTGTAAAATTAGAATGATGAATATCCAAACATGGAGGAATTTAACATCAACTCTCCATTTAGCCTAGTTTATCACAGCAATAATCAATGGTATTGTTTTGTTGATTTGTCAAAGTATAACAAATTAAAGTTACATCCCTTTCAGATGGCAACTAATTCACTAAAGGTATTGTTATCTAATTTTGCACTGCTACATTCCATATTGATATAATCCATGCTGGATATTAAGAACTCCTTTTTATTTTATTTTACTAGGTAAACAAACACAAGTATCAGTTTGATGGCCTCTGTCATTATATCATAGTGAAGGAATTGTTTCTTCTGTCAAAAAGGGAGTCTAGTAACATGTTTCTATGGTCAGCCTGTCTTCTGACAGAGATATTTGAGTGACTGGAGCAGGAAGAAGGTTCACAGGGTTAAAGGAATTCTTCTGAAACAACGGAGAGCATATTGTCAGGGTTTTATTTTTATTTAATCATTTATAAATAAAAAGAAGCAGTATTGAGAAGGAAGAAACTTTTAGCTTTGACCAGTCATCTCTGACTCTTGATAGCCCATCATTTAGACAATTTAGGGCATTACTTAAGTGCTTACTGAGCATGTTAATTTAGAAGTAGTGACTGCTCAAATTATTTACTTTCCTAGAACATTTTAGAAGTATTTCTTTAGCTGTTGGCCCTCTTTTTCGAAGGTGTTTATATTAAATGTAAACTAAGGATCTTCTAAGCTACGTCTTAGATATATGCTTTATTGTTTTCTTACTCTGTCCTCTTAAACAGTATAGGGAAAAATTGAACAAGACTTCTTCAAGTCAAATCTGAATTTCTGTTGCTACACACAGCTGTGCTATGTATCCTATTAAATCTGAAAGTATTAAGCCAAAATGCTTAATCAACCTTATGCAAACCCTTGTTTTTTTAATAGAAACACACAGAAAAATGACCAAATTAAGTGGTCGGCTACTATAATAAAGTAAATAAAAATTAACAGATTTTTTTTATGTTTATCTGGTATCCTTTAGAATCAACCACTGGGAGAATCTGTATGTTAATTTCTTTAATGAAAAACTGTTGTTTAAACTTTATCCTAATAGATGAGGTTTGTCACTCTCAGTGCTGTGTGGTGTACAGGGATTCACATGAATCAAATGGAAAAAGTAAAAGGCTTGGGCTGCAGTTGCTTGAAACAGTTACCTATGCACCAAGATAAGACAGAAAGGTACCTATAGTATAGGCTGTTTAGCATGTCTGTTTAGGGTGTAATCTGACAGACCAACCTGTGCTATAACCAAGACTAACCTCAGACTTCCGTGTGTTATGCTTTCATCAACACTTTCTAGGAGATATATTGAGGAAACATGAATTGATACAAAGCAAACACATAAAGAAGGTTATTCTGTCACACTATTCCCAAAGGAAAAAAAAAAGATCTTTCTACCATGCTGAACATATATTCTGTAAAAATTCTTAACAAATTAATTTTGTCACCTCTTTGGAGCTATAGTTCTATTTTATTGCAAGGGGACTGCTTAGACTTCATGTGTGTATTAGGGACAAAGATACTGAATCAAATAAATGTAATAGGAAATGCAAGCTTATACACACAGTACTCTAGGCACACCCTTTATTCAGACTGGTTCTAAGATTTTAAAAAATACCTTAAAAGGGTGGTGTGTGAAAAGAAATACTAGCTTCCCAAGTGCTGCTGCTGTTTGTTGGAGTGCAAACCTATTTTGTCGTTCCTGATGGAGGCTGTGTGATTAAAAGAAAAATGAGATTTGCTGTGGATGTTGGTATCCATGTCACTAATTGAAACTGACACTGCGATGGTCAGAGAATTCCATTTCTCCTCTTGATGAGCACACTGGCCTAGTTAATTCACTAAGTAACCTTTATTAAATTGAGCAGATGGGAAATCACATTTTTCTTTTTCTTGCATCAGACAAAGGTTAGGAAAAGGTCACCAAGATTCCCTCTGAGATTCAAGATACCAAACACAAGCAGTATGCTAAATTATTCTTCCTTGTATGTATAGAGCCTATTCTTCATTTCAGATGATATTATGCATTTTATCTCAACATGATGCATTCCTATTTCAGTAATGACCATGCTTGCAATTGTTAACACTGTACATGAAGATTTATCAATGGGGTGATCAGGTTGCATTGTCCAAAAAGAACATACTTGATTCTATAAATGCTTTATAGTAACACAGAAATTCATGGGAATGCCAGTACACATGGAGGTTATTTTTTGAGATATTTGCATGGTTGGTTAAAAGTAGAAAAAGAGACTTTTTCTACTTTTTTAAAATTAATAAACTAATTGTGTGATATAGGAAGTGAAGTTAAATTCAGCCCTGAGTGGAACCTGCAGGTTTGCATTGTGTAATGCAAGAATACTTCATCTCCTTTGCTTGTATGAACTGGAGGTGATGGTAAACTCCCACTGGAGAATTTGGGTTTTTTCATTCCAACCTGTAAACCTGCACTTACACAGGAAAGCTCTCTTTCCTTCTGTTACTCAAGTAGTCCCAAGAAATGTAACAGGCTTATTCTCTTATGTGAATTAGTGCTATATTTTAAAGGCTGACAAATCACATTAGTGTAAACCTTACGCAGAAAGTAAAGAGAGGGCTATTTCTGCTTCCACCCTCTCATACATTTTCCTCTAACAGTATCAATTAAATTATGGGTTAGTATTTATGCTGAAGTGTAATATCTCCATCTTGGGTAATGAAGGCTACAGGAAATAAAAGTTACAATGTGATCTATCAGAATGGATATAATCACTGCAAGCAACATTGGTAAACGATTGATTTCACACCACAATTTCTTACGTTATCTGAGAATGTACAAGACAAAGTGACATAAGCAGTTTTAAAAAGTACAATCTTCAGTTTGCTGAAGATTGTACTTTTTAAAGATTGATGTTCAATCTTGTTTTTATTTATTTTGCAGTGGCTAGAAGACTGCAAAAGGACATTTGGTACTGATGATGGTATTCATGGGATTAACACAGATGCCCAGGTAGGTATATGTCATTTGTGAGTCTCAGGATATGAGATTAAAAATCATCTTTATTGCACAAAAATTCCAATATTTGTAGAGAGATTAAAAATGTATGAAAAGCTTTTAATTTCAGTTATCATCCTATCTTTTGGAAACTCAGAGTCTCATAAAGTGGCAATAAAAAAGGGTCTTCTTAATAAAAGCTGGCAATCCATCTTGGGTTCTAGATTTAATAACACTGAGTAGATAAGCAGACTAGATACCATCTGTGTACCAGCAAGTCTGCTTTTCTGCTGCTGTTTCTAGAAGGCAAAAAGATTAAAATTCTGGTTATATGCTCAGATACATTGTCTACTCACAAAGTTAGAACTGCATAAGACCTTTCTGGAGCCAATATATGGGTGAAAAGTAACAGGGAGTAAAGTAGCAGTATAGCAAAAAGCTCATTAAACACATGTCAGAATATCATCTAACAATAGGTTAAGTAACCATTAATATTAGTTGAGTATTTTGTATGTATTTGCATGGCACTCATTGATGTTTAATATTACTAATTGCTGTTAAAAGTGATAGCTTTTCCCAGAATGGACTAGGACTGGGGTTTTTAAAAAATAGAATAACTGCATAATATTGATAAAGTAAAAAAAGTAAAGGCAAAACTCGACATTAGTAGGTACAAGGAGTCTGTCATCTGAAGCACTATGGTAAGGACAGTGAAAGATGTAAGAACTGCGCGTAGCAGATGAACTTACCGTTTCACGATCACAGTTTGCCAAAAATTTCAAATCCAAGCTGAAAAAGAAGGAATTTTACTTCTTTTATTCAGTTGAACCATTCATTGATGCATTTGGTCATGTTTCTGCTGCTGAAGATGTAGTCTTCACCAATAGAAATGTTTACTGTATCTTTTGACTATTTCTTCATTTATACAGTTTTCTTTTGCTGTTCTTCATATAGAGAATCCATGAGTCTCTGGCAAGGCAGTTTGGCCTATTCTTCCCTGTTTCTGCAGGGTTTGAAGATGGCCTCTGAAAAGGAATTTGAGAGCAATCACACTGATTATTATTTGTGGGGACTTGTTTTGATTTTGGTTTTTAATCCACCCTGCAAGGGTGGCATGCTGGTAATTCTTCAAAAGGCCTTGTAAATAGAGTGTGGGCTGCTAAGTCTGAGCAACCAGTTAATGCTAAAAATGTGTAAGTGTTGTGTTGCTCAGGAAAAGAGATATTTTTCATTTACTACCACAAATAAGATTTTCTTACTAATTTTTGGCACTGTGGTCCATACAGCTAAGGAATAGCAAGGTTAATTCTGTTCCAGCTTGTGCATTGCCAGCAGACTTGCAAGTAAATCTAATTATTCAGTTCTTGCTATTAGTACATCTAAGCCTGAAAGAATGCATCTGGACTCTGGCTTGACTATTTCTACAGGACAGGCAGGTAGAAAAATCAGATTATTCTCAAGTAAGCATGTGTGTGAAAGACACTGAAGCAGTACAAAGCTATTTTTAAAGGAAAACCTCTCCTGAATTTTTAAAAGGTAGCTATCAAGGAGTGTTTTGGGGGAAAGGGATTAATTATGGTTTATAGTAATAATGATACTTGGTTTTAAGAACACTGGAATGTAATGGCTAAAATTATTAAATAGTCAACCCTGCCATTTCTCAAAGTCTGATTCTCTGTGCTTCATTAAAGTGATTCATTGAAGTCATGCTAACTTCTGCAGTTCAAATTTTATGTCTTCAGTGTTCTGTGTATCAGAAATATGGTAATTGTGCTGAGCATATAATATAATAGCACAGAGTGCAGAACAAATGCATGCAGTGTAACAAAATCATGCACTGTTATAACCTGGGAGGCACACAGTATATAACTTACCATAACACCATGTACAACTATGTGCTCAGTAAATCTCAGCTGCTTCCATCTCTTGGGAGTCAGACATCCGCTGACATTCCTTTTTTTTGCTCTCAGGCACATGGTGTGATTCCAATGGGGTTGTCCTGTGCAGGGCCAGGACCTGGACTTCAGTGATCCTTGTGGGTCCCTTCCAGCTCAGGATATTCTGTGATTCTGTGATTTGGTTTGCTGTGACCACTGTTTCATTCCTAAGTGCCATCAGTACGCTCAGTGCTGTACAAAGCACAGGAGTGGTGAAGTTCACATCCCTAGTCTGACACATATATTTTCTGACTGCTTCTCTCCCTATTCCTCTTCCCCAAACATTTTTTCTGAAATGGCTTGTAAAAATCAAGTGCAATTACAGTACAGAAATCTCTCAGAGGGGCTGAGAATTTTTAGCAAACCCAAGAATTTCTAAACTGATTCAGAATCCAAATTAACCTTGCATCTCCAATTTTAAAATGTATTATTTTGCTTAAACTATTGTGATACAGAACAAGTAAGAAGCTTTGTACAGATGCTCAGATCTAAGTGTCCTTGATTTTTATTACCTTAAATTTGTGCACCTTTCAGATTACACAATGTGTAAAGACCAAACAGGGTTGTAAGAGTGTTATTAATGCTGTGGGACAACAAAACCAGTACTTATCGTTAGTTATAGCAGCAAATAATTTAACATCAAATTCAGCCTGTTAGTTTTTTTTACATTCAGGATATGTTTGGAGCATGTTACTTGTATTTCTTCCTCCATTTTACCTGGGACATCTTTTACCCTAATTAAAATTATTTCCTACACTAATTTTTGCTCTTTTTTCTTTCTTTGTATTTTTGTGACCTGCTCATCTTCTTGCTTAGCAAATGGAAATTCTAGCAGTAAGTGACAGTTCTTGATTTATCAAATACTTAACCATGCCAGTCACCAAACTGGTCCCCATCTGTCTTGTCCATTTGTGAAATAATGATGTCTTGTCCTAGACTATTACAGAAATGCTGTGTGCTTCAGTTTTGCATCATCTAACCCATTAGACTGTTGGTCCTTTGTAGATAATAGGATCCTGTAGTTAGTAGAATGTTATAAAGATTATTCCATTAGCACTAGCTTTTATGTCTGTATGTGAAGCAGTATTAACACTGTCTGCATTTCTGGCTAGTGTTTTAGAGGCATAAAAATGGAAGCAAGACAGTGTGTAAATTAATACTGCTATTTCATTTCCTTAAGAATATATCATGTGTTATTTTCTAAAGCAGAATAAGGGCTACCTTTTATAAAGAAAATAATATTCTTGTCTCCAGGAATGGAATTACTCTCTTCCTACTCTGTCAGGCAGTGTAAGCTAAGGGCCAGGTTTATATACTGTGCTTACCATATAAATATTAATGGTTATGAAAGATCCTATACTTATGGACCACAACTGTTTCTTTTGGATATTAGATCTTGAATTTAAAACAGTAAAATATCAACAATAAAAGTAAGTGATTTATAAAACTCTTGGTTTTAAGACATGAAATCTTGAAATGTTCCAGACATTTCAAAGTGCCTTTTGAATCACTTCACATCCCACTCCTCCCCCTTTCTTGGAAATGTGACTTATTAAAAAGTGAGCTTCAAACATCTGTCAGAGTCTACTTGTAAATCTAGAACTGAATGAAGCTTTCACCTGCTTTTCCTTAGCTTACTGTATGTTAGCTTCTAAATATTTTTGGCATTTTCTTTAGTAGCCAAATTAACTACTTCTGGTTTTGCACACTCTACTGAAGAAGCTGTGATTTATTGTCTCTTGCACTGGATAGTAGTAGGTTTGCACTTCCTGAACGTAACAGTGTTGTGTACATTTGTAGGAGCTGGAGTTATGTCGGAGGCTATACAAGCTGCATTTCCAGTTGCTGCTGCTGTTCCAAGCCTATTGCAAACTCATCAGTCAAGTAAAAACAATCAAAACAGAAGCAGAGGTAATGAAAACCATTCCACTCAGCTAGTAATTGTTGACATTTTAAAAGCAGACAATATAAAACACATTTTGATAACATTTTCATCAGTGGGACATCCTTTTAGAAACTGGAGGAGGGTTCCAGCTGATTTACAGCCAATTAATAAAATAGTTAAGTAGAACTTACAAGAACTTTCTAAGATATTCAATTATCTGTGTTGATTTTTGTACAGCTTGAAAGCTCTCCAAAAAAAGACAGGAACCCAGGGAGTCCACTGATTAAGATTTTAAGTATTTCAGTAGCACTCCTGGTATATTCTAATCAAGCTACAATCAAGGCACATCAAGTCCACTCAGAAGAGCTCAGCCATTCCATAGCCCTGGTGTTTCCTATAGCAAACACCATCACCACTTTCTACCAACTGATTCATTTAACTATGTCACTTCAGCCACCATTCAATTACTCTGCAACCTTAGTCCCCATCCTAAGCATAGTTAGTAGTGCACAAGCACCTCTTATGCCTGATTTTTAGTTGTAGTAACTTCAGAAGTAAAATGTGTTTTTCAGCTGTGCACATGTGGTACATATGTGATGTTAATCGAGTTGTGTGCATTATGCTATTAATAGTGCCTTCTCTTAAGTTCTCCCCTGGGTCTGGAATGCAATAAACAGGGGTAGCAGAAAAAAAAAAAGTAGATTTGGTCTTGCTTGATGTAGTAGGGAGGCACATGCAGATTCTGAATTAAAGTCTTTGGTTTATGAGTAGTTTTAGAAAAAAACTGTGCACATTCCTCACTTGTGTTTCCAGATTTTTGTAGAGGCTGCAAATAAGTTTGTGTTTGATGAACACTGGAAGGTTGGCATCACATCAGTCCCACTTCTTGCCTAAGTTAGTCAGATGCAGAATCACATTCTGAGATAGCCTCTTGCTTTACTCATGTTTGCAGCTAAAGCCAAAGATTGTATTATATACACTGGCTGCACTACTGTTACTGTGCTGGGTTACCACTCTTCCAGATTTTTTCCTTAGTATTTAAGACATCCTTGTAATGGCACCACTGTTGTCATACCTTTCTGAAATGTTTCATTCTTCTTGTCAGTTTGTTACTAAGTAACATAAGGAGAGAATAAATTTATTTTTTAAAATAAATGTTAAAAGAACTAAGAGGAAAACTTCATCAGGGAAAGCCCAAATAATTGACATGCACGCTTGGACCATTAAATTGACTGTATTAACTGTATATATTAAGCAACTGCAGAAAATATTTGGGTGTTCTTTTTCTATTTATCTTTATTGCACAGAGAAGGAAAAATAAAAACCTGATCTTCTGAAAATTATTTTTGCTTGAAATACATTTAAACTAAAAGAGATAAATTATATTGTTTTAGGTAATAAACATGTCTCAAGAACTTGCTCTTTTGGAGAGCTGCCTGAAAGAGGCCGAGGCAGTGTCTGACAGTGGTATTGAAGAAATTGAAATTGCAGAGGCTTCCCAAGCTAGCACAGAAACAGCTATTCACTCCCTCATTGAATCCCTGAGAAACAAGGAGTTTGTGTCAGCTGTGGCACAGGTCAAGGCTTTCAGGTAAGTTTTTAAGGATTGCTTTCTGATCTTGAGTTTCTTAGTAGACCTTTTTAAATTAAAAACAGAGATAGACACTATTCCTTTTTTTTTCAGTTCTTGTCAGACATCCTTGTTGAAAAGGACAAGCAGTATTACTTCATTATAGGTTTTGGGTTTTTCTTTTCAGTAATTTAAGAAAAGTAAAAAACAATTTTATTAGTACTTATTTAGAATTTATCTCTGAGGAGTTCTACTGATATTTACCGTAACTCAGTGGAAGAAACTTTCCTCTAGCATTTTTCTGTCTTTTGTTCAAATATCTGCTTAAAGGTATTTAAATTTTTGATTTTTAAATCCAAATTGCATATTATTTTCCCTTGCATTTTCCTGTCTTCTGTTCAAATATCTTTTTAAAGAACATTTAAATTTTTTTTTTAATATTTAAATCCAAACTGTGTGTTTACAGATCTATTTGGCCCCACGACATCTTTGGCAGTTCTGAAGATGACCCAGTTCAAACATTGCTGCACATCTATTTCCGTCATCAGACACTTGGCCAAACTGGCAGCTTTGCAGTGGTAGGCTCCAATCAAGATATGTCTGAGGCCAGCTCAAAGCTGATGGAACTTAATCTAGAAATCCGAGAGTCTCTCCGCATGGTGCAATCCTGTCAGCTTCTAGGGAAGATCAAAACAGGAATAAATCTTGTGACCACTGGATTCTGAACAGCTGTCAATTTAGAAAAGAACTGATGATGAGGACACTTCAGACTATTATTGAGCACCTTTCAGAAAAAAAAAAACAAAAACAACAAAACAAAAACCTCCAGCAATCCTGACAACCAACACACTTTTATCACAGCAAGAAACTGTTTCATCACAAGTGAAACCCTGAAAATTGAAGTGAACATCCTACTTGACTGCTCTTTCTACACAGCAGCCTGTGTGGCAGTAGTATTTTTTTATTAAATTTATGTATAAAAACTACGTGAAAGGAAAAGGGCTTAATCCTAATGCATACATATGCATTATTTTCTGTTGTAACAGAAATATAACGGATGTTTGCAGCAACAGCCTCCAGAGGTTGGATCAATATCGCAGGTGGGATGAGGCTAAAATCAAGGCTGGTTTATTTTGGCTGATGACCTGCAAGGCTTCCTGGCTTTTCAGCAGTAAAACCATCAACACCTAATGAGACACTTTGAAATGTCATGAAGAATGTGCAGTCAAACCTGAGTAGAATGACATATGACTGCAAAAACCATTGACTTCTAAGCGTTTTATTTGCTTTTTTGTCTGTTATAAGGAAATAATGTGTGTGAGTTAGAATGTATGGCTATGTGGCAGTTGTTTTTTGAAGGTATGGATGATTGTTAAATAAGGTCTCAGAGCATGCTTAAAAGAGCTGCAAGATTATTTTTGAAGAAATTTTATTTTATTAGATCTAATCCTCATAGTGTGTAAATGTTAGGACATTTAATAATATTTTAAACTGGGATTTCCCAGTGTTTCTAAAAGAAATAATATATCTGTTAACTTTATTGGAATGCTGCTCAGTTCTCTGACCAGTGCTTATGTTAAAATACTGATAACAACTAACCAAAAAGTAGCTGCTTGCAGAGACTTTAAAATGTATATTAAAGATATATGCTGCCCATCAGCAATTCTCATTAGAAGTTAACTTATTTTATTCTGTATATATTCTAGAAACTGTATAGTGCAAAACCAGTATTTTTCATGTAAATTTGTGCAATGCACTGTTAAACAGTAGGTGTATAAAGCTATGAGGAGAAGGGGGCATTCCCTCTTGGTAGTCACATGCAGTATGAGCAGCCTGCAGGGTTTGAAGAGTTTGAATGCATGTATATGCATCTTCATGACTCAACTGAAGCCCAAGGAACTGGGACTATAGGAAAAAAAAAAAAAAAAAAAAAAATACCCTGACTACCAAAACATGCAAACAGGCAATATACTCATAGTTTAGTGTCAAAGTCTGTAGCATAAAACAAACTGGATTCTGTTGAAACCAATAGCATTTTGTAGAAAAAAAAATAGAAAAAAAAAAACAGAAAAAAAAGAATGTAGTCCCACAATTCCTATGATTTGAAAGGAACAGCCAGTATTTTTATATGCATCTCTTACCCACTGTGATTTTTTTTAACGGGCTCTAATTCCAGAGCTTAGAATGTAGTATTGACGTTCTTAGCTCTGCCTTTTTGGGGGAATTAGGCCCCACTAGAAATGTAATTATGCTGAAATGCATTAATTGAAGGCACTGTGCACACTGTTGGACTGCTGACAGTAGTTATGTTATCCTAACAAGTTCTGTAACTGGTCAAGGCACATTCATATTCACTGTATTTTTTTCCCCTATCCCTGATAAAATTTAATTATTTTGATGGTTTTGTGGTACTGTAGATGGTGTTCTTAATTATTTAACAAGTATTTACAGGGGAGAGGTAGTTTTATTTAGGGGCGCATTACACTTTTATTTACATCATCTTTTACCAGTTTTTTTGTAAAAATAAAAGACATTGTATCTCTCATTTTGTGTATTTTTACAAGCTAGAGTTTAAATACTTTAGCTGAACAGATTAAACACTGACAGAGGGCTGGGTGCCCTGAAGTAATTTTTTTTTCTTTTATGTCCTGTCATTGGAGCAGCATTTTTCTAGGCATCTTCTGAAGCTGTTAATGGATTTCTCATGAAACTCAAACCTGAATTCATATATGTAATTCTTATGTTACACATCTTCCTCCATTGATAATGGCTAGTGGAGACTGCCCTATTGAGCAGAATCATGTTAGATGACTGTCTTTTGATATTGCTTTAATTTCATTAAGCTTTTCAAAAATTACTCAACTACTGCATGAGCTGTTACCCTGCATCACCTGGTGCCAGGTCCGTACCAAATCCAAAGCTATAGTAAAACTGTTCTGAAACAAGCAAAACATCAGACAGCTCCTGTAAGATGCAGCAAATACAGCACTGAGCTAACATGTGCAAATGAATCTCTTTATGAAAAATCTGTACAGAGCAAGTTCAGGATAGCTTTGAAGAACTGGCACAATGAAGGCTGTTCCCTTCCACTTTGCATAATTACAAAAGGTCAGGAGTAGCTTTCCTTCCTGCTGAGTCTAGGAGCCAATGCCCACAGTTAGTGTGTGCTCTCATGGACATGACATGGCAGTAAAGCTGAAAAGCAGCTAGAAAGTACAGAATTGTACTTGGGCATCAAGCAGTAAATGCATCAAACATTTATGCAAGAGGGATGACACAAAGAGCTATGAAGAATGCTACAGGATTAAGGAATGCTTGTTTAATATGGCTGCCCACTGCATTGGAATCCAAGCCACAGAGCCTTGCAGTAGCTGATGAAAGCAGGGGCCTCCTTCCTGCTACTCACCATGTGGAGCCTTCATCAGCTACCGGTGAAGCACAGTTCACATCAGCTAAGCCTTTTCTACATCTTACCATGCAGAACCAAGTGCTGCTTTGGCTGTAGTTAGTGGGGATGACAGCCCTTAAGTTGTACTAGATTTCACTTTGGGCTGATAATCATGTAAGAGTCAGCATATTCACAGCAAGTAATCCTTAAAGCAGGAATTTCTAAGCATGCCTATAAAAATAGGAAGCTCATGGCACATTGCCATGAGTTCATACTGACATGGCAGAGAGCTCCAGTTCTCTGACTCCTTACCAAGGTGCACAGACTCATCACAGTCAGTTTCTCAATGCATGCATCAGGAACAGGCTACAGCCACAAGAATGGGGAAGGCAAACAGGAAAACACTGAAGAACATCCTTGGAGGGGAATATGCTCAGAAATAAAGACATCCCAGATCACAGCTGCAACTGCAAACTGGCTACAGAGAGGGCCCCAGGTGCATTCTTCAAGCTGGAGGCTTGCTTCTGCTCATCACAGTAACTACAGGCGAGTACAAGGCATGTGCATCTACAACAGAACACTGCCCAGCTGCAGGGGTGCTCTTCAAATTGAATCGGGCAAGGATGGAATTTGCCATGAAAGCAACTGAGGGATCCTGGTAAAGCAAGGGGTATTTCCTTTTACTGTGATACTGGATAAACACTTCAGGTAGAAGTATGAAATAGAACAGTGCTCTGCTCTGGAGGGAGTAGGTCTACTTCTTCCCAGAATGCCTCACACTACTATAATAATGAATGTAGCAAGAGGAAATAAAATTACTTTGCAATAAATTGACACTGAGGCATTAAGACTACTGCAGCAGGTTCAAGGGGCATATTGAAACAAGGCCAAGAATTTACAGCAAGATGAGTTAAGCATGTAGAAATAACACTCACTGCCCCTCAAAGAAATGTTGATACAAAGGATATTGTTTGACTACCCTGCCACACACTAGCTGCCACTTGGAGAAACTGGCACTGAAGCTGTTCTACAGCATGGGCTCAGACTGATACTCTCTTTGACATTTAATAGAATGATCACTCAAGCTGGGTACAGGTGTAGATAAGTTTGCTGTAGCAAATATAAAAATCACTCCTTCGAAAGAGAAGTTACCTAAAGAGTTCTGGAAAAGGCTTGGTGACTCTATGCTCAATTTAAAAATTAGCAGCGTGGGTAGCATTCTCAGAAAAGTAGTTTTTCATCTGAGTTTTTGCAGCTTCATAGCAAAAAGGTAGACTGGGCAGTGGTGTAGGTTTTACTAGCTTATGAATCTGCTCAGATGGTGATGCTGACTCTCCAGAGTCAGCTTGTAACACTTGGCTGAAGTATGGTGTTCCTATAAAGAGCACCACCACTGAGAGCACCACTAGCCCACACAGAATATCATCTGCAAGTAACCAGGGCTGTGTCTGCTGTTAGTACCAAACACTACAATTCCTAGCTGCAAACTCAACCCCAGAGGAGTGTGGGAGTATCAATCCTTCAGATGGCAGGCATCTAAACTGTAATTAGATCAAACTCTTCAAGTATAATCCACCAAAAGGAAGCCAAGCAGATGCCATATTACTGCACATTGCTCCTCTGAAGTGTCACTTCTCCATAACCTTGTGCAAGATAAGCAACACGTTTACCAAGAGACCATCACCATAACATCAGTGACTCTGTTCCTCAGCATTTTGTGAGAACCATCCCTGAAAAGCTTTCTTTGGCTTTTACCTACAGATAAAAACACCAATTTAGCTAAATACAGACCAGCTGCACCAGTAGAAGCAATTCAGTACTTACACAGCATTTCTCAATCATTTTCTAATGATGAAAATCAGGTGCAGGATACATTGTACATTGAGTGGAGGTGTGCAAAATAAGTGAATACTACTAGTGTTTCGTTCATCATGAAGGATGGTCTACTACCTACTGTAGATGTCAATTTTATGTTAACGTCAAGCGTTTGATTAGTTCAAGAGCAGGAGCAGTAACAAACCCTTTTCACCCGAGAGTCTACAGAGTCCTGAGTCAGTTGCTTCCAAGACTATCACTGACTTGCAATACACCTCTAGGCTTGTTGCCTATGCAAGTTACGGAATTTACAATATGCACCCTCTGAGCTGAGCACAAACCCATCTAATCATTTGAGTATGCTTTGCAATATTTTTATTTTCATGCTTTCCTAGCTACATCTCACCAAGTACCTTCAACAACACCAACAAAGACAACAAAAAAGTCTGCTTGACTTGCAGTTTTCTTGAAGAGCCCAAAACAAAAACAAAGAATCCCATCCCAACTCAGATGATGTATTTGAAACTGAATGTGCTATCGCAGGAGAGGCGTTTCCCTTTGCATCTCCCACAGAGGTCCTGGCGGTGTGGCCTCTTGGGATCCACGTGCCGCATCTTCACGGGGCAGGTGCACCGCGTCTGCTTGCAGCTCTGAGGGAGAAGGCGGCGGTCGGCGGCGGCGGCAGGGCCCGGAACCGGCCGGTCTCAGGGCAGGGCGGGGGTCCCTTACCTGGCAGGTGATGTCCTCCACGCGGTACGGGTTGTAGGACTTCTGGCAGGTCCGGCAGAACTGACGGAAATAGACCTGCGAGGAAGGCGGGGGTCAGCAGGGGGGAGGCAGCGAGGAGCGCTCGCCGGGGCAATCCGGGCCGGCCCTACCTTGTTGGTGCCCTGGACGCACCAGACGTAGGCGCTCTCCCAGCGGATGTTGCAGGCCTTGCAGTGGTAGTAGCCGTACTTCTGCTCCAGGAACTGCCGGGGACAATGTTACTCGACGGTGCCGGCGCCTCCCGGGCCAGCCCGGCCCCGCTGCTCCCCTGCGGCCGACACTCACCTGGAAGCGCAGGCGGGTCTTGCCCGCCGACGGCTGCTGCTTCTGGGGTGAGGCCGGCGGCTCCGCCGGCTGGGCTGACGGCTCTGCCGGCTCCTCCTGCCTTGCCTCCGTCGCCGGCTCCGCGGGGGCGGCCGAGCGCTGCTCGAGTGGCTCGGCCGAGCGCTGCCCGAGCGGCTCGGCGCCGCCCTCGGGGGGCTTCTCCCAGCTCGCCCGCACGGCAGCCGCCTCCGCCGCCCGCTGCTCCCGCAGCGCGGCCGGCTCCTCCTCGACGGCCGCCGCCTTCTCTTGTTGCTGCGGCCGCCCCTCTGGCTCCGGGCTCGGCTCCTCCAGGAAGGCGGTGAGTCTGCGGGACGCCACGGGCGAGTAGACGGCGATGGTGCGGGGGAAGCGCACGGCGCGGGTGCTGGTGGTGGCGGGGCTGCCCAGCTCCTGCTCTCGCTCCGCCTCACGGGGCCGCGGCGCGGCGGGACCGGGGCGGCGGCGCAGCAGCGTGCGGGGCCCGAGCGAGCACTGCACCGAGGCGTCCTGCCGCGGGTTCACCTGGACGCCCACCTCCTTGGTGTTGGCCTTGCGGAGCCGCGGCGTTAGGTTGGGGTTGACCTGGGAGAGGATGGCCTTCAGCTGCGCTCGCTGGTAGTTGTCGAAGTACTCGGCGGCCGCCTCCCCGTAGCCCGAGAAGTAGCTGCTGCCGCTGCTGCCGCTGCTGCCCCGCGGCCGCCAGCCGCCCGCCGCCCCTCCTTTGCCCTTGGGCGGTGGGTAGCGGTAGGAGTAGGGGTGGTAGGTGGTGTAGAGATAGCTCGCCATCGCTTCCTCGGCCATCTCACTGGACCCGGGGCAACCCCCGGGCAGTGGCGTTAAATACCCCCGGGGCGGGGCCGGGCTTCCCTCGCCCCCAACGGGCGTCGGCCTTGCGGCCCCTTACCGTCCCCACCTGGTGCGCGGCCTTGGGCCATTCCCCACCCCCCGCACATCTCCCCAGCTGGACCAGGTAGCACGGCTCTTAATTGCCTCCAAGGGAGTAAACAGCAGAGAACACGGGTTTGGTTCGGCTTCGCCATGTATTTGAGGTGACAACAATGAGAACAATGCTTTTACAGCAGGTGGGAGGCACAGAGATACACATGCGACGTGTTTTTTTCCTGTTGTCTGAACTGACACTGAGTTGGTGTCAACTCTGTAGAACACTGTTTCTTCCTTGTACCCAGCCAGGCAGCAGCCTCCTTGCATGAAATTTTACAGTTACTGGTTTGTGTCGCAGTGATGCTTTTCCTTTATTTTTTTTTCTTTTT